ACCAACCATTGTTCTATTCACGCTCACAATTAAATCAATATGATTCATCTTCATTGCTGACCGAATGATAAACACATACTGATATCTTTCAATAAATACAATTTTCACAACAATCACAATTTTAACAATTTTTTTCTTGTTAAAATTTCAAAATTATTCAATATAAGAAATGATCATTTTTTATGTAGAACTCTAACATGTAGATGTTGTAAACGCAACGCAACGCACTGTAACAGTAACACATGTCACTGTCATTTAATGTATGTAAGTCGTTACACGGATACGTAAAGCGCTTGCATCCACTGTTTCAATTAACATCTGCAATTGTAACAAACAATAGAGACCACTCCGATTGGCTCGGATGTAGTATAGAGATTAGGGTGTACAGAATATCCTAAGTATACGCAGTAAATTATAGTGTAGTGAATTATTGCATAGCCCTGGATTTGGTAATCAAATTATTGATCTGACAACAACTGCATCTGAATGGATGTAGGATGGAAACTATTACATTTTAAGATAACGAAATATTAAATTATTTAGAAATCTAATGTTTGTATAGTTTTTCGTATAAAATAATTTACAAAAACTGAATTGAAAATCATTAATTAAGTAGCAATTTAAAGAAAAGAGACAACAAACTTGTGTGTTTTATAAATCATTTCTATCAATTAATTAACGTTTGTTATTATTGATGCGATAACATTTAATATTGCTTACAGTAAGTTTAGACAATTGCTGTTGCTAATGCATACTTTATATCATAATTTATGTCATTAAATTTGATTACTGAGCAATTTGCTAGTATTTTATTCATTTATATAAACGAAATATGTGCTAATAATAAAAAATAAATGTTCATTGAAACTAAAAAAGTGATAAATCAGTCAGGAAAATAATCTAAAAATACTTCGCTTATCTCTCACTTAATTAAACAACTAAAATTATAAATATAAACATAAAGATGTGTATCAAAACTCATATCTTCCCAATATTATTCACATAGATGTTTCTCTTTGCAAAAGGGAGATAATTTTTAACAAATTACAGTTTCATAAACAAACGGATTCGCATGTCATCGTGTGTGGTCATGTTATCGAAAGAATATAACACCTAGGTACGAAATAAATAAATACAGACAAATTGAGAAACATCGACCATTAGAAAATTTATAATAAATAAGTTTGCTTAAAATTGAAAAACATTCAATAAAACTTTGTTTTTGTATGTATTTATTTACTGCTTATCTTATGAGCTTCAAACGACTTACTTATATGATGTAACGATAAGAAACTTTTAGATTATATATTGTATTAATCGATAAATTTGTTTGCATCTCAATAGTAGTCAACTCGCTTGGAAAAACACATCAACATAAAATGAACATATGAAATGGTAGGAACAAAGTCTAAATTATTGTTGAATAACAAAAATAATTAATTACAATATCGTATCGAATGAATTAACATCAACAAATGCATAAAATAAATTATACACAAAAATAAGAAATATTAGAAAATTGTACATAAAGAGTGAAAACAAAAATCTCAGAAATAAATGCATGTTAACAATAATATTAACGAGTTGCATAGGAAAATAGACTTGCTCAACTTGATTTTTATTGTTAGTTGTCTGACCTCAAACTAAAGACAATTGGCATTTAACAATATCAACTACGTGCTTGATAATACCCATTGCCAAAGCATTGTATGTTCTAATCAATTTCACATCCAAACATAATTCAACGCAAATGACCATTTAAAAAACAGTTGACCATCAAGGAAGCAACGTGAGAATATAAGATTTCTAATGTTCCCTTTATCTTTCTCTTCTCATTTACACATTTTCTTTGTTACCTGCTTTATTTGAGAAATCGTTTTGGTATTCAGCACCTAACGTATATTAAATAATTTTAAATCAAGTTCCTCAAAATAATAATAATTTCATGTAAATGAGCCTCTATTTGGGGGAAAGCAATGTTCTAGAATCTAGTATATACTTTTATTTTTTCTTTATTGAATGCAAAACTAGAACTTATCTGTTTTTATTTCTTTGTGCTTTGTAGATAGATTGCTTTATAAAATAATAATACAAAAAAAATACGGCTTATCAACTCTCATTCAAATGGAAGTATTCGTATCAGAGTTTTGTATTTCTTAGGTTTTCGTCCTTATAACAATCATTTACTATTGCTGACAATAAACGATTAGTTGTATTATTAAACTTATTACTACGTGACATAAGTAAAGTACAGGTGTAAGTTATTTTGTGTGGTGATATTACCACCTTATAAATACTATAGAAAATCATGTAACTCTGCCAGACACAGCTGCAGAACTGATGTCTCCGTCAATGTTTAAAGTTTTATATAATTCAGCAAGTGAAAAGGTCTACGTTTGTTCGAACTCTGGCCATTCTAATACCGAATCGTTTTGCAACTTACATATAAATAAATAATGAGTTACACCGGTCGTGAATAGATCATTCCTTCAAGCCAATATTACTAGTAAAGATATGATAAATATAAAATGAATTCTAAACGGAGCAATAAATTTGAGTCATGTATGGTCTTAATACTTATTCATTATACTTAGATTATTATGCCAGAATATCACAAAGTCGGGATGGACTACACCGAAATAATGTATTTCTAGTATAGAATCAATAACAGTAATTAAAATGCTTAGTAATTGATGAGGACAAATATGGAGCAAAATCTGCATAAATCGTATAAATATTGTATGTAATACGGACAATGTGTATGGATTAGAGCGGAGATGTGAATAACAGAGGCTAAAATGAAAGGAATACGGGGGGGATACGGCATTATTGAATTAAAATGGAAAACGCAGAGAAGCAACAAGAAGTGGAGAACGAGAGAGGACGTAATAAATTTAAGCGTCCTCTCCTCAAATAAAGAATCGATACAAATGGATCCATCCCCACCAACGTGCAAAACCATCGGTGCCGTTGCTGCTCCCGCCCCGCCTAGGCCCTATTCAGTGACAAAGACTGCCATCCCTTCGCTTCCCTTCACCCCCCTTTCAGAACGTAGAGAGAACCCCTACCACTTTGCGCGCCGCCAGTGGCCCATCTGAGGGTCCGAAATGCCCTACCTACCTACGATTGATTATAAAAATACATCTAAGAAAAAAATCAACCAATCTTCTTATATAACAAAACCATTTTGAGCCTTTTAATGCAATTAATTAAATTAACAGTTGTCATAAGCTTCCAATACCTTTTATGATGTGTGTGCATACTTTATTAAAAGAAGACATAATTTTCTAATGTTATGAATACTCATTGAAGCTTTCAACAAAGAATAATACACTTAAAAAATGTGAACATATTACATTAATTAATAAAAACATGTCTAATTGATGTAACAAAAATCATTTTATTGTTTACATAGCAAATCGAATGTTTCAACAAGTGTATGCATTTATATTATTATTTCTACGAAATGAATTAAATAATTAGAATAAAAAATAAAAGATATTCTTTAACCTGGGAAATTCCATTATTCACTATAATCTAAGTATCGATGCACGAATGTCTGCAACTCTGAACAAATAGAACTGATTTGGATTGTTGAGAAACTTCCCGAGGTCGATAATGAATTATGAGAAAGAAATATAAAAAGTACCTGTACTAATAATAAATAAACTCTAAATTACTTTATGTAAGATGTTAAAGAAGATTTGCGATGTTTAATTCATTTATTTCCATATACTTGAGTGGTAAATTGAAGAAGAAAAAAAACTTTATAATTAATGTAATTATATAATGAAAAACAATGACCTAATTCCTAGGAATGCAGTAATCTGTTAAAATTCTTAATCGTTTGATATACTTTATAATTTTAGTTTTGCCTGTTAAATAATTGGATATAGGCAAATAGTGAAATACCGTGAAATGAAAACAATGTTTAAATTACAAAAAAAATGTTTACACAGGTTATTTAACACCTGGCAAACAATTATTGACTAAAGTTCGTGAGTAATAAAAATGACAATAAATATTAAATACATTACAATAAAAATATATTTAATTAACTATTGGTATTTATTATTTCATTTAATTTGTACTTTGTTCGTGTAATAATATATGAATTTATATTTATGTTTTGAATGATTGTAATTTTTTTAATTAGTAATATATTATAATTATAATCGATTATAAAATGAATAAGAAAGGTATACACGATAAATAATGCAATGACCGTTATGAATTTCGGATGTCATCCCACCTTTTTTACAAAGTGCAAATGGCGCGTGGAAATTTAAAGAATCATTACGTTAATGTTCTATTATTATTAACTTGTAATTTTCTTATTAGATACGTTTTTCCAATACTTAAAAGATTAATTAAAGGTTCCTTTGTTCGATCGCTTTCATTTGCAACTTGATATTTGTATTGTATAATTAAATATAAGTTGTTAATTAACAAGCACTTGTTTGTAATCGTTACTTAAGTGAATGTTTATTTATTACAAGTCTGTTGATAATTTAGCTAAATTGTGGTCATACCGATAAAAAAAAACAAAAATAGATGTGAAATACACTCAAATATTTTAGCTATTTCATCAAGTAATCAATGTCTATTTATTAATTTGTCTAATTGATACTGAGCTTTAGTGAAAAATTGACGTAGAAATGTCAAAAAATGAGCTTAAAAAAAATAATCTGAATGGTTTGTATAAATATCAACATATAAAGAAATGAGTAATGCAAGTAATCCAGTTGGCCAGGATAGGATAGGCTAGGCCGGGTCGATGGGTTCGCTCGGCGTCTTTGTTATTAAATCTGGTGACTTTTTCCAGGGGAATTTTGTTATTTTGCAAGTGGCTATTTATAGATGTGTCTTATGCATGCTTGGCTTGGCGGACGGTCGGAGGAGCAGGAGAAATAAGTGAGCGTGCCGCAACATCGGAAAAGGATCAATCCCCTAAGCAAGCAAAAGGATGGCGGGGAAGGAATTCGTGAATTTCGACTTACGTGCGGTCGTTATTATTCCGAAGGACCATTTGGACGCGCAGGTAACTGAAAATCCGATGCAGGACGGGATTCTATTATTGTTATTAATTGCGTTGCTGTGCGATGCTCCTCTGTTGTTTACGTTTTCTTCTATTATTATTTGTTCTCATCCGTTTCGGCTCCACTTCGTCACAGGAGAAGACATCGTCGTTTCGGTCGCGCTTTTACTTATTTTCACTGGATATTATTTTGTTCCTTCGTCAAAACGCCTTTTATATATTCTTTGCGTGTCCTTCTTATTTTAGTTGCACTCGATGGCACAAACACAAATGCACAGAATCACACACCTCACTGACGCGCACACACTGCATACACTGAGAGACCAACTCCAACTAACACACGCGCGAATTTCGGTCACTTCCGGGTCCTCTCTCTCTCTCTCCCGCCTTCCCTCTCCTCAACCTTCCGTGTGGTGTCGTCTCCCTTCCTTTTCCCTGTTTCCCTCGCGCGCGCTTCCAATATATTCTTTATGCTTTGTTTTTGTTGCCCTATTCTTTTTCCAGTTGCGTGTATGAGTGTTTTTTTTTGTTGTTGTTGTTGTTTTGTTTTATTTTTGCTGCCGATTGTCCTCCTTGGTATGGACGAAATATCGTGTGTGCTGAGGAACGGTGAGACGCGTTCCTTTTGTCGCAGGCAGATGCAGCAGAGATATGTCTGCCGGGCGGCTTCTTTCCTGGCCCGAAATTTCTGTTTTGGCACGGTGGAGCAGCGGAGGACGATACGGACACACGGCGGGGGACAGCCACGCACCGAACAACAGAAGAGAGAGCGCTCTCTCGCCGTCACACACAAGATGGCCGGACCTAGGCTTGGTGTCAGTCCGATTGCTTGCCTGCCAGGGGCGGAGGGCGGTCGGCGCCCCCTCCGCGCCCACAGCCCCGACGTGTGCCCCCCTCTCGTCCCTCCGCCAGCGCCGTAACCCCTGCCGCCGCCGCCCCGTGTATTCGTCCAAAAGGCTTTCATTCTCGCTCCTCTCTCTGCGTTCGAACGGCAACCGGCCCCGAGAACCCCCCTTCCGCCCGCGCCGCAATTCCATCTTTATCGTCCTCCGTCTCCCTCCCGCACATCCACCGTGCCGGTCACATCGCGGCCAGATGCACACAGGACGAAATTGTTATTACTCACCTCGTCTCATCTCTGTCCACCCTTTACATTCCCATCTCAAACTCTCTCCGTCTTTCTTCTATCACTCCGCTACGTTTATTACTCACGATATTATTTCACATACTCTCGCATGAGCGGAACAGCATCATCTCTATCGTTCTCTGTTCCACCCGTTCAAAATTGCTCGCACGCACCTTCAACCGTAACCGCTTAATTCTACCTTAACCTCACTTTTCTTAATCATCATAATAATAATAATCGTCTCAAATTCAATAAATAGAAACATATATGCAAACTCAATTACAGGCCAAGTATAAAAATGTACACGTACTTGCAACTCGCCAATTTAAATACATCGCAATTGGATCACTTAAACAAATGTTTCTTTTTAAATATCAAAATGAACCACTCACTTTTTATTGAGTTTTCTTAAGTACAATTTAAACAAGTGATTTCCAAACTTTATATTGCTATGCCCCCTACTATTATTAAGCAATGGACTTTACATATAAATTTTGTTTTAATATTTAATATTATTTTGTTTTATTTTTTTAATATTTAATAAATTTTAATAAAAATGTTAAAACATTTACATATTCCTTAAAAAAAAGTAATTAAAATGAAATGATAATCGAAAAATTGCGTTGTATGGTTTTAAAATGGGCAGTGTCTTCGTCACGACGAATCACAGGCTGCTATGAACGTTTAAACAATTCTTATTGGGCCACAAAAATGAAACAGAGATAAGAAAGTAATAAAAATTTGGACGATTTCTATACGAAAACATTTATGCGTGTCTATGCGTCGCGATAAAAATCAGCAGTTGCAACTGCAAATCATAACGCTAAACATTCGGTTATCCCCGACTCTTTTCGTTATTAACAATTCTATTGGTTCTAACGATCGGGTCGGCCCACACGAATGATTGGTGGCTCATCGCTAATTTTTTTTTGTTAACGGATAAAATCTTAAAAATCACTCTTTCTGCCAAATCTAAACCAATCGAAAATTGGCACGAAAATCAGTGCGTTTCCTTTACAAAACTATTATTTAAGTACCTGTACATCGAATTAAACATAAATCATATTAGTTATGTAAATGAATATGCATATTATGGGTCTATATCGCAAGCCCGACAACCGATAGACCGTCTATTGAAAGCCCGACGTTCGAAATCCCGAGTGTATCAAAATCCCGACTACCATAATCCCGGCAATCAAAATCCCGAATATATCGAAATCCCGACTAACATAATCCCGACAATCGAAATCCCGACAGTGTCTTTTATTATTATAATTTATACAATAACATTTTTAAATTATTCTACTATATTTTAATAGGTACGACGGATACTGAAAAAAAATATTTTTAAGACCTCTTTTGCCCGATTATTAATTGTTATTATTTATTATTAATAACATTAAATAATATTAATTATTATTGTTTTTTTTTTCGTTGACTTTTTCATTATAAAACTTAAGAATAAGAAATATTCTATAATAAAATTAGTTTATGTTATTAACAATAAATAGCAACAATTAATAATCTTATTAAGCTTTAGATTGTCGGGATTTCGATATAGACGGGATTTCGATATAGTCGGGATCTTGATTGTCGGGATTATGGTAGTCGGGATTTTTACATAGTCGGGATTTCGATATAGTCGAGATTTCAATACACTCGGGATTTCGAACATCCGGATTTCGATAGACGGGATTTCGGTTGCCGGGATTATGGTAGTCGGGATTTTGACATAGTCGGGATTTCGATATAGTCGGGATTTCGATATAGTCAGGTTTTCGATACAGTCGGGATTTCTATCGTCGGGATTTCAATACACTCGGGATTTCGATAGACGGGATTTCGGTTGTCGGGATTATGGTAGTTGGGATTTTGACATAATCGGGATTTCGATATAGTCGGGATTTTGATACACTCGGGATTTCAATACACTCGGGATTTCGAACGTCGGTATTTCGATAGACGGGATTTCGGTTGTCGGGCTTGCGATTGCCACCGACATATTACACGTAACTTGTACATTCTTACACCTATGGACTGTCTAGAAATATTTTTCGAACTAAAATAAATAGCAAAAATAAACAATTTTATGTTATAATGTTCTTTTCTAATTTATGTTGTTGAAGAACAAAATAATTCAAAATGGTACAGTTTTAAAGCTTTAAAGTGTCTATCGGTAAATTATTCATCCAAATATCTAAATTTGATCAATGAATTAACACTTGTAGTTTTTTTCCAATAAGAATATATAACGGCACCCCTCTCCCTCTCAAACATACATTTTTGGATCTTACAGCTCAAACAAATTTAAAAAAAAATTGTTATGAATTTTAAAAATATCAAAAAATGCGAGCAACAGGTAAATTAAGAAATTTTTATTTTATTATACAACTTTTAACACTTTCGTTCCATCTGGATTCATTAAATAACCCTATAGTTTCTATTTACTTTTTATGTTTTAGAACATAATACTTTAATTTCAATCTTAATGTTGAGGATTTGTAGTTTTTTTTTAATATTTGTATTGCATACTCTGTTCTAATTAATCTTACTTAAATTTTATTCAAAATAATATTAAACAATTCACTGTTTGATGTACAAAGGTACATATTGAAATGTACTGTAATTAGTACATTGTTAAACATCAACAAATCTGTTATATGAGATCAAACGCGGTCTCGAAATATCAATATAAACACAATGTACGAACTATGTTACAATTAATTGCACTATTACAATTCCATATTCGATTATTGATATTAAAAAAGTAAACTATTTTTTAAATATATTTACCAATAGATTGGTTTGATATTAAACAAATAGCATAGCTTTTACGATTCGAATAAAATGAAGAAGAAAAAAATGTGTTTTTTTAATTTCAAATTTCGCGAGTAATAGATGATATTATGCATCTCAGTTGATAAGTAACGTGCAAAACAGTGCATCCGAACGGCAATTAAACTATTACGTAATGCGCACGCAACGAGCGGCGCCTCGCCTGCCGTCGATTTGCATTTCAATAACGATGCACTCCGTTGCAAAACGAAGATTCCGAGACTAATTTGCATTCACACACAAACACATTCAATTAATAATTTAATTATCACCTAAGTTTACTAAAACAGTTTTAATCATTAATTTAATAACTAAATTCAGTTTTTTAAATTCCTTTGTATTGATTGTTATATGCTGTTATGCTAAACCAAGCTCTAACTTACTTAATACGAGTTTTGTAGCACTTTATACAATAATTTCAAATATCTCTTACTGCATGAGAAAATATTCAAATGATCAATCAATTTATCAACAATCTACATATTCGGAATAAATCGTAAGAATTTTAATTGAAATGGATAAAAACATATTTGTGAATTACATGTATAGTAGCAGTTGTTAGTCAATTCTGTTTAAGGATCTAGCTAGCGACGTCGAGAAGCCGTATGAAACAATCATCGAAATCGATTACAAATCGCAGTTTCCTTTTTGTGTTTGTGATAGAAACAATGTGCGAGGAAATTGGAAAAGTTCAGTTTGCTTTAAAAAAAATCATCTCAATTTCCCGACTATACCCTTTTATTTATTATTTTTTAGTTTGTTTCGAGTTCTCTTGAGTTGACACCTGTACAGTTTTGCATACGAAATTAAATTGGATATGTAGAATTCGCAACATCACAGATTTATATTTCTCTCTTAGCAACGAAACTTATTAACGTTGAAAGATCAGATTCGGAAACTCATTGGCAGCTGATGGCCACAGGCCGAATTTCACATTCATGGTATACACCGGTGCTGATTTGTCAACTTCAAACCATAGCCTACTTATTTATTGCATGTATGTCACTACGTTTTTAATATATAGATGTATAAATTACAAGATTCATTTTGTTTTTTAAATTTACAAATTTACAGTAGAAATACAACGTTTTTTTTAGATTTCATTATAATTATATAATATTGGTGTACATCAGCGGTCCGGGAACTTTTTTAACCATTACCCCAAAATATTTTTGCGTAAGTCGATATTACCCCCCCATTCTGAAAGAGAAATTTTAAATAAACATTATTTATTGAATTAATTTACATTTACATATTTATAAAAAAAAGTTACATGAAAATAGTAAGTATGTAATAGACAAACAAAATAAAATTCTTAAATTGGAACAAACTAAAATTAATTGAAAACTTTCCCCCTTCAGGTTTTAGAAAAATAATGTTGCTTCATGTTTGATTTAATTACTTCAAAATTGGGACTTTTTGATGTAAGAGCAATTTGAATACAGTCTTCGGTCTTTGACAACAAAAAAGACGACAGATTTGCTTTGGTCTCAAATTGAATACGTGCTTCAGTGTTGGATCGAAGTTCAAGAATTTCCTAATGCCAAACCTGGAGGTTCTTCTGGTATGTAAGTAATTTCAAATTTAAAAGGATCTACAACCCAATTTACAGTTTGTACATCAAGATCTGGAAAGTAGTCAGAGAACCGCTCTCTGAGTTTGGTAAAATGAAATTAGAAAAAATTCCCTATTACCCAAAAAAAATCATTTTTACCCCTTTTGGGGTAATTTACCCCGGTTCCCCGACCGCTGGTGTACATGAATAATCTTATATTTGTATAACTAATAGGAATTAACTGTTTGCAAACACTGACGATTTTTAAATGCCATGTTAATTATCTTAATTAGAATGGAAACATGTTTATCGTGCTTGAAACGCGTGTCGATATCGGATTTGGTTTGGCAAACTGATTAGAAATGCCCATGGACGAACGGCTGCGATAAACAGTTTCAAGCTTTTCGATAGAAACATAGATGGAAAGGAATATCGTCAATAATTATTTTCGAATTTATCATTTACTCATCTTCAATAAGTGTTAATTGAAATATATTAATTGAATCAATTCAGTTCAAGTTCAATTTTAGTGTTTTTTTTATATATATAAAATCAGCCTAATCCAGGGTTCGTGCATCTTCTTGGAGTAAAGATCCATTTTTAAGATTACATGTGTTAAACAAATATTTAGGGAGCCGCACGCAATAACGTTGAACCAATGATTCAATTACTCATTCAAAGGGCCATTATTTGTCGACCCCTGGTCTAACCTATCTAACATCATAAATATAACATGGATTAAGAAAACTAAAGGTAACATTGTGGCCGATAAGCAACGGAAGGATGGAATAGGTATAAAAAAAGTAACTAAGCAAATCGATTTGCTGTTCAAAAATTAAGTTTAAGCATATTTAGAATTCATAAATCTAGAAGTTAGAAACAATTAATTTTAAATTATGAATGAAAATAGATTCGAAATGCATAATTTACATTATAAAGTTGCTCAATTGAAGGAATGACGGTTGATGGTTTGAGGCCAAGTGATTATATATTTAGGATTTTGGAAATGGGGTTAATGAATGAAATGTGAGGATGGAGGGCGGTGCATTGGCCGTGTGTGTGTGTCGTTCGTTGTCTCGTGGCCAAAACACGAAGGACCGTTTGGTGTTTGCGCGTTTTAGGCCGTAACTCACGATTGGTTAGAGATATTGATCTGGGCCTTGTTTATTCGTAATCTACGTCAAATTTCCGTGCGGATTCGTGTGCGATATGTCCATGATGCTGCCGCCGCTGCCTCCTCCTCCACCGTCGCTGCTGCTGCGTCGTCCCAGAACTGAAACGGGATCAGGAATAGAGGAGCTGGGGGTTATCCTCCCCGATTATGAGGATGGGAAAGGGAACCGGTCGTTTTCTGCTTATTATTTTAGTGGAATGGGGGAGCGCAGATTCGCAGAGTATCGACTGGATCTCCTCAGGTTGCCTCCATTTTAACCCATCCAGTCCAGTACGACGATGTTGGTGTTTGTTGTTGATGATGATGATGACGAGGGTAGTAGTACCATTGGCGGTTTTACTACAGCCACCTCTTCTTCCACGACATTCCCATCCTCAGTCCACTGATGAACGACCTAACGTCTCCCGCCGGGGGTGGCCCTCCCGTCCTGCCGGGGGTTGGCACGATACGACCAAGTCTGTTTCACGCTGCACAAACCTCCAATATCGCATTGTCCTCCCCTCTGCCGCCGCCACCATCCTTATTTCCACGGCCGCCGCATTTTCCCCATAACCAATTTATAGGAATACAAACACAATTACCAACTTAACTTTTAATCAATCCCATAATCCAATGTTGAACGACACATATAAGAACGAATCTATGAGTTTATTCAATATTTCTTGTTCGCATTTTATTATACATGAACGATTTTCTATCCAGGAATCAGATTCTCTTTTAACGGTTACAAATTCATATCCATTTTACAATCACTACATAATTTAAATAAATACTAAAAATAATAAGTACTAATTAATAATAATTAAGTGTTTTCACAATTTCGTGAAAATGAAAATGGTGGTTTTCGATTATTTTTATATTAAATTGATACTTTTGCTGGAGAGTCAAAGTTTTCAATTTTAATGCGCTTTGAATTTCCATTACGGTTCATTCATTAATTAAGAGTCGACGCGAAACAGCTTTTATCAATGGTAAATATTTAACTCAAACATATTAATCATACATATTAATAGTACAGTTTACTTGTCATTCGTAATTATTTATTATTTTTCTTAAACAACACTCAGTTAAATCACATTTCGAATTACTACTAAACATTGTTAATAAATAAAAAGTCCAAATGTGTGACACTCTCGACAATTTAAGTTACGTACAAAATTATAATTGGTTTGATTGAAATCAAAGAGGATGGCGCATATTTGCAAATCAGTGGAATATTTACAGAACAAACACTCAACAGGTATGTAAACTTGCAGACGGAAAAAAAAGTGTTTTAGTTTATATCAAACAATAATTACTAACAGTTTTAATAGATTGATTTAAAAATTTGTATTATTTTTTTTATGATAATAACAAATAGTTTTCACTATTTATATAGTTAAATGCTAGAGTAGCATTATAAAATCGTTATTTAATAATCAACAGGTACTAGATTTGTTTGATCGGTTGTTTGATAGTAACTATAACATTTTAAATGAATATGTTTGCTTTTTTTTTATATACAGTGGAACCTGGCTTAACGAGTTTAATCCGTTCCAAAATTTCCGTATTTTTACACGTATAGTCAAACTCCCGACGTTCGAAATCCCGACTATATCGAAAATGTCTACAATAACATTTTTAAATTATTCCGGAGCGTACTGATTTTTAAATTGTTATTAATAATAAATAATAACAATTCATAATCTAATTGTATTTGAGATTATTTCATAATGTTAAGGTTTATTATGAATAATTCAACAAAATCAAATAAATTAATAATATTTTTTTGTTATTAATAATAAAAGTGTAACACAAGGTGACTACGCTCCGAAATAATTTAAAAATGTTATTGTAAAAAATTTTGATATAGTCGGGATTTTGATATAGTTGGGATTATGTTTGTCGGGATTATGGTTGTCGGGATTTCGATACAGTCGGCATTTCAAACGCCGGGATTTCGGTTGTCGGGCTTGCGATATAGACTGTAGTGAAACACGTTTTCCCATTACACTAATGTAAATTACGATAATGCGTTCCTTGCTGGAAAAAAGTATAATTTGGTCTTGGTTCTTTTCATTCTTTAACTTTTTATTCAGAGACATGCAAGTGTTATTAAATTTTGCACAAAAAAAAATACAAATAACATGTCTGAACACAAGCTTGGAAATTTTGTGATCACAGGAACTGTTTTCCAATTCACACACGGTGAAGTGAGTTTATATTTGTTTATATTACTTGTATCAATTCGGGGATTTCGTGGAGGTCTCTTTATACTTTTAATATTTGTAGATATAAAAAAAACGTACATTTACAGCAAACACAAATTTGCAAAGTATAGTCCGCTTTAAACAAAGTTGACAAAAAAAACGAAGTTAGTTAATATATTCAAAAATATACATAATACTTGTACACAAGTTTTAATCGTCACTCGTAATGCGAAACGTCGCTTATTAAACAAGTCATTTTTGCTACAATTCATTTTGCTTGTTAATTTCGCTTATTTCGCTCGTTATGCGAGCTTCCACTGTATATACTTTTATTGCTTAATGCAATTTAAGCAGCAAATAGTTGAGTGCAAGAGTTTTATTATTATTGTTGTTGTTTGCAATTTGCTAAAGGGAGTCTTGAAGAAGATTAACCAGTAGATGAAGAAGTTTCATCATTTACTTCTACTAAATCACTAGGTTTTGATTTCCATTCAATATCATAAAGAAAATAGTAGTTAAGATAGTATTTTGCATATTATAGAAGTAAATTTTGAAAAAAAAAAAAAATGTGCTATGATTGTCCACAATATTAATAAAATGTTGTATCCAGTGGTTGTTTGCTATTACGTAAAGAAGTGTTTGTGTATGTGTGTGTATAAATGTGTTTTTGCGTGGGTGGGGAGAGTAGGGATAAAGAGTGGGGGAGCGGTCTTCGGCAGCCAGCGTTTAAAGGGAAAACAAAACACATCTAATCGATACATAAACCTACCTTTTTACCGTTTAACTTCAGCAACAAAGAAAAATAAAGAAGAAACTGGGTGGAACAGGGGAAGAGCAATAACGAGGAGGAAAAGTATAAAATAAATAAACTGAAAATAAAATCCACATTGAAAGCCTTTCCCGGATTCCACCATCATCGTCGTTTGCACCGCCTCCTGCGGAATTGATGAATTTTTGCTCATTCTCTCTCATCCCTTTCCCAATAACAATAGTTCTTTCGAATGTTAACGTATTGCACACGAATTCAGACGGAAATTCGGTCCAGATTCCATTGCACCAAGAATGGAATCGATATTATATCCACTACAAACGCGCCCTTCTGCCGCCTCTATTCTTCGCGTCGAGGGCGACAGGTTCCGATCCAGGTTCTGCGCCTTCTCGCCTCATCTTCCTCCTGTTTGTATGTGGCGAGAAAACTAGACCGGCGAGGATAATGGGTTCAAGTCGATTTCCAATTGCGAGCGGTTTTGGCGCATAATCGGGAACTTTCCAATTAAACTTGAACTCTCATTCTTCAAATCGATTTAACGGTCTCAATGAACGCCCTTAATAAAATGACTCGGCCCGCGGCCTCCCTGTTGCTCAAAACATTTATTTTCTGTTATCCTTAATGCATCTCTTTACAGCATAATATAATCATTTGCAAAGTTTTAATTACATTTTCCATCCATCTAGTGCAGTCTAATTATTGACGTTTTCTGAGAAAGAATCCGGCCGAATATCCTGTAAGTAAAAGTTGTTTTCCATTACGTTCGATTCTTTTCACTTGCGTAATATCTACGCTCTCCCCCTTACATTACATGTGTATCCAAATTAAATACAGTTAACTTAAACTTGTATATCAACATATATCTTAATATTTCAGGTATTTATTGATGAGAAAAGTGTCGGGTACACGTCAATGGTAAGTGTGGACGAGAATGTTGCTTAGAGTTTTAAAGGTCCGAGTTTGACGGAATTTTAAAGTATTTGAATTCCATGAATACTAAAACTTTGTGAGTTTCTGCTCGCCGGTCTCATTATACTTCACTTGAAGTAGAAGTCAATCTTTAAACAAAGCTTAAGTTTTGAACTATAAAAGATAAAGGCCATAAAATAAATAATCAAAGCGTTAAATAGGAAAACCAGGTCAGAGAAATCAAGGAAATTAAAAAGAAAAATCAAGTTGATTGATAGAATTAATTATGGAAAACGAAAATGAATATTTAAAAAAACAAATTAATTAATTGCATTTTGCTAGTTCGGTTCGGTTTTTTTTTTTGGAATTCTGAAAATTTATGTAATGCGAAGAGAAATATCGAGATGCGCTCAGAGTCTTCTTTGTATTCGTCTTCTAGTCGAGTTATTATGGATTTATTTGAATAGCAAAGTGGAAGCAGCAATGCGAAAGCATCACTTTTAGGTTCAATAAACTCGGAACGTATTTTGCATTGCGCATTGCATAAACACGTACCATTCGCTCGACGGGAGATTATACCTATTCCAATTATATTTTGTATGACAACTCGGTATAATTAGGAGGCAACGTAGACTCTCCGTCACATGGAGAAGAGAAGAAATTTAAAAAAAAACCGTTAATTTAGAGCTTTACACATTTTAATCGATTATAATTATTTTAAATCGATTATAATTATGTAATTAAATATTGTTGGAAACGCGCATTCATTTAGAATGGTTGTCAGTATTGATTATTTCATAATAATAAATCATGAATCATTGTCTAGTGACGGGGGTCGGCAATATGCGGCTCTTTAAATGAGGAACTGCGGCTCTATTCGTTATTAAGGAATTATTGGTTCTTTCACGTTATATTCATCAATGCGTGCGGCTCCTTAAATATTCGTTCAACACGTACAATTCCTGTTTTAGTGGATTCCTAGAATGGATTAAGAAATGATTGATTGAATTGAAGAAACTTTACATCGTAATCAGCATTAAAAATTTGAATTATTAGTATTTTTATATTGTACTATAGAAATTTGTTATAATATCATTTCGTTTGATGTAAATATTTGCTGCTTGAACGTTTTTTCTTCAAAGATCAAAGTCATTGATTCCGTTTAGAATATGCCACCGATGTGGATTAATAATAACTAAGTTATATGATCCACGTCACGTAACGTTATTAAGTCCAGTTTCGGATCGATTCATTGGAACATCGTCCATCTGTTCGCGATCTGTCCATGTCATCGAGGAGCGTGCATACTATATAAACTACACACGTTCAGTGACCAATATTTAATGCATGTCAGTCTGCTAAATAGTTAATACGGCTAATGGAAATTGATTAGATATATACACGTTGTCGTCATAGATACGGCACTTTTCAAACTGTGCGGATATTTTGTTGTTGCGCGCTTACTGAGGAGGTGTGTGGGGGTGGGGGCGACGTTGTACGGGGCACGCGCGCACCTCTTGTCCCGCTCGACGTCGGCGTTTGTACCTTTATTCAAAACCTGCACATTTTAAGTCTCATTAGCCGAGGCTCAGGCACAGATTATCAGACTGTTTCCCCACCGTGTGATAACGATGCCAACTGCAACATTCTCTCTTCATCATTCATCATCATAATCAACGACGAACTACAATTTTCTGTAAGTAATCATCATTCAATCTATGAACAAGGAATAATGTAATTACAATCTAATTCGCTAAACTGCAGATTACAACTTTTTCATTCTATGTTTTAGTCTATATTTTAATAGTGCCGTTAGTATTACATTTTTTTTACTGCTTAACAGGTCACATCTTTTTATAAAGATTATAATTACAGGTATAAATTAACGAATTAATACAATTTTCTAATATAATATCTATTTTTCATTCAATATAAGAAAGTTTTTTCCTATTTCTAAACTTTTTTTATCAATGGATAATACTACTTTGTGAGAACTCAAAAGTTTTTTTAAGGACGAATGAAGTAATGACGTGTTTTTTTCAATGATGAATATTTTCGGTGGCAATCTCAAGCCCGACAACCGAAATACCGTCCATCGAAATCCCGACTATATCAAAATTTCGACAAATAATCGCGACTGTATCAGAATCTCGACAACCATAATCCCGACTATATCAAAAATGTCTTCAATAACATTTTTAAATTATTCCGGAGCGTAGTGACTTTTAAATTGTTATTAATAATAAATAATAACTGTTTGGGCGCCAATGTAAATGGTGGCAACACCGTGCGCCGGAAAAAAGAGTAACGCTAGGCTTGTAAAGATAAGCACGGCAAGAAAGAATTAATATAAGTTAAAAGAGAGTTGAATGAAATTATTGTTGTTGAATATATACGTTTAGAGTTGGTCGTATATAGTTTATTTTATTATTCACCCACACATTGGTCCTTCGACAAAACAATAACAATTAATAATCTAATTATATTTGAGATTATTTCATAATGTTAAGGTTTATTATGAATAATTCAACAAAATCAAATAAATTAATAATAATTTATTGTTATTAATAATTAAAATATAGCACAAGGTGACTACGCTCCGAAATGATTTAAAAATGTTATTGTAAAAATTTTCGATATAGTTGGGATTTTGATATAGTCGGGATTATGGTTGTCGAGATACTGATACAGTCGGGATTATGGTTGTCGAAATTTTGATGTAGTCGGGATTTCGATAGACGGTATTTCGGTTGTCGGACTTGCGATATAGACCCGAATATTTGAATAACGAGATACAATTGTACCACCAATTTCTCAAAATATCAACTTCTTTCTTAAGATTAAGACATTTTTTCATTGCATTTTCACTCAATGCGTTGAGTTTCTTTTGTAGAACAAGACATTTCAAGCCGTCCATGAATATTTCACAATTACGTTTCAATTTACCATTTGAATAATTGATTGATTGATGGAGAAACGAATGTAAGGTAACAAAAGAAATCCAACTTTTTTTTTGTGTCGTTGGAAGTATTACAATAGAAACATATATGTCCAAATTAATACCAAAGTTTCAGCAAACTCATTACTGTTTATTGATGAAAATATGCACATAAATTTTATCATTTAATTGTATTTAATTATGTGCGAGTTCTTATTGCAGCTTATTAGCTTTCGTGTCTTTGGGTATTTCTTTACAGTCTGAATTTTTCATTGCATTAAATGCAATTTCTGTAATTATTATTTCATTGCATACACGTGCAGTCTCTACAATTGTAGAATGAATCGATATGTCGATAACGCAAGATAAAATTACCAATGTCATTTCTATTTGATAATTTAATTTATTTCAAAACAAAGTAAGAAACGATGGTCAGTGAATGTTCAAATGTTGCTGTGGTTTCATGCAATTGGCTGTAATTTGCGTAAAGTACTCAAAAGTAAACACTCGAAAAAACAAGTGTTTTTATATTTTAGTGTTTTTCTCGGAAATTATAATAGATAGATTGAAGATGCATATGAAAGTTGGATAGTTGGGGAATGTATCGAATATTTACATACATTGCTGTGGTTCCATACGTTTGGCTGTAATTCATTCAATAATGTAGTAATGAATTATCTAACTTAAACTTCACATGTGAATTGTATATGAAACTTGGATGTTTGGGGAATGTCGCGATTATTAAACTATTGCTGTGGTTCCATCCGTTTGGAAGTAATTAAAAAAATTATATTTGTAAGAACTATAAACATCCAGTAACTGAATTATATTAATAAGTAAGCATTTGCTTTTTCTATAAATAGCTGAAAATCAATCGAGGACGTGTGCTGTATTTCATATAAACGCTCCAAAAAAAAAAACAACAATATTTTGGGGACACAGCTCGAAGCAAACACATTATAATGTTTAGAACATAGTTTTAATATTACAATCCCTTTGCTGCATAGTCTGACCGTGGATTTTGTATTGTTATATTCTTTTTGTCGTTGTTCAACAATGTCCGTGTGTTCATATAACAGAAATTATATGAAAATAAAGAATTATTAACACGCGAACCTCTGATAAAATAATTATTATATCGATTCCCTGACGGAGTCGTATATAGATTCACATTAAACTTACACAAATGTTGATTAAACATGAGTCGAGTTACAGTTTTTATAAGTATTAAACTGCATAGAGTTACAAAAGGTTTCTTTCGTTCGCAGGTTTTGCTTGAATAAAATGGAGGTAACCATCGAGAAGGCGACTATCCTGCAATGCCTGACTGGACACACAAGCGATGTGACGAGCTGCGATTTCGGCCCGAATTTCATGCTGGTTACTGGTTCAAGGTAAACTTAGATACTTTCCAGAAAATATTTATTATAATTTCCATCTGCTAAATCATAGAATAAAATTGAAATATTTTGCTTTATTTTAAGATAGGATATCGGAACTTCTTCATACTTAAAACTTTTATTTTAACAATATTAAACGTTTAAATAAGGGAAAATTATGATATTATTATTCTTAAAAAATATACATATTATGAAATAAACATAAAAATATTATATTATCGCTTAATTTGTGGTACGGAATGCGGTCAAATATTTATATTTCTCTGTGTATTGATTATATACTGTTCGTAGACTGAAGGAAATGTATTATTTCTATATGTTATTTTTCTTTGGAAGCGACAAGACTGTTAGAATTTGGGAATGGTCGCCAGGTGCTGGTTTCGTCGAGAAATCCTTCTCGCCTCTGCGAGGACACAAGTACGGGGTTACTAGCGTAAAGGTGTCTCCGCAGGGTTCGATGGTGGCAACGGCCTCCATCGACGGTACAGCAATCTTATGGAATCTGCACTCAGGTAACAAAATCCATACGATGGTGCAGGTGAATGGAGATGCCATCAGGGTATGCAGGTTGGTCCAAATAGTCTCGGCGACTTTGTTATTATTTAATCCTGATCCATCTTCCTTGTTTCGGAACAGATTTGCTCCAGATAGCTCGGTCTTGGTTACAGCTGGAGATAATGGTGCTATTTGCATTTGGGACCTGGTGCACAGGAATCTAATACGGTATGCAAATATCTTCCCTTTTTTTGAGGTCGATCATTATATTCGATCCGATGTGCTTATTTTATGCTTTCGTTACAAGTACGATTTTCCAACACGAAGGAACTACGCAGGCTTTGGCTTTCACTCCGGATTCCCAATATCTGGTAAGCGCGTGTTCACTCGAGTGCATCTACGTCTGGCATTTGCATGACCTAGTGGACACTACCGATGATGCACCTAAGCAGCCAGTCGCCTCCGTCGACAATGCTCATGACATGGGATTTCTCAGCATGGACATCTCCAGTTTAATTACAACAACAGATGGTAATCACATATCCCACATATAATAAATAACTTATAAAGCACATCAGGAAAATTATGGAAGCTAGATGCATCTGTTACTACTTATTCAAATGAAATATAGAGCTAATAATATGTTAAATCACATTAATTGGTTGAATGATTTCATTGATTGTTTTTTAACTTTCATTATTTAGATCCATTTGTGAAGAGTTACCAGTTAGCAGCAAGCGGCAATAGCGAGATAATTAAAATGTGGACAATAACATCTCTATCCGTTCCTAAGCATAAGATGATTTCGGGATGCGTAACCATCGAGGAATCGGGAAGTTTGATTGGTCATACTTCTGTCGTTACCTGCGTAAAATTCAACAGCAGCGGTAGAAACCTGGTATCCTCTAGCCTGGACAAGTTGGTGAAACTTTGGGATCTAAACGGCGCTTGCATCTGCACCCTGAAGGGTCACACTAGATATGTGAACAGCGTGGCCTTCTCGCGGGACTTCACCCTCGTCGTCTCAGGTCTGACATTTCATATACATTGTATAAAGTCTAATTTACAGAGAAACAAAATCTTTTCGCTTACCTTCTATAATCTAATCCGCAAGCATTTCTTTTCCTCCCAAAACAAAGGGTAGATCGCACGTCAGTCTGCAGTTTTCCATCATGGTTTTTTTTTTATAATTTGGAACGTTGTAAATTATTTGAAGGTTCTACAGGTTCGAATGATAAATCTGTGATAATTTGGGATCTCAGCGGCGAGCTGAATTTGAATTCGGAGATGGTAAAGGCTCACCATCAACTGGGTTGTCTCCTGGACGGCGGAGATCAAGAGAATCGTATGGTCATGAACGCTGAATCCGAAGAGAACTCGGTGACTCTCATTGAGAAGCTCGACGACATCTTCGAAGGGGCTATCAATTCGTGCAGTTTCCATGGAGATTCCATGGTGGCTACTGGATCAAGGTAATCACGCACTTAAGACTAATACGTAGCAACTAATTTGTATAATATTTATGTATTATTTTCAGTGATAGATTAGTGAGAATGTTTAGTGTAACTGAAGATTTAACGTTGGAGGAGGTTACGAATTCGCCCATCGACAGTCACTCGTACGCCGTAAATCATGTGGAATTTAATAAAGGGGGCGAAATGCTGGCCACGTGCTCCTTAGATGGCTGGGTAAACGTTTGGGATGCTGCGGTAACAGGCCTCCTCGGACGTAGACGTTCTCCCGGAACTTATTTAAATTTCTTTCAGAATAGACGGCGGATCGCATCCAATCCGTTCCAGCGAACAAACTAAGCGTACGCGTCTGTAGATTTTCTCCCGATTCCAATTGGATAATAACCGCCGGAGATGATGAAATAGCCGTGGTTTGGGATGTCTCCAGCATGGAGCAAATATGGTAAATGGAGGATTCGCACATTTAAGACAACCAATTAAGGATGTATGCGAAGTGTTTTAGAAGGACACTCGGATGCTATAACGTGCGCTGCATTCTCTCCCGATGGAAATTTAATTGTAACCACCTGTAGTAACGCCGATTTCCGCTTGTGGTTTATGGACAATCAAGTCTACATAGAAGATGGTGCTCATGATTTGGGCATATTAAGTTGTGACTTCTCCGAGAATCTTGAACCTATTCCTAACGTGGATCTTCTGGACTCGCAAAACTATTTACTTGTCACCAGCGGAAACGATAGTTTAGTTAAATTGTGGAGTGTAGCTGTCGAGAAAGTATACGTACACTTTAGTAATGGACTTTTATTTTGATAATAACATTATTTAAGATTGATAACAACTTGAATCACGATTCCATCCAAGTTAAAGTTTGGAGGTGTCTTCAAGGGCACGGAGGATCCGTTTTTTGTGTAAGATTTTCACCAGTATCTGGGGAATTGGTTTGCTCAACAGCTACAGATAGACAGGCTAGGATATGGTCCGTTTACAGTGCAGATTGTCTTCACGTTCTGGAACACGATAGTATTGTGACTAGTTGCGCGTTCAGCAAGAGCTGCACACTCTTAGTAACAGGTTGTTTTGATAAAACACTGTGGGTGTGGAAACTACCGCAACAATTGGTGATAATTGTAAATAAATAACAACTAGTATAACTAAGTTATTAATAATTTTTAGATATTTCAAAGCGTTGTGGCCAACAAAGTAAAATCTAGGGCTAAAATCCTTCCTGATTGGAATAACAAAGATGTCCTAAGATGGTTGAAGGATGTTGGACTAAGTGAAATTTCGGAAACAATAACTTTAAGTGCTTTGGATGGAGAGAAAATAATGAGTTTACAGGACGATGAAATATTAGCCAATCTTGAATTAAGTAAATGTTCTAAATGCAATTTGCGGATATCAATATTAGTGGTATTTTGATTTCAGCCGAAGAACAGTCTGAGGTTTTTGCCAAAGAATTGAATTGGCTAAAAAAAGATGAACGGCAATTCAACTCAAGCTATTGGAGTAAGATAAACGAGATTCCTGAGGAATTTATATGTCCAATAACACAGGAAATAATGCGAGATCCTGTCAAGATCAGTGATGGTTTCACGTACGAAAGACGTGCCATTACAGAATGGTTCATGTCAGGAAAATATACCAGTCCGATGACCAATGGTGTCTTAAGCAATACAGATATTTCGTCGAATGTAGAGTTGCGTAACGCAATTCGTACATTTCTTTATGACGAAGAGTAATCCAGTTGTGCGCATTTCAAAACTACCCCCCATGCGGTGTACAATTATATTTAAAAAAAATACACACGTGCATGGCTTAGTATAGACACGATTTATACTTGGTCTTGACGCCAAATGTCTATGCACTTTCTTCAAAGAACAATCAAATCTTGCCAAAGTGCCTTTGGTTTAACAATACACACCAAGTGCATTTTTAATAAGCACGTCCACTTGGAGTAAGCATTTATCCACGGTGATTTATTTTAGCACATTCAGTTAAACAAGTTCATATATTTTTTATATTGAAGCAATTTTACTTAGTATTGGGAGTTGAATGAATTAATGATTTATAAAGAAATATTGTTTTTTATTATACAAAAGAAATAACCTTTAAATAAATATAAACAAACGAATTACATCTACAAATCAGCCTTATTCTTCTTTCTAGACTTTTTCTTTTCTTCCCCCTGGACAGCAGTTTTCTTAGTCTCCAAAGCATCTTCAGTCAGTTCCTCAGCAGCTTTTCCCTTCTTTGACTTGACATTCTCAACTTCTAGATTTTCCTTCTCAGGATCAATTTCAGTCTTCTTGCCTTTCTTCTGAACCTTTTCTTCCTCATCTTCAGTCTTTTTGTTTTTACCCGCCTTCTTTGGGCCAGCTTTACCAGACTTCTTGGCAGGTTTAACCTCTTCTTCAGATTCTTCATTGTCCTCAGCTAAGTCTGCCTCCTGTTCTTTAGATTCTGGCTCATCCTCAGGTTCTTCCAGATCATCTACTTCCTCATCCTTCTCGACTTCCTTCACCACCTTCTTCTTTCTTCCTTTCGGTTTAGGTACCTCTTCTTCATCATTGGTAACCTTCTTTTTTCTACCCTTGGCTTTGGGTTCTGGATTTTCCTCAGCAACATCTTCCTCAACTTCCTTGGTAACCTTCTTCTTCCTGCCCTTCGTTTTAGGCTCAACTTCTTCCTTAGTAGCTTCTACATCTTCCTTCTTCTTTCTGCCCCTCTTTTGTTTGGGTTTGTCTTCAGCATCAGGCTTCTTTCTTGTCTTCTTCTCCTTAGTATCCTCATCATTGAGTTCTGAATAATTCACCTTCCTCTTCCTGGTTGAGCGTCCCTGATTTGTAGGTTTCTCCTCTTCATCTTCTACGGAATTGGGAGAATCGGCTGCTGCAGTTTCCTCTTCCTCTTCAGAGTCTTTTTCCTCCAACTTGTCTTCTTTAATTTGATTAGCTTTTCCCTTCTTCTGCTTGGGTTGCTTCTTTGGTTTTTCTACAGCACTCTCTTCTGAGTCTGCCTCATCTTCTGCTGGAGTATCATCCTGTTTGGAGTCAGAGTTCTCTTCCTCTGGCTCACTCAGTTTCAAAGCAGCATCAACTCCTGGAAATTTCTCAAGCTGATTCTCATCACTGGAATCCTCAGCTTTGTTTTTCTTCATCTCTGCTGCATCAGCATCCACATTTTTACTGACTTGCTTCTGTTGCTTCCTTTTCACCATGGCTACAGACACATCAAAAGTTGATTTAGGTCAAATATGTAAAGATGCTTTAATTTATATTTAATGTAAAACACTAAACTATTATCTCGAAAGCGATATAATTAAGATAAAATGAGAAAACAAGTAAAAGAAAATGGAGGATTACCTACCGGAATCTGTTGTTACAATAAATAACGATTTTTAACCGAAATTTTACACAGGTTATGTTAGCTTTTCGTACTGTTTGCGGTGCGGTTAAATTCAGATTAGTTGAATTGGACGCAAGTTTTCCGATTGGCGGTTATTATTTGCACGAAGCGACCTCTGGTGTTTCAATTCAACTTCGAAACGTTTTTGGCTTTCTCTTTGTCTTTCTTTTATTTAATACTAATCCAAAAGATTCATTATTAATCATTAAATTTGTATTAAATGCAGATAAAACTTCATGGATTATCAATAATCATAAATATTGTAAATAATGCACAACATTTTATTATATACTATTTTACAAACACTGATGTAATAAACTTACATACATTCAAATCTATAATTTCACTCACACTTTAAATTGTTGTAAAAAGTACATTTTATTGTTATTTGTCTGTAATAAGAGAAATACATATTTATCATAGAATTATATTTTCAGAGCCGGTGTCCAGGCTTGGGCCCTCAAAGCCTTATGCAAGCACGAACGTGAGGCTGCACTGGGCTGCACATTTAGGCTACACTCCGTTTTTATGTTTTTTTTTGGGCTCAAGTCAAAGGACACGTGGCAAACCAAAGGTTTCACTAGAATCGCGATTTTAAATTATAAAAAAAATTGTTTAAGGGACCCCAAATTATTTTTTTTTGCCCTGGGCCCCGCACTTGTATATTTCATTATTTTAAACATCTCTTCGATCCCAAATCATAGATTTGCTATATTTAGCGAAATATTGCTTCCACATAATTTCGTATGATTTGGATACAATTATATAATTAAAAGAAATTATTAACTGCTCCTTCTGATAATAAGATTTCATTCTTCCTATAATTAAATGAAATTACTGTAATTGTTACAGAAATAGCCAAAGTTCAATTGAACATAATTAATGTTTATATTTAAGTTTTCATTCAATTTAATGTATACGACCTCCAAATATGAATTCATTTCACAATTCTGAAATTAGGAAATTTTAATTAATTACTAAATAAAACACGATGACTGTTACTTCATTTCAATTAGTAGTAAAAATTAGTCTTATTTATATATTAATTATATAAAATGCATACACAAATGTACATTAATTATGTTTAACCAGTTTAAATGTTAAATGAAACTCTGCAATGAGCTTTAACTTAATCCAATGTCAAGGTGGACTTGAAAAATTAAAGGAGAAAAACTACGTCATCAGTTGTTGCAAAGTGCATGGCCGAACCCTGCAAAACCCCTTTTTTTAAATTACACCTTGCGATATGTTTATTTCCATTTCCTCCTTCGAATTTCTCTCAATTCCTTCTTAAATTAGTAATTTCATTTTTAATAATTTTACATGTTATGATTTGATTGAATACATTTATTTGATAATTAAAACAAATGATATTGCTGATTAATTTAACTGATAATTCATAATAATAACTTTTAAGCTTGATGAGCAAATATAGTTAATTAATTCTCTATAGACAATCGTAATTAGTTTCAATTATAATAGAAACATTTGTAATAGAAAAGTGTTGTTATATTTTCTTATGTAAACTGTCTTATAAGTGCTTTTAAGTCTTTGTGGCATACGCAATGTAACTCCTTTTGAATATTACTAGTAGGACATTATCAAAATTTTCTAGAAAATGTACAGGAAAGAGGAATTACCAGTTAATTTTGTCAAATGATGAATATTGATAGTCTATAGTATAGCTGAATCAAAATCGGATGGTATAGTCTCTATACCATCCGATTTTGATTCAGTTGACGAAGTTGTCATTTCTCATTCCTCAAAGACTTAACAAAGTAACTTATGTTTTCTAATTGCAATTTACTACAGAAATAAACACGTCGGGAATAAAATTAACTACTTTTTGTATTATTAGTTTACTTTACATTAATATTTTTTTAATTGTAACTTTTATGTTGCTTAATTAAATAATAAAACGAATTGAAATAATCAATATTATTTTCAAACCATTCTTTCTCATACATTTTTTTTGTGTATATATACGATAATCGAATTACAATGAGGACAAACAAATGAATTTAAGTAAACAAGATATTTAGTAATGAACTAATGAAATATCATAGTAATTTAATTGGACATCAGGAATTTTGTCATAAAATAAACAAGCAATTAATGCAAATATCTCGTTGAATTAAAACAAAATTTGTAATAAAAAACCTTCACCTATTTCTTTCGTAATCGAATTTCTAGGTTTCTTAAGATGTTTGAAACATTATTAAGATGTTTGTGTCATATACGATAATAGTATTTTTTTTAGATAATATAGTATTCCCAGATTACATATGTAACATACAACACTAATATTGTAATACATAAGAAACTCATTTACTAATGACTGTTTAATTTTGGTATGTACTTTACGGAACATACGCCTATATAGGCTTATTCAAATATAAGAAAAAATAAATAACATATATAAAGTTGTAAACTGGTTTTTTCCTTTTGCGCATAAAAGACGCTCACCGAATTCGATTTTGTGCATTTCCATTGCGCTCTCCTCCCTTCGAATATATTATATATCGAAATAATCTCCGACATTAAGTGCGGTCAGATTTCGCAGCACAGAAAGTTCGAAAGATTCAAATTTGGAAAACGCAAAATGATCGCAGCCGAAGAAGTACTCGACATGGAGAAAAGCTACGTTCAGGTTGTATTGGAGAAATCTAAATTGTTTGGAAGCAGACCTGCGTTTGTGAGTATATTTTTTTGTTAAATCTATTTAAGTTTGTTGCAAATTTAATCGTTCTGTCTTAAATCATAAATATATTGCAGAAAATTACTTAACATCTTTTAGTTGCATATGAACGTCTTTATAGACTAAATCCTAATTACATCCATTATGTAAGAATTTGTTATTCTCATTTAATTATGAAAGTTAATTATTTAATCTCTTTGAACTCTGCATATTTCATCTACAAAGAAGAGGAATATAATGAACTTTGTATCTTGTTGTATTTTATAATCCCTACGCAATGACATAATTGTTCTCATTTTGTCAAATTTTTGTAAATTATTTATAACAATTAATGAATTTATTTTGATTTCTAATAAATAGATCGATGCAGAAACGGGCAAAACGTTTTCCTTTGATGATGTCGTAAGTAGATCTAAGAAGCTTTCGAAGATCCTCAAGGAAATCGGACTGAGGAAAGACGACATCATTGCTATTTGCATGGAAAATAACATCAATTATCCTATCGTTTTTCTGGCTTGCCTCTTTAATGGCATTGTGCTGCATTTTATAAATCCCAAAAGTACATTCTGTAAGTGTTTCAATTTACTCTATTTTTTTAACAAATTTCCTATAATAACTATATTCGTATTTTATTGATGAATTAACAATATATATTCTTATTTTAATAGAATAAACGAAATAATGTTCAGTAATTCTTTACCATCTAATCTCTAGTTTCATAAATTGTAAATATACCTACACTAGGTCCTCTTTTTATGCGTAATCTTTTTATGCAGTTTCTTAATTCAAGAAGCATTTTTAAAAATAAATATTTTGCGCCATTTTGACACGTTAATATTCGGAGAATATTGTCGGCGGATGTATCGCTTCCTGCCACGGTGAATGTCAAGGATAATTTAGGTCAGCTCAACCGTCTGTCTGTGCAAAAACAGCATGTGACAATACAATGCACCATCTATTGTTTTCAGAAATTCATTAGTGAGCGTTCGACTATTGGACGTATGTTAAGTTATTTACTTTTAGTAGTTTGCTAAATATTGGAACGAATCCTTTATTTTTATACGTGTCTAGTCCTTTTTTGTGCGATTTATTTTTATGCGTTTTCCTGTGGAACGTATCTACCGCATAAAAAGAGAACCAAGTGTAGTTATAAGAATGCAAATCAAGCAATTGTTGATATAAGATTGTTTTGTTTGGAGTAATTTAAAATAATAAACAATTCACATAAAAGGTTATAAATTAATAATTTAATTTCAGATGAGATGGAGCATGTCCTTCGTATGAGTAAACCAAGGTTGATATTTACCAGTAACTCAACATTTCAATTGATATCTTTAATACGCGAGAAATTCAAATTCATTCAGTCCCACATCAATCTGACGAAGCACTCGGAATGTGTGAGTCTGGAGGAGCTCCTAGATTTCGACGATTACAACATAGATGATTTTGAATTGGCGCAGTTTGATCCCGTGGAGCAAGTCGCTATTATTCTGAACTCTTCGGGGACGACGGGATTGCCTAAGGGTGTTCTGATCACCCACGACAATCTTAGATGCATGTTCGGATATTTCGGGTAATACGAAATAATAATAATAATAATGCTTCATTAATAATTAATCTGATTAATGCAGTAATCCGCGATTTATTCCGAGCGGCTTGGATGACGTAACGCTCTCGGTGTGCCCGTTCTACCATCTCTACGGAGTGATTATTTCAGGCATCACCATGGTTACAGGAATGGTTTCCGTGGTGATGTCCAAGTACAAGAACGAGACGTACCTGGAGTTGATTGAAACTTACCATGTGACGATGTTGTTCTTGGTGCCGCCGATGGCGATGATTTTGGCGAAAAGTCCTCTGGTCGACAACTATAAGCTGGATAGTCTCAAATGGATTTTTTGCGGTGCGGCTCCTTTAGGCATCGAAGTGCAGACGATGCTTTCGAGTAGACTGAACGTGACGATCCAGCAGCTGTACGGAATGACAGAACTGACGGGTTTAGTCACTATAATGCCAACAGATGTCAAGGAGTTTAAGAAGACGGGATGCGTTGGCATTCTAACTCCGGGTACCTTGGCGATGGTCAGGGATCTGGAGACCGACTTACCGTTGGGTCCATATCAACCTGGGGAACTCTGCTTCAAGGGTCGTTTCATCATGAAGGGATATATCAATAATCCCGGTGCATCACAGGCGGCCATAGACAAAGATTCGTATCTTAGAACTGGTGATCTTGGGTACTACGATCAGGATGGCTACTTCTACGTCGTAGATCGACTCAAAGAGTTGATCAAGTACAAAGGATTCCAGGTACCTCCCGCTGAACTGGAGGACGTTATCAATTCGAATGAGTCTGTCGCAGATTCAGCTGTTATTGGTAAACCCGACGATTTCGCCGGGGAATTGGCCGTGGCTTTTGTCGTCAAGAAGCCGTACAGCGATATCAGCGAACAAGATATCATCGAGTACGTGGCAAGTGAGTATTCACGAAAGGCATAGTAAAGATATCGTTACATATCTATCACTTTCAGAGCATCTTTCGAGGGAAAAACATATATACGGAGGAGTTATTTTTCTGGATGAAATCCCCAAGACACCATCCGGGAAAATATTGAGAAAGGAATTGAGAAAAGTTATCATATAATCTAATTATCTACAAAAACCTGTACATAGTCTTAGTATATTTTATCACCAATAAATCCTAAATCAATATATGATATTTATCTTAACGTACTTATACCGTAAACACTTCTATAATGAGGTTTCCATATATTGCGAAACAAAAAATTACAACATCACTCCGTTATTTCTATATAATTCAACTTAATTAACTAAAGTAGTTTTCCTATAATGCAGCATCTACCAGAAAATATATTGATAAATTCAAAGTTAATAAGTTGTTCATCAACTACTGGAAAATATTTAATAGAAAAAAACTCACAATAAGGAGTATAAAAGTTTTATTGCTTTTTGATAAAGCTAGTGGTCCTAAATATTCATTTCATGAGATAAGTAATTTGTGTATTACATAAGTTGTATTTGTTAGTTTATTATGTATATTCTTCAAAACGTAAATTTATAAATTGTATGCACAAAATAATTGTATTAGAGTATAATTAGCGGTTTCCATATTTGCTTTATTTATATTAATTTTTATAAAGTCGTGTCAATTTTTGTGAAACAGTTGACAACATAATTCATTAACTTACAAATGAAAATGCTAATATATACAGGGTGGCCCAATTGAACTGCAACCAACTTAAAACTGCTACAACTTTCAAACTGATGATAGCTGATTTCTGTTTTTTTGGAAACATAATTATCCATGATGGAATTGAAACGTGATAGTGTGATAGCCCTATATTTGAGCAAAAAACCAAATGTGTCTATTGTTAGAGTCCTCGAACATCTCAATGTGAATAAATCTTTCGTGTCTCGAACCATAACACAAAGCTAGTGGTGTTACAAAATGCTATTTTGGTAGTCGGAAAAAAACTACATATGTGGTTCGGAAACTTAAGGCTCGAATTGAATGAAATCCGCGACGCAGTGGAAGACAAATGACTACTCAGCTGAACATATCAAAAATAACCATGCAACAAATATTCAAAATCGAACTCAAAGTGAAACCTTACAAGTTCCAAAAAGGGCAAGATCTCACCGATGTTAAAAAAAAACTAGGCTCGATAGAGCGAAAGAGATTTTGCAATTGTCAAATATCGTCTTGTCTGATGAGAAAAATTTTTCAATTAAAAAAATTGTTAACAAATAAAATGATCGAATTTATTTAGAAGAGAGGTCAATCAGACATTTAGACATTCGAATGACTACAAGAAGTCAAGTACCACCGTTTGTGGTAGTTTGGAAGGTTGTGGCGTCAAGGTTAATGCGAATGTCTACTATGAAAAAGTTTTAGAAGGTGTTCTGATGCCGTGGACAACCAATTTCAGTCAGAAAGAGAGTGGACCACGGTGTTAATGTGGTTAATGTGTTCAAGAAAGTCCTTCTTCGTGAATGGAGGAAGATTCCACAGCTTCACATTCGTGCAGCGTGCGACTCGCTTGTCGACCAACTCAGAGCCATAGTTCGCGCTATAGACGAAAATTTTCGCAACATTTTTTGCTTGTTGTTCAATCAAATCCAATTTCAAATTAAAAAAAACAGCGTTCTGAAAAGTTTCAGTTCAATTGGGTTACAAAGTAATTTCAATTAAGATTAAGTAAAGAATTGAAATATGCAAACGTTCTTCGTCTGTTGAATTGCGCAAATATTTTTTTATATTATTCTAAGTTTCGAAAATTTTAACAATTTCTTCTCTCGACATTTCTTCAATTTTAGCTAATTTACCTACAACATTCCAAAGAAATCTGAAACCTTATACATCCTTTCAAATATATTGTATAATTGGTTTATAAATAAACTACTAAAACAGTGCTCATTTACTACGTAGTCAGAGTTGACGAATTAATGACACATCAAAAAAATATTAAGATCATGACATATTTAAATGTCATTATTATAATTATACGTCTACTGTGATTATCTATATTTTGAAGATCAAAATTTGACAATATCTAATCTAAATATATTTATTTAATATAGAACACTAAGAAGATTAACGAATTAAAAATATTCCATAAATAATGTGTCAATTATAATAATAATATTTCTATTCTAAATCTTATAAATTTTGAGGGTTAACAAAAAAAAAACAATTGTATTCAAACTACTTAACGACCTCACGAACCACTAAATTCTAAATTTTGTTTGTTCCATAAAAATAAGATTCTAAATATGAAATGGTACATATATTTGTTTTTGCATTTGTGATTTTCATAAAAAATACAACGTAATAAGGAGAAAATTGCAAAAAAGAACAGTAGAATTAGAATATCAAAAAAAATACAAATTACTCTGCGAACTAAACATTCGCAAAGATTTTATAACTTTACTGTTTACTTTACGATTGTAACAAGTATAAATAAAATAATTTTATGGTAAAATGAATAAACACCAATAAATTTTTAATTGGAAATTATTAATAAATTTTCACCTTGCATGATTTACTTTATACAAATGACGTAGACTATTTTATTTATTTATATTAAACCATTAAAATTTCATAAAAATAATATGTCATGAAAATTAAATAAAATGCGTACATAAAATTAACTATACATACATACGTATATATATATATATATATATATATAGGTCTCGAAAACGAATGTTGTTACACAGTACACATTTCCGAATCGATATGGTTGTTTTCGAATCTAAAGAGCTCGGAGAAACCTTCTTCGATATTTTGAAGAACGCAAATCACAACGAAATCGTCATGGTAAATACAAATATGAGTGTTTTATTTCGTTATCAGTAACGTTCAATGATCGTTTGCACATAAATAACAGCACATAATTATAAATAAGTTACAATGAACTAGAAATTTTGTTTATCTAATTGCTTATATTTGCGCATCATTTAAATCACACAAAAAGAAGTTTGACTGTATAGAGTGAAATAATTTATATTTATTTCCACAGAATTTGCTGAATTAGGAAATTATGTTGTTGTAATGTGTATTTCTCAAGATTTTAATTAATGAAATATATTTTTGATTTGCAGATGGACGCTGTTACGGAAAAGAACTTAACTTTCGGAAATTTATTTTTGGGAAGTCTAAGAGTTGCCAATAAACTGAAAGATTTTGGTTTGTTGAGTGGTGATGTCGTTGGTATAGTGAGCGGAAATGTACCAGAGTACTTTGTACCAATATTAGCATGTTTCTATCAAGGAATCACTGTGCATCCCTTAAACGCTGCATATAATACAAGTTGCAAATAAATTTTTCCATGCCGACAATCTTAATCTACCAGTATTTTTGTTCCAGGAGAGCTGAAGCTTGGTTACAGAAACAGTAGACCCAAAATAATATTTGCAAGCAACGAGACTGTATCTAAGATTTTGGATTTACAGAATCAAACTGACTACATCCTAAAAGTCATCAATTTTGATGATTGTAACTATTCGGAGATGGTGGTATCAGGGGAGTCGTTGGAAACAGTAGAAACGCAAAATGAAGAAAGCGCTGCTGTGATCCTCAGTTCTTCTGGCACCACAGGTCATCCTAAAGACGTGGTTCTCACCAGAAAGAATATAAAAAGTGCTTTCATATATTTACAGTAACTAGTATTAAATATATGACATTATGGTATTTATATAATTGGCATTTAAACAGGTTTCCGTATTTGTACTTCAGACCGGACACAGTGATGCTTGGTATAATGCCGTTCTATCATATTTTCGGGTTCATGGTTACGTTAGGCTCAATTATGGCCCAATCTATGACGGTTATTCTGCAGAAATTTAATCCGAAACTCTATTGCAAGATCGTCAATGATTTCAACGTTGCGTCTCTTTATATTGTGCCTTCGACAGGTGTGTTTTTGGCAAAAAATCCGATGTTGGATGATTACGATTTCAGCTCCGTCAAAGATATTGTATGCGGGGCTTCTCCTTTAGGTGTAGAACTCCAGACAATTTTAGAAAATAAGTACGTTTTCAATAGAAAGATTATATAAAGGTTTTTTTTTTCATAAATTTACTATTTCAGATTTAAGTGTAAGGTGAGACAGATGTATGGGATGACAGAAACCTGCGGAGTAGTGACCATGCTTCCAATGGGTGTAGAGTCGAAGATTGGTAGCGCTGGATTGTTGATTCCCGGTGTCGAAGCGAGGATCGTTGACGTGGAATCGGATCAGGTTGTATTCGAGCATGGAAAAATGGGTGAAATCTGTGTCCGAAGTGATTTGAATATGAAGGAGTATTTCGAAAATGAGGAGGCCACGAAGATGGCAAGAGATGATAAAGGGTTCATCCGAACCGGAGATATGGGGTATTGCGACGAAGATGGTTACTTCTTCATCGTGGAAAGACTTAAGGATTTGATTAAATATAAAGGTTTTCAGGTAAAACATACAAATTACTTTTACATTAGTTTCACAAGTTTTGAATGTTCAGATGAAACAATGAACAGATTACATACACTGGAGATATATAATTAAATTATTTTGTACATATTTTATAGCAGGTATTTCCTGGAATTCACTTCTTTCGTCATTCATAACAACGATTGTTTTTATTATAAATAATTTAAATTATTTTCAACTACTATTTTTCAATTCATAAATCTGTTGATGCAGGTTGCTCCCGCTGAACTGGAGGACATTCTGACATCACACAGAGATATAGTGGACGCTGGGGTCATTGGTATACCGGACGAGAGAGCCGGCGAACTTCCCATGGCATTTATCGTGAAAAAGGAGGATTCCGATATTACAGAGGATAAGGTCAAGGCATTCGTTGCAGGTAAAACTCGATTGTTGATTATTCATTTCGTGAATTTCATAACAAACACTCAATGTTATTTTGTAGAGCACGTTTCGGCTAACAAGTGGCTCCACGGTGGCGTTCGCTTCGTCAATGAAATTCCAAAAGGACCGACTGGGAAGATCCTGAGGAAACATCTCCGATAATCATTGAAAATATTCATGCAAATTGAATTTTAATTTAATAAATTCGTAAATATTCGTTATTATTTATCAAAATTCAGTATATTATTCATCGTCGATTTTTTTGCAATTTTTATTTCTTAATATTATTGTTATATTTTATATAGGTTGTGCCAGCAAGATCGGAAAATCTAAATTTTAAATAAAAACACACTTTTTTTTGAGAAAATATCGAAATTTTTATTTAATCGTAAAGTAGACATGTGAAAGTTTTATTTAAAATTTAGATTTTCCAGTCATGCTCTGACACCCTATATAATTACTTATTTACTATCTAAAATCATCTTCTAATTGAAAACTGAATACATAGATGATAAAAGTATAGGTAAACGTCGGTTCGATTTACGCCGTGCAATAACGCTTATTAATTGCTGATTTTACACTTATATAGAACTAAACCCTATAGTTACCTCACTGTAAATATGGAATCATTTTACGTCGATTCGATTTGCGACGGTTTTGATAGGAACGGAACCCCGGCGTAAAGCGACGTTTACCTGTATTTGAATACCAAACGATCAAATAATGTTAAATATAGTAACTGGTATATATATATTAGCTAATAGATTTGTAAATTTCAACCGATTGTTTTACATTTTTAAACAATTACTGTTAATGATTTCAAAATGTAATTAATCAAAAAAAGTTTTGATATTTATTGAGTAAATTGTTCAATAAACATGCTTAATCATTTAATAGCATGTTATTGTTGTTTTAATTGCAATCCATTTGTATAATACATAATTTACATTTTAAATTGTGAGCAATCAGGAAGATAATAGCAAATACTTTAGAAAGTACAGTGAATGCTTTTAAAAATATTTGACCGGTTACTATATATGACCATTGGAATTGTTCATTGATTTTGAACGCATTACACGATGCAAACTATTTCGCAAAATGAATCAAAGTTCAAGAGTCTTGGAGAAATCTTCTTCGATGTTTTAAAGAACAACTTGGACCCCAATAAGATCGCAATGGTAAGAAATGCATGTTTCAAAGCAATGACATGAAAATAATTAATTAATTGTAGATCGATAAAGTTACCAAGAAACAAATCAATTACGGCGAACTTCTGGATCAAAGTTTGAAGCTGGCCGAAGAGTTGAAAGCTCTCGGTGTTAATAAAGGTGATTTCGTTGGGATTGTGTCAGGAAATCGGCCAGAGTTTTTTGTTCCTTTTTTAGCATGCTTCTTCCTCGGAGCCGCCATCCATCCAATCAACGAAGTCTATTTATTAAGTATATAATGAAACTACAATAAAACATAACAAACTAATGTATGCACGTTTTAGATGAGTTGAAAGCTGCATTTATTCACTCCAAACCGAAAGTTATGTTCACAACTCAGGATCATTTTGAAAAAGTTCTCGTACTGAGAGAGATCACCGATTACATTAAAAACGTAATTAATTTCGATGGAAATTATTTGGAGATCATCCAAAAACGATCCGGTTTAAGCAAAGAGCAAATTGCGAAGATGATTGTGCCTTGCTTCTCAACTCATCTGGAACAACAAGTTTTCCGAAGAGCGTGGTTTTGACTCAAAGAAATGTTAAGACGATATTCAATTATTTAAAGTATTTACATTTTATAAATTCAACAAATGCATTAAACCATATTTCTTTGATAGATTTCCGTATATCGATATAAATACTGATAACGTCTTGATCGGAATGATGCCATTCTACCACGGTTTCGGTTTAATGCTTGTATTTGGTAGCATAGTTAATCTCTCGATGATGGTCATTTTGCGGAAGTTCAATCCCAAAGATTATTGCGAAATAATAGAAGAGTACAACGTGACTTGTCTTCAGATCGTTCCTTCTATTGGTGTCTTTTTAGCTAAACATCCTATGATAGCGAATTACGATTTTTCTAGGGTAAAGGATATCACGTGCGGCGCAGCTCCTCTTGGATTAGAAGTTCAGGACGCTTTAGAAAAAAGGTCAGTGAATGAAAGGATTCGAAAAGCAGACAGATCAGTTTGTATTACAAATTAATTATAATAACATATTTATTAACACATGAATACCTTATTAAGCTAAAGCAAGTCATCTTATTCAGATTGAATTGCAAGATACGGCAGTTTTATGGAATGACGGAAACTTCCGGTGTGATAACTCTGGTACCTACGGGCGATGAATCAAAAATTGGAGCTTCAGGAAAACCATTACCCTGGGTAGATATAAAAGTTATCGATATTGATAATAACGAAGAGATGGCTCAAGGTGGGATTGGTGAGTTGTGCGTGAAAACTATACAAAACATGAAAGGTTATTTGGGTATGGATGAAGACACTAAAAGCCTCTATTGGAACGATGATTACTTTCGAGCCGGAGATATAGGTTACATAGACAAAGACGGCGAAATTTTTATCCTCGATAGATTAAAAGAAATGATCAAATATAAAGCATTCCAAGTAATAGTCCTCAGCATAATAAATTAATTATAATTCAACTGATTCCATCACATACAACTTTGTAGGTTTCTCCATCTGAATTGGAAGACATACTGAACTCACATGAATACATCGTGGAGTCAGGCGTTATAGGATTACCGGACGAAAGAGCCGGAGAACTTCCAATGGCTTTTGTTGTTAAGCGAGAAAACGTCGATCTGAGCGAAGAAGCTGTTAAGGAATTCGTGGCTGGTAAATTACGTTATTTCGCTCGATACTTTATTATATATTTATTGTAATAGGTCATGTTTCATTGCACAAGCAACTTCATGGAGGCGTCAAGTTCGTTAAAGAAATTCCCAAAGGCTCATCTGGAAAGATTTTGCGAAAAACACTGCGACAATTAATCAAATGAACATTTCTCCAGCAAATTTTACTTATTTAGAATGGAATTCAAGTGGTTTTTAAATGTTATTAATACTTGCAGTTAGAGATAGCCAAAATATTGATTGAATGAAAAAATATTTCATTTGTAAGTTATAGTGATTACTCATATAATATAATACTAATATGATGAATATATTGTTGTTTTCATTTATGTTAAATCTCTTTAGCATTTATTTTATTTTATGAATAAATTATAAATCGTGTTTATAATTACTTTAATTAATTACCAAGAAAAAAATTTCAATAATTTTTTTTATTAGATCCGATTAGTGTATAATAAATACCAATTTTCATTATTCTATATATTCCAAAACTGAAAAATCTAAATCTTGAATAAAACACGTATTTTTTTTGGAAATTTTCATTTAATCAAATCATTTATTAGATGTGTTGTTTCTCACATAATTTCTACATGTCTACTTTATTTTTAAATCAAAATTTAGGTATTTTTATTTTACGGTCTTACTTGAACACCCTATATATACAATAATAGTGGTTTTAGTTGCCATATGATAAATTATATACAAAGTCCAATGAATACAAAGAAGTACACAACATTTATTATATGAAAAAGAGATAGTAGGGTCTAGAGATAGCATTCGAAAAGTCTAGATAACTGTGTAAAAATTGTAATTATATTTATATTGTTGAAGCAAAAACCGGAATTATTTTTGCGGAAAACACAAGTTGTCAAATGCGTGATAGTATTGAACGACAATAGTAAAAGTATATATATAATGAACTCATTTCAGTAAAGAATATTTAGATTGATAAAAAGAGCGCATCATCATGCACTCTCTTCCACAGAACGGCTTGTTCTTTAGATCACACGAAAATGGCAATGGTACAAATTGCATAATATTAAGAAGACAACTATCCTATTAATTTTAATTAATTGCAGATCGGTAAAGTTACTAAAAAGCAGTTAAACTACGCCGAACTTCTGGATCAAAGTTTGAAAGTGGCCGAAGAGTTGAAAGCAACGAGACTGTATCTAATATTTTAGATTTACAGAATCAAACTGACTCATCAATTTTGATGATTGTAACTATTCGGAGATGGTGGGATCAAAGGAGTCGTTGGAAACAGTAGAAAAGCAAAATGAACAAAGCAATGCTGTGATCCTCAGTTCTTCTGGAACCACAGGTCATGCTAAGGACGTGGTTCTCACCAGAAAGAATATAAAAAGTGCTTTCATATATTTGCAGTAACTAGTATTAAATATATGACATTATGGTATTTATATAATTGGCATTTAAACAGGTTTCCGTATTTGTACTTCAGACCGGACACAGATTTGCTTGGTATAGAGCCGTTCAATCATATTTTTGGGTTCGTGGTTACGTGAGGCTCAATTTGGGCCATAATTAATCTATGACGGTTATTCTGCAGAAATTTAATCTGAAACTCTATTGCAAGATGATTTCAACGTTGCGTCTTTTTATATCGTGCCTTCGACAGGTGTGTTTTTAGCTAAAAATTCGATGTTGAATGAGTACGATTTCAGCTCTGTCAAAGATATCGGATATTGCGACAAAGATGGTTACTTCTTCATCATGGAAAGACTTAAGGATTTGATTAAATATAAAGGTTTCCAGGTAAAACATACAATTTACTTTTACATAAGTTTCACAAGTATTGAATGTTCAAAAAAACAATGAACAGATCAAACGTGTTTAGATATATTGGAGATATATAATTAAATTATTTTGTACGTATTTTATAGCAGGTATTTCCTGGAATTCACTTCTTTCGTCATTCATAACAACGATTATTTTTCTTATAAATAATTGAAATTATTATCAACTACTATTTTTCAATTCATAAATCTGTTGATACAGGTTGCTCCCGCTGAACTGGAGGACATTCTGACATCACACAGAGATATAGTGGATGCTGGGGTCATTGGTATACCGGACGAGAGAGCCGGCTAACTTCCCATGGCATTTATCGTGAAAAAGGAGGATTCCGATATTACAGAGGATAAGGTCAAGGCATTCGTTGCAGGTAAAACTCGATTGTTGATCATTCATTTCGTGAAGTTCTTAACAAACACTCAATGTTATTTTTTAGAGCACGTTTCGGCTAACAAGTGGCTCCACGGTGGCGTTCGCTTCGTCAATGAAATTCCAAAAGGACCGACTGGGAAGATCCTCAGGAAACATCTCAGATAATCATTGAAAATATTCATGCAAATTGAATTTTAAATTCTTAAAAAAAATATTATTTATTAAAGTTCATCGTCGATTTTTTTGCATTTTTTATTTCCTAACATTATTGTTATATTTAATTATATTGTTTACATATGCACAAAATATCTATTTAAAAATATGCTCTTACATTTTAATTTGTTAACTGCCGGGTGAAGCAAGAGCGGAAAATCTAAATTTTAAATAAAAACACATTTTTTTCTGAGAAAATATTGAAATTTTTATTTAATCGTAAAGTAAACATGTGAACATTTTATTTAAAATTTAGATTTTTCGGTCATGCTGCGACACCCTATATAATTACTTACTTACTATCTACAATCATCTTCTAATTGAGAACCGAATACATAGATGATTAAAAATATAGGTAAACGTCGTTTTGCGTCGGTTCGATTTACGCCAATTCACAATAACGCTTATTAATTGCTGATTTTACACTTATATAGAACTAAACCCTATATTTATCTCAATGTAAATATGGATTAATTTTACACCGATTCGATTTGCGACGGCTTTGATAGAAACGGAACCCCGGCGTAAAGCGACGTTTACCTGTATTTGAATATCATACGATCAAACAAAGTTAAATGTTTGTAAAATATAGTAACTGGTATACACATTAGCTAAATTTCAACCGATGGTTTTACATTTTTAAACACTTATTGTTAATAATTTCAAAATGTAATTAATCACCAATGTTTTGTTATTTATTGAGTAAATTGCTGCATGTTTAATCAATTAATAGCATATCAGTGTTATTCTAATTACAATCATTTGTATATACATAATTTATATATTACATTGTTAATTGTGAGCAATCAGGAAGATAGTAGTAAATATTAGTATTAAAGAATAGTAAATGCTTTTAAATAAATTTCAATAAATAATTGACCGGCTACTATATATGACCATTGGAATTGTTCATTGATTTTGAACGCATTACACGATGCAAACTATTTCGCAAAATGAATCAAATTTCAAGAGTCTTGGAGAAATGTTCTTCGATGTTTTAAAGAACAACTTGGACCCCAATAAGATCGCAATGGTAAGAAATGCATGTTTCAAAGCAATGACATGAAAATAATTAATTAATTGTAGATCGATAAAGTTACCAAGAAACAAATCAATTACGGTGAACTTCTGGATCAAAGTTTGAAGCTGGCCGAAGAGTTAAAAGCGCTCGGTGTTAATAAAGGTGATTTCGTTGGGATCGTGTCAGAAAATCGTCCAGAGTATTTCGTTCCTGTTTTGGCGTGTTTCTTCATCGGCGCAACCATCCATCCAATCAACGGCATCTATTTATTAGGTAAATGATGAAACAAGAAAACAAATTAATATATATCAATAACATATTCTCAATAGGAGAGTTGAAAGCCGCCTTTGACATCTCTAAGCCTAAAATTATATTCGCAACTGAGAAAAGCTTGAATAAAGTTCAGCAACTCCAAACAGATACAAATTACATCGCGAACATAATTAATTTCGATGGAAATTATTTGAATATCATTCGGGAACGATCCGGATTGACAAAAGATGAAATTGTTGTAAACTGCGATCATGATTCTGCCGTGATACTCAACTCATCAGGAACCACTGGTCTAGCGAAGGGCGTAATTTTAACGCAAAACAATATCAAGTGCTCCTTCAATTATCTAAAGTATTGCAATATTTTCTAACAAAACAATACCGTATATTTAAACTCTCGCTTATTTGATAGATATCCGTACTTCGATATAAATCCTGATAACGTCGTCATCGGAATGATGCCTAACTTTCACGTCTTCGGATTTATACTGGGTATTGGTAACATCCACAATCTCTCGTTAATGGTAATTCTACAGAAGTTTCAACCCAACCAATATTGCGAAATAATTGAAGAGTATAATGTGACCAGTCTTCACATCGTTCCATCTATTGGTGTGTTTTTAGCTAAACATCCTATTGTGGAAAACTACGATTTCTCTTCGGTGAAGGATATCATTAGCGGTGCTGCTCCTTTAGGTGTTGAAATTCAGAGAGTCTTAGAACAAAGGTTAGTGATTAAAGTGTAACAAATAAATAAGAACATATAACACGAGCAATAATATTATATTTTCAAAATATATGATTCGCAAATAAGTAAAAATTAGCAAAGTATTGATGAAATGAACACGCTTTAGATTTAATTGCAAAATGCGGCAGATATATGGATTGACGGAAACTTGCGGTGGGATAACTATAGTACCAATGGGTGACAAATCGAAGATTGGTAGTGTAGGAAAACGTTTGCCTTGGGTAGACATAAAAATCATCGATATTGATACCAAAGAAGAGATGGCTCAAGGCGGAATTGGCGAGGTGTGCGTGAAGACCGCACAAAATATGAAAGGTTATTTGAACATGGAGGAAGAAAGTAAAAGTATGTATTTAGAAGATGGTTACCTCTGCACCGGAGATATTGGTTATGTGGACGAGGACGGCGAAATCTTCATCGTAGATAGATTAAAGGAATTGATCAAGTATAAAGGATTCCAGGTAACAATTCAATATAAACATTCAATATAAATGCATTAACACTTTTTAGGTTTCTCCATCTGAATTGGAAGACATACTGAACTCACATGAAGACATCGTGGAGTCAGGTGTTGTAGGATTACCGGACGAAAAAGCCGGAGAACTTCCAATGGCTTTTGTTGTCAAGCGGGAAAACGTCGATCTCAGCGAATATGCTGTTAAGGAATTTTTAGCTGGTAAATTACGTTATTTCGATCGATACTTTATTATATATTTATTGTAATAGGTCATGTTTCATTGCACAAGCAACTTCACGGTGGCGTCAAGTTCGTTAAAGAAATTCCCAAGGGCGCATCTGGAAAGATTTTGCGAAAAACTCTGCGACAATTAATCAGATGAACATCTTTCCAGCAAAGTTTACTTATTTACTTATTTCAAATGGAATTCAAGTGGTTTTTAAATGTTATTAAATGTTATTTCATTTGTATATTATGGTGATTACTCATATAATATAATACTAATATGATGAATAAATTCTAATCCATGTTTATAATTACTTTCATTAATTACCAAGAAAGCAATTTAAATAAATTATTTTTTTAATAGATCCGATTACTATATAATATATAAATTATATACAAAGTCCAATGAATACAAAGAAGTACACAACATATATTAATTGAGAAAGATATAGTAGGGTGTAGAGATAGCATTCGAAAAGTTTAGATAACTGGCGTTCACTTTGTCACTGAAATTCCAAAAGGACCGACGGGGAAGATCATCAAGAAACATCTTCTATAATCATTGAAAATATTCATGCAAATTGAATTTTAAATTAATAAATTCGTAAAAAATATTATTTATCAAAATTCACCGTCGATTTTTTTGCAATTTTTATTTCTTAATATTATTGTTATATTTAATTATTTTGTTTACACAAAATATTCTTACATTTTAACCTGTTAATTGCCGGGTAAATGTGTTTAATATAGGGTGTACCAGCAAGAGTGGAAAAACTAAATTTTAAATAAAAACACACTTTTTTTTGAGATAATATCGAAATTTGTATTTAATCGTAAAGTAGACATGTGGAAGTTTCATTTAAAATTTAGATTTTCCATTCATGCTGTGACACCCTATATAATTTCTTAATTACTATCTAAAATCATCTTCTAATTGAGAACCGAATACATATATGATTAAAAGTATAGGTAAACGTCGTTTTACGTCGGTTCGATTTACGCCGATTCACAATTACGCCGTGAAATAACGCTTATTAATTGCTGATTTTACACTTATATAGAACTAAACCCTATAGTTACCTCACTGTAAATATCGAATTATTTTACACCGATTCGATTTTTTAACGGCATTGGTAGGAACGAAACCCTGGCATAAAGCGACGTTCACCTGTATTTGAATATCATACGATCAAACAAAGTTAAATGTTGGTAAAATATAGTAACTGGTATACAAATTAGCTAAATTTCAACCGATGGTTTTACATTTTTAGACACTTATTGTTAATGATTTCAAAATATAATTAATCAGCAAGGTTTTGATATTTATTGAGTAAATTGCCCAATAAACATGTTTAATCAATTAATAGCATATCAGTGTTATTTTAATTGCAATCCATTTCTATAATACATATGAGTTAACTGTGAGCAATCAGGAAAATAATAGTGAATATTAGTAGTAAAGTATAGTGAATGCTTTTAAATAAATTGAAAAAATAATGGACCGGTTACTATATATGACCATTCGAATTGTTCATTTACTTTAAACGCATTACAAAATGCAAACTATTTCGCAAAATGAATCAAACTTCAAGAGTCCTGGAGAAATTTTCTTCAATGTTTTGAAGAACGACGTGGACCCCAATAAGATCGCAATGGTAAGAAATGCATGTTTCAAAGCAATAAAATGTAAATAATTAATTAATTGTAGATCGATAAAGTTACCAAGAAACAAATCAATTACGGTGAACTTCTGGATCAAAGTTTGAAGCTGGCCGAAGAGTTGAAAGCGCTTGGTGTTAAAAAAGGTGATTTCGTTGGGATCGTGTCTGGAAATCGGCCAGAGTTTTTCGTTCCTGTTTTAGCCTGCTTCTTCCTCGGAGCCGCCATCCATCCGATCAACGAAGTCTATTTATTAAGTACATAATGAAACTACAATAAAATATAACAAACTAATGTATGCACGTTTTAGATGAGTTGAAAGCTGCATTTATTCACTCCAAACCGAAAGTTATGTTCACAACTCAGGATCATTTTGAAAAGGTTCTCGTACTGAGAGAGATCACCGATTACATTAATAACATAATTAATTTCGATGGAAATTATTTGGAGATCATCCAAAAACGATCCGGTTTAAACGAAAAGCAAATTGTGGGAGGTTGCGAAGATGATTGTGCCTTGCTTCTCAACTCATCTGGAACAACAAGTTTTCCGAAGAGCGTGGTTTTGACCCAAAGAAATGTTAAGACGATATTCAATTATTTAAAGTATTTACATTTTATAAATTCAACAAATGCACTAAACCATATTTATTTGATAGATTACCGTATATCGATTTAAATACTGAGAACGTCTTTATCGGAATGATGCCATTCTACCACTGTTTCGGTTTAATACTTGGCTTAGGTAGCATAGTTAATCTCTCGATGATGGTCATTTTGCGGAAGTTCAATCCCAAAGATTATTGCGAAATAATAGAAGAGTACAACGTGACTTGTCTTCAGATCGTTCCTTCCATTGGTGTCTTTTTAGCTAAACATCCTATGATAATGGATTACGATTTTTCTAGGGTAAAAGATATCGTTTGCGGCGCTGCTCCTCTTGGAGTCGAAGTTCAGGACGCTTTAGAAAAAAGGTCAGTGTATGAAAGGATCCAAAAAGCAGACAGATAAGTTTGTATTACAATCACCAAATTGATTCATTATAATAACATATTTATTAACTCATGAATACCTTAATAAGCTAAAGATTAAAGAAAGTAATCTTATTCAGATTGAACTGCAAGATACGGCAGATGTATGGAATGACGGAAACTTCAGGATTGATAAGTCTGGTACCTACGGGCGATGAATCAAAAATTGGAGCTTCAGGAAAACCATTACCCTGGGTAGATATAAAAGTTATCGATATTGATAATAACGAAGAGATGGCTCAAGGTGGGATTGGTGAGTTGTGCGTGAAAACTATACAAAACATGAAAGGTTATTTGGGTATGGATGAAGACACTAAAAGCCTCTATTGGAACGATGATTACTTTCGAACCGGAGATATAGGTTACATAGACGAAAACGGAGAAATCTTTATCCTCGATAGATTAAAGGAAATGATCAAATATAAAGCATTCCAAGTAATAGTCTTCTGCATAATAAATTAATGATAATTCAAGTGATACCATCACATACAACTTTGTAGGTTTCTCCATCTGAATTGGAAGACATACTGAATTCACATGAATACATCGTGGAGTCAGGCGTTATAGGATTACCGGACGAAAGAGCCGGAGAACTTCCAATGGCTTTTGTTGTTAAGCGGGAAAACGTCGATCTCAGCGAAGAAGCTGTTAAGGAATTCGTGGCTGGTAAATTACGTTATTTCGCTCGATACTTTATTATATATTTATTGTAATAGGTCATGTTTCATTGCACAAGCAACTTCATGGAGGCGTCAAGTTCGTTAAAGAAATTCCCAAAGGCGCATCTGGAAAGATTTTGCGAAAAACACTGCGACAATTAATCAAATGAACATTTCTCTAGCAAATTTTACTTATTTAGAATGGAATTCAAGTGGTTTTTAAATGTTATTAATACTTGCAGTTACAGATAGCCAAAATAGTGATTGAATGAAAAAATATTTCATTTGTAAGTTATGGTGATTACCCATATAATATAATAGTAACATGATGAATATATTGTTGTTTTAATTCATGTTAAATCTATTTAGCATTTGTTTTATCGATGAATAAATTGTAAACCGTGTTTATTATTACTTTAATTGATTACCAAGAATGCAATTTCAATAAAAAAAAATTATTATATCCGATTACTATATAATAATTATCTTTTTCATTATTCTATATTTGTGTTTTCTATAGGGTGTTACAGCAAGACTGGAAAATCTAAATCTTGAATAAAACACACTTTTCTTTTTGAATTTTTGATTAAATCGAATCATTTATTAGATGTGTTGTTTCACACATAACTTCCACATGTCTACTTTATGGTTAAATAAAAATTTCGGTATTTTGATTTTACTGATGGTTTTTGCTGCCAGCTGATAAATTATATACAAAGTCCAATGAATACAAAGAAGTACACAACATATATTAATGGAGAAAGAGATAGTAGGGTCTAGAGATAGCATTCGAAAAGTCTAGACAACTGTGTAAAATTTTTAATTATATTTTTATTTTTGAAGGAATAACTGGAATAATTCTTGCAGATAACACAAGTTGTCACATGCGTGATAGTATTGAATGACGTCTCGATAGTAAAAGTATATAAACAATAAACTCATTTGAGTAAAGAATATTCAGATTGATAATAAGAACGCATCATGATGCACTCTCTTCCACAAAACGGTTTAAACTCTAAGAGCCTTGGAGAAATCTTCTTCGACATTTTAAAGAACAAAGCAGATCACACGAAAATCGCAATGGTATAAATTGTATAATATTTAGAAGATAACTATCCTATTAACTTTAATTAATTGCAGATCGATAAAGTTACTAAAAAGCAGTTAAACTACGCCGAACTTCTGGATCAAAGTTTGAAAGTGGCCGAAGAGTTGAAAGCGCTCGGTGTAGCGAATGGTGATTTCGTTGGGATCGTGTCTGGAAATCGGCCCGAGTTTTTCGTTCCTGTTTTGGCGTGCTTCTTCATCGGCGCTACCATCCATCCAATCAACAGCATCTATTTGTTAAGTTAGTTTATGAAAAACTTCCATTTTTACGTGATTCAGTAATACGTGATCGTTTTAGGAGAGTTAAAATCAGCTTTCGCCAACTCCAAACCTAAAATCATTTTCACAACTGATGAGAGTTTGAAGAAGGTCCAGGATCTACAAGCAGACACCGATTACATCGAAAACATAATTAACTTTGACAGGAATTATTTGAGTATCGTTCAAGAACGATCTGGATTGATCGAAGAGGAAATTGTAAGTAATTGCGACAGTGATTCCGCGGTGATACTCAGCTCATCAGGAACATCAGGATTACCGAAGAGCGTGGTTCTTACTCAAGGCAACATCAAGTGTTCCTTCAATTATTTAAAGTACTGTTATAATTATAGAGATTTAAAATGTATCTATAATTATATTTTGTTTATATAGATATCCGTATATCACTGTAAATTATGATGATGTCATTGTCGGAATGATGCCCTACTTTCACGTCTTAGGATTCCTCGTGGGCATTTCCAACATCTACAGTCTTTCGCTAATGGTCACCTTACAAAAGTTCCAACCCAACCACTATTGCGAAATAATAGAAGAGTTTAACGTGACCTCTCTTCAGATCGTTCCATCTATTGGCGTTTTCTTAGCGAAACATCCCATGGTGAAAAAGTACGATTTTTCTACGGTTAAGGATATCGTTTGCGGCGCTGCTCCTTTGGGTGCCGAAGTTCAAAGCATCTTAGAAAAAAGGTTACTGATTATATTTGTTACATATAAACAAGCATTGACCAAATGTAGAACGCAAACCTCATGACTTCCAACAAGAATATTTTACTCTCTCATCAAATAATCGATGTATTTCTTTACAATTTTTATTTGGTCCAAATCGCTAACGACCAAAGTGTTTGTATTTACTATTTTTAAAAAATTATTTGTAATTTAACTGACTAAAAGTGATCAAACGATTGTCAAAACATCTCCTGTTTTAGATTTAATTGCAAGGTCCGGCAGATGTATGGAATGACGGAAACTTGCGGCGTGATAAGTCTGGTACCAATGGGCGAAGAATCGAAGATTGGAAGTGTGGGTAAACGTTTCCCTTGGGTAGACATAAAAATCATCGATATTGATACCAAAGAAGAGATGGCTCAAGGCGGAATTGGCGAGATGTGCGTGAAGACCGCACAAAATATGAAAGGTTATTTGAACATGGAGGAAGAAACTAAAAGTATGTATTTAGAAGATGGTTACCTCCGAACAGGAGATATTGGTTTTGTGGACGAAAACGGCGAAATCTTCATCGTAGATAGATTAAAAGAATTGATCAAGTATAAAGGATTCCAGGTAACAATTTTATATAAAATGGTACAATAAATGCATTAAAACTTTTTAGGTTTCTCCATCTGAATTGGAAGACATACTGAACTCACATGAATACATCGTGGAGTCAGGCGTTGTAGGATTACCGGACGAAAGAGCCGGAGAACTTCCAATGGCTTTTGTTGTTAAACGAGACAATGTCGATCTCAGCGAAGAAGCTGTTAAGGAATTTCTAGCTGGTAAATTACGTTAATTGGATCGATACTTTATTATATATTTATATGTAATAGGTCATGTATCATTGCACAAGCAACTTCACGGAGGTGTCAAGTTCATTGAAGAAATTCCCAAAGGCACAACTGGAAAGATTTTGCGAAAAAAACTTCGCGAGATAATGATGACCAAATGATCATAACTCTTGTATTTATATTTTACATAATTATTATTTCAATAAAGAGTATATGCTGTTTATATAACATGATGATTCGTTCAGAACATTAATTTATATAGTTTATAAATAACTTAATATTAATTTAAATGTCGAATTCATGTGAATATGATGTTTAAAATATAATAATAACTTAAATGTGGGAATTAATACGAACTTGGTGGATACAGTGCAGTGCACAGTTGCAGAAAAGGAAGAGGTGGTGGAGTATCAATATACATAAAAAAGGAGATCAACTATGAAGTACTGTAAAAAAAAAACAATAAAAAATATCGAAATAATAACAGTCAGAATGAACGAACTACAAACAAATGTCACACTGGTTTACAACCCCCCTAACAACAATCCGGAAGATATAATAAAATTATTTGCAAATGACATTCTTAGCAGGAAGAAAAAACATATAGTAATGGGAGATATAAATATTAATTTTCTGGATAAAACAAACAAGACAACAAGGGTCTAGATTAACACTATAAAAGAACAGGGATGCTACATAGCTAACAAAATCGAGAATACCTACTTCACACGCTGGAGCTCCAATCTGAACCACACCATAATAGATCATGTAATAACAAACCAAAAAGGAATGATAGGAAATATAGAAATAGATGAGGTGCCTTTCTCTGACCATAGTAAACTGACTATAGAATGGAGAACAGGAGAAAAAAAGGAAAGGAAAAATATACACAAAGAGAGAGAAAATATATAGACATGGAAAAAATAAAAATAGAGATAACAAATAAAATATCGAGCATCGCATCGTATGACGAACTGGTACGGCTAGTGTCGGGTGTAGCGCTCACACACACAAAAATAAGTAAATTTAAAAGGAAAGAAAAAAATTCAAGGATCGACAAAACCATCTTGAACCTAATAGCAAAGAGAAACAAACAATATAATATAATGAAAAAATACCCAGGCAATAATAAACAACGTATGGATTATAAAACAATAAAAAAAAGACAGAACATAAAATACAAGAAAGAAAGGTAAAATACTATGGTAACATATTCAAAAGTTGTGAAGGAAATGTCAGGAAAACATGGTAAGAAATAAATAGGATGCTTGGGGGAAAAGTGAAAGGTTCGCAGGAAATATCCAGGCTGAGATCTGGAGATGACATGCTTACAAGCGGACAGGAGATCGCTAACGAGCTAAACAAATACTTCTGCTCGATTGGAGAGGAGCTCGCAAAGAAAATCATAGATAGAACTGGGAATAAAGACACAAACATAAAAATACCAAATAAACAAGTAAAACACAACTAAAAATGGACAAAACTACTGAAAAAGAAATAAATGAGATAATAGAGTCACTGAGGGATGGATGTGCGCCGGGCAATGATGGGATAAATACTTCAACAATTAAATATCTCAAACAGGAAATAACGCACAAATTGGTGGACTTAACAAATCAAATTCTGAGTTCCGGCAGCTATCCGGACGTACTAGAAAAAGCAACAATAACAACAATTTATAAAAATAGCGATAAAGATAGACCGGAGAACTACAGGCCGATTGCGATAACATCAGTGTTTGCCAAAATAGTGGAAAAAGTAATCCACAGAAGACTAAACGATTACATGAATAAAAACAACCTGACTAATCGGCGGCAGTACGGATTCCAGGAAAGGTCGAGTACGGTTGTGGTGCTGCTGGACTTGACTACAGAGATCTGAAGAATACTGGACAGCCATATGAGTGCTGTTGCGGTGTTTGTAGACCTAAAAAAAGCCTTTGACACGGTCCACAGAGGGAGATTGCTCCAAAAATTGAGGAGTTTGGGAGTGGTTGGTCGGGAGGCAGCGCTGTTTGAGTCTTACCTTACAAGTAGGGCTCAGCGAGTAAAGATTATGAGTGCAGAGAGCTCTGAGATGTGCTGCGAGTATGGGGTTCCCCAGGGGGGAGTCCTTGCTCCTACCCTATATAATATTTATACAAACGACATAGCCGAGGGGAGCATATACATGTATGCGGACGACACATGTATTCTGTACGGACACAGGGAGGAAACGGCGTTGCAGAACAGCATCAACAACGATATTATTAAATTACAGACATGGTACGATGACAATCTATTGACAATAAACGAGAATAAAACACACTACATGCTCCTACAACAAAAAAATGCTAGAAAGATCGAAATAAGCATCACTATAAACAATATAAGCATAAAAAAAGAACAAGAGACATATTTGGGAATACTATTGAACAACAAACTAAGTTGGGATGACCACATAGGCTTACAAAAAAAAATGGTACGACAATTGGATGTGTGAAAAAAAATAAACAAATTTCTCCCAGACAAGTGTAATATGGCAGTGTACCATAGTATGTTTACCTCTAGGATGTGCTACGGTGTGACGGTGTGGGGAAACACAACAAAAGAAAACATAAAAGCATTGACAAGACAACAAGAAAAGCTACAAAAAATTATGTTTACGAATAGCCGTGACACGCAGATACCGGATGTGGGGACACTGATAGAGGCACAGACAAACATTCTGATACACAAAATAGTAAAAAAAAACATATTAAGACCCGGATAGGCCTGTCTTTCGGCTGCGACACACACGATTATAGTACGAGAGCGAGAGGAAATATTAGAATGGAACAAAATGCAGCGTACCGAAAGAACCGAACCTGAGGGGCATACACATAAGTAAATAATAATAAAAATGTATAAAAAAATATTGTAAAAATTGTATATAAATAAATTTAAAAAAAAAAATATTAACTATATAGACACAGAATTAATTATAAATGAGATGATATTATATAATTTTGACCTGTGTAGAGATAACTTTGATATATTCGTTAAGCATAATATGCGTTTTAAAGAAATTGTTTATTATGTTTAATAATTTAATACTTTGGAGGGGATTTTAACAGTAATCGCTTATATTAAACGTATGCATTGGTTGCACACAGTATTCAGTTCAATGAAAACAACACAAAATGCAATCTCTGAAACAGAATGGTTCAGACAGCAGGAGTCTGGGAAAAATCTACTACGACGTTCTGAAGAACGAAGCAGATCCGAACAAAATAGCATTGGTATGAAATAAATGATGTGAAGAAGACTATAATCATATTAATATAATTAATTTGCAGATTGATAAAGTTACCAAGAATCGATTAAGCTACGGCGAACTTTTGGATCAATGTTTGAAAGTTGGCGAAGAGTTGAAAGCGCTCGGTGTAACAAAAGGTGATTTAGTTGGGATAGTGTCAGGAAATCGTCCAGAGTATTTCGTTCCTGTTTTGGCGTGCTTCTTCATTGGAGCAACCGTCCATCCAATCAACGGCATCTATTTATTAAGTAAATGATGAAACATGAAAACAAATTAATATATATCAATAACATATTCTCAATAGGAGAGTTGAAAGCCGCCTTCGACATCTCCAAGCCCAAAATTATATTCGCAACTGAGGAAAGCTTGAATAAAGTTCAGCAGCTTCAAGCAGATACAGATTACATCGCGAACATAATTAATTTCGATGGGAATTATTTGAGTATCATTCGAGATCGATCCGGTTTGAGTAGAGATGAAATTGTTGAAAACTGCGATAATGATGCCGCCGTGATACTCAGCTCATCAGGAACCACTGGTTTACCGAAGGGCGTAGTTTTAACGCAAAACAACATCAAGTGCTCTTTTAATTATCTAAAGTACTGCAATATTTTCTAACAAACATTATCGTATATTCAATCTTTCGATTATTTCGTAGATATCCATACGTCGATTTAAATCCTGATAATGTCTTGATCGGAATGATGCCCAACTTTCACGTTTACGGATTTCTACTTGGTATTGGCAACATCCTTCGTCTCTCGTTAACGGTAATTCTACAGAAGTTCCAACCCAATCAATATTGCGAAATAATTGAAGAGTATAATGTGACCACTCTTCACATTGTTCCATCTATTGGCGTGTTTTTAGCTAAACATCCTATTGTGGAAAACTACGATTTTTCTTCGGTCAAGGATATCTTGTGTGGTGCTGCTCCTTTAGGTGCCGAAGTTCAGAGCGTTTTAGAACAAAGGTTAGTGATTAAAGTGCACCCAATAAATTATGAAAATATACAATTTGTGAGTAAATAATAGTGAGCAAACATTTGATGAAATGAATCATGCTTTAGATTTAATTGCAAAATGCGGCAGATGTACGGATTGACGGAAACTTGCGGTGTGATAACTCTAGTACCAATGGGCGAAGAATCGAAGATTGGAGGTGCAGGAAAACCTTTGCCTTGGCTAGATATAAAAATTATCGATATTGATACCAAAGAAGAGATGGCTCAAGGCGGAATTGGTGAGGTGTGCGTGAAGACCGCACAAAATATAAAAGGTTATTTGAACAAGGAGGAAGAAACTAAAAGTATGTATTTGGAAGATGGCTTCCTCTGCACCGGAGACATTGGTTATTTAGACGACGACGGCGAACTCTTCATCGTAGACAGATTAAAGGAATTGATCAAGTATAAAGGATTCCAGGTAACAATTCAATATAAATACGTTACAATAAATGCAAGAAACGTTTTTAGGTATCTCCATCTGAATTAGAAGACATACTGAACTCACACGAATACATTGTGGACTCAGCCGTTATAGGAATACCGGACGAAAGAGCCGGAGAACTACCAATGGCTTTCGTTGTCAAGCGAGAAAACGTCGATCTCAGCGAAGAAGCAGTCAAGGAATTTGTAGCTCGTAAGTTGAATTGATGTAACTTTAAAAAAAAAACAATTAATTATTTATTGTAATAGATCATGTATCATTGCACAAACAACTACACGGAGGCGTCAAGTTCATTGGAGAAATTCCCAAAGGTCCAACTGGAAAGATTTTATGGAAAGAACTTCGCGAGTTGACCAAGTAATAATTTTACATTGTTTATTTAACTTTTTTTAATCAACGTTATCGAACAAATATAGTTTTTATTAAAATGTTGAAAATAATATTCTTTGTTTTTTTTGTTATAATAAAAATTGTTCATTTAATATGTAAATTGTTGTTATTGAAATTGTCATGTCATGTAAAATGTTTAATTGATTTGTAATGTATATAGTTTTATTTACAAACATAACATTTAATTAGAAAACTAATTGAGGACAGATTTATACTCGCCAATATATTAACAAACACTGCAAAAAGGAATTCAGGTCCGGAAAGTTAGGAGTTCTTTTGCAAGTGACCGCATTGATTTTATGGAATCATAATCAATGGTTTGTTGAACTCATTGAACAAATTCTGGCGTTCTTCTTCTATTAAAGCGTTTAGAATATGTTTTAAGTTTGAAATCAGAAATCGCTATATTTCCAACTGAAATTTCTTTAAAATTTATAATTTGAAAACTATAATTTATTACAATACAGTACAACCAAGAAAAAAAAAAGGATGTCCTCAAATATCTTACATAAACTGTGTATATTTCCATATGTTTACTTTATAAATAAAGTGGAATCAACAATGTAACACATTAAGTTCGTGCTATTTTTGCTATTTTTTTCCATGTAATGTATTCATTCCGTAAATAAACTCACCTTATTTTTTAAAAATATTTCAACAAAAACAACTTTATTTTTCCTCAGGTACAAATATTGTGCGTTGTTATTATATTTTTTATATATATATATATAGCTTAGTGGTATTGAAAATACTTTGTGATAATTTCCAAACCATAAAATGTTATCAATATAAGATGATACATAAAAAAAATATTTAAATTTAGATTAATTGTAACCGTTCTTACATATAATTAGCCTGTATAATTGATTATGAAATGTTGACGTGACCTGGTTGAGATAACTTTAAAAATAGGCAGATTATTCATTACATAATGGTGTGTTTGAAGGAAGAGTGGAAATGCAAAAAAAAATTCATTATATTGTCGGATCCTATAGTGGGGATGACTAGCAAGAATGACGTCCGTGAAGAGTATATTAAAAGATTGCACTTGGTATTAAATATTCAGTTTATCGATAAAATCGTAAAATGCAAACTCTCCCACAGAATGGTTCAGACTGCAGGAGTCTCGGAGAAATCTATTTCGATATTTTAAAGAACGATGCAGACCCGAATAAGATCGCTTTGGTACGTAATAATAAATAATCTGAAGAAAATGATACAATTGTATTAATTTCATTAATTTGCAGATCGATAAATTTACCAAGAAGCAACTAAACTATGGAGAACTTTTGGACGAAAGTTTGAGAGTGGCCGAAGAGTTAAAAACGCTGGGTATTGGGAAAGGTGATTTAGTTGGAATCGTGTCAGGAAATCGACCAGAGTTTTTCGTACCAGTCTTGTCGTGCTTTTTTATCGGAGCTACTATCCATCCCACCAACGGCGTCTATTTATTAAGTTAGAAATGCAAATATCAAAAGAAATATAATAATTTATTGCATGTTTTCATGCAGGCGAGTTAAAAGACACGTTCAGCATCTCCAAACCTAAAATCATTTTCACCACTGAGGAAAACTTGAAGAAGGTCCAACAGCTTCAAGCAGACACCGATTACATCAAGAACATAATTAATTTCGATGGGAATTATTTGAGTATCATTCGGGAACGATCCGGACTGAAAAGAGATGAAATTGTTGAGAACAGCGATCATGATTCTGCCGTGATACTCAGCTCATCGGGAACTACTGGTTTACCGAAGGGCGTAGTTTTAACGCAAAACAACATTAAGTGCTCCTTCAATTATTTAAAGTACTGCAATATTTGCTAACAAAGGAATTCCGTACAATTAATCAATAACTTATTTGATAGATATCCATACATTGATTTAAATCCTGACAACGTTTTGATCGGAATGATGCCCTACTTTCACGTCTTCGGATTTCTACTGGGTATTGGCAACATTCGTAATCTCTCGTTAACGGTTACATTACAAAAGTTCCAACCCAACCACTATTGCGAAATAATAGAAGAGTATAATGTGACTTCTCTTCAAATCGTTCCAACTATTGCGGTTTTCTTAGTAAATCATCCTATTGTGAAAAACTATGATTTTTCTTCGGTCAAGGATATCTTATGTGGTGGTGCTCCTTTAGGTGCAGAGACTCAGATCTTCTTAAAACAAAGGTTAGTGGTTAAAGGATTTTCAATAAATTGCAACTACTGAAATGTAATGAATAATAACGTTATTACACAAGTTTAATTGAAAATCCATTTTTTTATATTTGTGAATATTTGATATTAGTGAAAACATATAATTCAGAGAAAGCCAAATGACGATGTGTACATATAAACATAATGACGTTATTTAAAATCATTATTAATTTGATTATTATTGATAAGAAATTGAGAATTGAGTCACAGGATTTGATAGTGTAGTTATGCGATTGATTAAAGTTATCCTATTTTAGATTTAATTGCAAGATCCGGCAGATGTATGGAATGACGGAAACTAGCGGCGTAATATGTCTAATGCCCATATGGAAGGAATCAAAGATTGGAGGTGTAGGAAAACCTTTTCCTTGGGTAGATATAAAAATTATCGATATTGATACCAACGAAGAGATGGCTTCAGGCGGAAATGGTGAGGTATGTGCAAAGACCATACAAAATACGAATGGTTATTTGAACATGGAGGAAGAAACTACAAGTATGTATTTGGAAGATGGTTACCTCCGCACCGGAGATATTGGTTATTTAGACGAGAACGGCGAACTCTTCATCGTAGATAGATTAAAGGAATTGATCAAGTATAAAGGATTCCAGGTAAGAGTGCAACAACAAAAGTTAATGATGATTGAAGTGAGAATATCTTGTAGGTTCCTCCAGCTGAATTAGAAAACATACTGAACTCGCACGAGTGCATCGTGGATTCTGGCGTAATTGGAATACCCGACCGAAGAGCTGGTGAACTTCCAATGGCCTTTGTGGTCAAGAAAGATAATGCTGACATCACAGAAGAAATTATCAAGGAATTCGTAGCTGGTAAATTATAATTATTATGATTACAAAATATCGATCAACACTTATATAATTATTGATATAGGTCACGTATCCGCACACAAGCAGCTCCACGGTGGCGTCAAATTTATTAATGAAATCCCAAAGGGTCCAACCGGAAAGATTTTACGGAAAAACCTCAGAGAGTTAGCAATGACCCATTAATTATTATATCTTTATTTTACCTCATTTTTATTATACCTTTAAAGTAAATATATTTATTACCTTAAATCACGTAAATAATTATATAAAAAAAAAGATATTGTTTGTTAAGTAAAACTTAGATAATTATAGATTTGTTAACTTCAATTAGTAAAAATAAAGGATAGAAATAATGATTGTTCTGTGTTAGAATAAATGTAAATAAAAAGAAAACAAGCGATATCCAATTATTCAAGCACTTTACAAACAGTTTTTATATTTCTTATCATATTTTCGTCACCTCATTTAAATTTATTGCTATTTTTAAATGTTTGTACATATATTATTTTATACAGTACATATTTTTCAAAAAAAATACGTTTTAATTATTTTCATTACTTGCATTTTGAACTTTGGATTTTATAATATATTATCTAATTGCATTTATAAACAAACGTTCACAAACACAGTGCACTTCACGAAAACAACAGTGAATATGTCGCGACATCTTGGCCGTTTCTTCTTCGACATACTCAGAAAGGCAAACCCAAAGGATGTGGCCATGGTAAATACCATAACGTTTCTAATTACATCACATACATCAGTTGTTTTTCTTTTTCTTTTTGAAGATGAACAGTGAAATGAAAAGAAAATTAACTTATGAAGATATGTTCGTTGGGAGTTTGAGACTTGCCAAGGCTTTGAAGAATAGGAATGTGAAGAGGGGCGACGTTGTCGGGATTGTCTGCGAAAATAGACCAGAGTATTTTGTTCCGATCATGGCTTGCTTTTATCAAGGAATCATTGTGCATCCTATGAATGCCGCGTTCACTACACGTATGTTCGTGACAACTTACAGTTTCATCATTAAAACTTTATTTTGTAGGAGAGCTGGAACTGAGCTACGCCTGCAGCAAACCCAAATTAATCTTCACCAGTGATAAGAATATGTCAACATTGGAAAATCTTAAAAATTCTACTGATTATTTGAGAGAAATCATCAGCTTCGATAGCTGGAAGTATTCGGACATGGTAAAATCTGGAGAAGCCTTGGATGATATAGACGATAGTGCAGGGGATCCGGACGATCCAGCAGTTGTCTTGAGCTCTTCGGGAACGACTGGACTTCCGAAAGGCGTTGTCCTTACGATGAACAACATAATAAACACTTTTATTTCTTTGAGGTATATTTATTATATTACATATTAAATTCAATTATAATTGTAACTTTGTAGATATCCTTACTTGCACTTTACACCATCAACCGTGGCAATAGGTATGTTACCGTTCTGCCATGTTTTCGGCTTCCTAATATCTCTTGGAAACATCGAGGGTAACTCAAAAACGGTCATTCTGCCCAAATTCATACCAGAACTTTACTGTGAAACAATTCAGAGTTTCAATATTCAGTCAATACAAGTAGTCCCTTCGATTGCAATATTTTTAGCCAAACATCCAACGGTGGACAAGTACGATTTATCGTGTCTCAGCGACATTGTTTCTGGTGGAGCAATACTAAATCCGCAAATACAAGTTATTTTAGAGAATAAGTTAGTATATAATAATTATCATAAAATATTGAGTTTTAAAATACTTTTTTAGATTTGATTGTTCAGTAAGACAAGTCTACGGTATGTCGGAAACATGTGGAATAATGACCATGTCTCCACCTGGGGAAGTATGCAAGTTAGGCAGTTGCGGAAAATTAATTCCCGGTGTAAGTGCAAAAATCGTCGACACCACTACGAATAGACGATTGGGCGCAAACATCTCTGGAGAAATATGCTTAAAAAGCCCGATAATCATGAAAGAGTACTTGAACGATGCAGAGGCCACCAGAAAAGCCTTCGACGAAGAAGGATTCTTTCGCACAGGCGATTTGGGATACATCGATGAAGATGGTTATTTCTTCATCGTTGACCGATTGAAAGATCTCATAAAATACAAAGGATATCAGGTATCATATCATTAATCTTCCTTTATTATTGTAACATGATGCTGAACTAATTGTATTAGTAATATTATAGTAACCTAATATCGCTTACAGGTATGGTCTACCGAAATTGAAGATCTGTTAATGTCCCACAAAGACATTATTGAGGCATCTGTAATCGGTATACCCGATGACAAACATGGTGAACTTACCATGGCAATCATCGTGAAAAGAGTTGGCTGCGATCTAACGGAAAATGAAGTTATCAAATTTGTTGCTGGTACTTCTTGAAGATGATTGTTATTTTTGTTAACAAATACGATTCATACTTATCTGTTACAGAAAATTTATCAGAAATTAAGGGATTGCACGGAGGTGTCCGCTTCATGAAGGAAATACCTAAAGGAACGACGGGAAAGATACAAAAGAAGAAGTTACGAGAAATGTTTCAGCCATAATATTAGATTTATTAAATTAAATAATAAATTATAAATTATATTAAACTTATTTAACAAATTATCACGTCTATATTTATTTTTATAGCTTTTCCTAAAATGTGCATAAAGTAAGAAACATTTTCAGTATTTATTTTTCGAATTATTTTTTCAAATAAACCGACTACATGATTTGTTCGTTCGTATTTTCTAATTATAATATGTTAATCAACAATATATTAAAGGACTTGATTATATATATAAAATGAATATGTTTAATAATGAAAGATTGATAATGGTTCTAACAAACTTAAATATACATAACTGGCTTGATTTAGAATTTCTAAATAATTTAATTGTAAAAGTCATACTTAAATTACTAAAAGAAACTTAAACTATTTACATGAAGAAGAAACAATGGTTGTATACAGTTCATATATAATCACAGATAATTTCAACAATTCCATCAATTTGGTCTCGGATATAAACCAATGTTTCCCATGCCCCAAATTAGTCTTTCTTTACTAATATATATAATTCACCATACAGTTAAACTCTGGATGAGTCCATTTTCAAATTGTTCCCTTTAACAATCAAATTACTCCCCTTGTTTAGAAACACGAATTGTAGAATTTATCTTTTGTGAACATTAACAAGATTTGTTACTTACTTTATTATCAATGATTACCTGCTTTGTACTTTTAATGCATGTTTACAATGTAATTGCTGTTTAATTGATCTGATTGCAATCATTAATAGTATAGTTTACTATTTAATTAAACTTCTATAAAAACGTGAGCCAATGTTTCCATTTTTGCAAACATATTTGTAATTGTCTTCGATTAAGATGGAGTCCATTGTTGATCAAAATCTGGGAGAAATTTTCTACGAAAACTTTAAGGCAATTGGAGATACTGAAATGATAGCACTGGTAAATATATTTGACTAGCAAACATGCTTTACAATTATAGATTTCACTTTCAGATCAATAAAGTTAACAACAAAAAAATTTCATACAGAGAATTATTTGTCGCGAGTTTGAAAACTGCTCGTAAGTTAAAAGATTTGGGTATCAAGGAAGGAGACTTCGTCGGAATCATGAGTGACAACCGCTTGGAGTACATAGTACCAATCTTGGCGTGCTTCTATCTGCGCGTCATCATCCATCCGACTAATTCTAGCTATCATTTAAGTAAAACAACAGAATTGAATCAATAGTCTGACAATAATCGCGTTTATTGTTTTTTTTTTATTTCAGCTGAATTGAAGCATGCTTATAGCAATAGCAAACCTAAAATTATCTTCACTTCGAACGATAAAATCGGAAAAGTCGTAGAACTGCAGAACGAAACGGATTACATAAAAAAGATAATTAATTTTGATGATAACTATTTGGATATTATAGAAGGTGGCGCAATTTTGGAATCGATTGAAAAGTCTTCGGATTGCGATAGGAAAACAACAGCAATTCTGACTTCTTCTGGTACAACGGGACATCCCAAATCCGTGGCCCTAACTCAGGGAAACTTCAAATTTGCAATGAGCAATTTCAAGTATTTGTTTGTAACTATAAAATAGGTTATTATCAAAGTATTTCATTTTAGGTACCCAATTTTTTCGTATTCGTCTGAAACCATTATTATAGGAATGTTGCCATTCTATCATATTTTTGGATTATTGCAAATAATATCAATTTTGTATTATCGAGTTAAAATGGTTATTCTTCCGAAATTTCAACCTGTTCTATTCTGTGAGATTGTAGAGGAATATAAAGTGCCTATATTATCGATTGTTCCATCGATTGCCGACTTCCTTGCCAAACACCCGATCGTCGATAAATATAATTTTAAGTCTGTGAACGACATAGTTTGCTCTGGTGGTGCTCTTGGTTACGAAATTCAAACTATTTTGGAGAAAAAGTACTTTAATATACACGTTACATATAATTTATATAAATATTATTGTGTTTAGATTTAACTGTGCAGTACGACAATATTATGGGATGACCGAGACTACCGGCTTAATAATGGCCTGCATTCTAGGGAAAAAATGCAAACCAGGAAGCATCGGTACGCCTGTGCCGGGTGTAGAAATCGCAGTGATTGATGCTCAAACGAATAATACCTTAGGTGCAAATAAGCCTGGCGAAATTTGCGTAAAGGGCGATCTGGTTATGAAAGAGTATTTGGGAAATCCTGAAGCCACTCGAGCCACTATAGATGAACGAGGTTTCTTGCATACCGGCGACATCGGTTATTTCGTTGAAGAAGGCGATTTCTTTATCGTAGACAGATTGAAGGACTTGATCAAATACAAAAGCTTTCAGGTATGAGTTAGCTAGTTCGCGCAGGATTAAAGTCAATATACTGATACTAAAGAAAACTGTTAAGGTTTCTCCCGCAGAATTAGAAGATGTTCTCAAGTCTCACAACGAGATCACAGATGCCGGAGTTATTGGGGTACCAGATGAAAGAGCCGGTGAACTACCAATGGCTTTTGTCGTCAAAGTGAAAAACTCTAAGATATCCGAGCAAAATATTATAGATTATGTTGCAGGTGAAATATTACTATTTATAAGTCACCTACGTAATATAAGTTGAATTGATTAATTATTTCCATATTTTATTATGTTTAGAACGAATCTCAGTACAGAAGCATTTGCACGGTGGTGTGAGGTTTGTCGACGACCTACCAAAAAATTCTACTGGAAAATTGCTTAGGAAGCAACTTCGAGAAATGTTATAATATATAAATGTTATTATTTTTTAGATTGCTTTTTTTGTAATCACTAATAATGTTTGGTACACATTGAAAATATTTAAGAAAATTTGACAAACAATTAATTATAGGTCAATGGTTACAGTGGGAAAATATACAAAAGAAGAAGTTACAAGAAATATATCAGCTATAATATAAAATAAAAACAATATTTGATTAGAATTTGATTAGAAATTGTATAACTTATTAAAAAAATATTTAAGAAATTATCACGTCTTTATTTATTTTTATAACTTTTCCTAAAATATGCACAGTAAAAAACATTTTCAGTATTTACTTATCGACGTCCATCAATCAATTCGGTCTCGTTAGGATATAAACAAGCAGGCATATTTTTGTCATCACCACTCCGATATATAAATAATATGTAATATGTAATTAAAAATTAAAGATTTTCTATAAACAAAAATAGCTTGGAGATTCGTATTGTCGAATAACGCAAAGAAGTATTATTATTTGCTTACTATTACAATTTATATAACAAATTTATTTTTTATGCAATACGCATTTACAAAATTTGTTACTTACATGTTTATCAACGATTAACCTCTTCATGCTTTTAATGCATGTTTGTAGTTATTTGTTATTTTCTTTGATAAACTTTTATAAAAACGTGAACGTATGCTTTCATTTTTGTAAACATATTTGTACTTGTCTCCGATTAAGATGGAGTCCATTGTTGAAAAGAATCTAGGAGAAATTTTCTACGAAAACTTAAAGGCAATTCGAGATACTGAAATGATAGCAATGGTAAATATATTTGAATATCAAACATGCTTTACAATTATAGATTTCATTTTCAGATCAATAAAGTTAACAACGAAAAAATTTCATACAGAGAATTATTTGTCGCGAGTTTGAAAACTGCTCGTAAGTTGAAAGATTTGGGTATAAAGGAAGGAGACGTCGTCGGAATCGTGAGTGACAACCGCTTGGAGTATTTTGTACCAGTCTTGGCGTGCTTCTATCTGCACGCCATCATCCATCCGACTAATTCTAGCTATCATATATGTAAAACAACGGAATTTAATTAAACGTTTAACAATAATCGAGTTTACCGGTTTCTTTATTTCAGCTGAATTGAAGCATGCTTATAGCAATAGTAAACCTAAAATTTTCTTCACTTCGAACGATAAAATTAAAAAAGTTGCGCAATTGCAGAACGAAACGGATTGCATAAAGAAAATAGTAAATGTTGATGATAACTATTTCGATATTATGGAAACGAATGAAATTTTGGACTAAATTGAAAAGTCTCAGATTGCGATAAGCAGACAGCATTATGACTTCTTCTGGTACAACGGGCTATCGAAAATCCGTGGTTCTAACACAAGGAAACTTGAAATTAACAATGTATTCAAGTATTTCAAGTAATTGTTTGTATTTTTAGAATTCGTTTTTATTAATGTATTTCATTTTAAGTATCTAATTTTTCCGTATTCGTCTGAAAGTACTGTAGTAGAATTAATCCCATTTTGTCACATGTTTGGATTAATGCAAACAATGTCAATTTTGAGTTATCGTGCTAAAATCTAATTCTTACCAAATTTCAACGTGTTCCATTTTGTGAGATTATAGAAGAATATAATGTACAAATATTGTCTATTGTTCCAACAATTGGCGACTTCCTTGCCAAAAACCCGATCGTCGATAAATATAATTTTAAGTCTGTGAAAGACATATTTTGCACTGGTGCTGCGCTTGGTTACGAAATTCAAACTATTTTGGAGAAAAAGTACGTTAGCGTATGCAATGCACTTAAATTACATAAATATTATTGTGTTTAGATTTAACTGCGCGGTGCGACAAGGGTATGGAATGACCGAGACCGGCGTTGCAACGGTCTGCGTTCTAGGGAAAAAATGTAAACTAGGAAGCTGCGGTACGCCTGTGCCAGGTGTAGAAATCGAAGTGATTGACGCTCAAACGAAAAATACTCTAGGTCCAAATGAGCCAGGCGAAATTTGTGTGAAAAGCGTTCAGGTTATGAAAGAGTATTTGGGAAATCCCGAAGCCACTCGAGCCACCATCGACGAACGGGGTTTCTTGCATACCGGCGACATCGGTTATTTCGATGAAGATGGTGATTTCTTTATCGTAGACAGATTGAAGGACTTGACCAAATAAAAAAGCTTTCAGGTATGAGTTAGCTAGTTCGCGCAGGATTAAAGTCAATATACTGATACTAAAGAAAACTGTTAAGGTTTCTCCGGCAGAATTAGAAGATGTTCTCAAGTCTCACAACGAGATCACAGATGCCGGAGTTATTGGGGTACCAGATGAAAGAGCCGGTGAACTACCAATGGCTTTTGTCGTCAAAATGAAAAACTCTAAGATATCCGAGCAAAATATTATAGATTATTTTGCAGGTGATATATTACTATTTGTAACTCACCTCTAGTTTATTGATGTAATTATTATTTGGTAACTGTTATAATAAATTATTATTGTTATTATACAATACATTATTAATTCATTTTTTATAGTACCAAATATAAATAAATAATACGAGAATATGGATTAAAAAAGCATTATAAACTTTGGCTTTTATAATATATTTATAAACAAACGTTCACAAACACAGTGCACTTCACGAAAGCAACAGCGAAAATGTCGCGACATCTTGGTCGTATCTTCTTCGACATCCTCAGAAAAGCAAACCCAGAGAATGTGGCCATGGTAAATACCATAACGTTTCTAATTACATCACTTACATCTGTTGTTTTTTTTTCCTTTTGAAGATGAACAGTGAGATGAAAAGAAAATTAAATTATGAAGATATGTTCGTTGGGAGTTTGAGACTTGCCAAGGATTTGAAGAATAGGAATCTGAAGAGGGGCAACTTTGTCGGGATTGTCTGCGAAAATAGACCAGAGTATTTTGTTCCGATCCGATTTATGAGAAATCATCAGTTCTGTCCAAAATCATACTAAAACTTTACTGTGAAACAATTCAGAGTTTCAATATTCAGTCAATACAAGTAGTCTCTTCGATCGCAGTATTTTTAGCCAAACATCCAACGGTGGACAAGTACGATTTATCAACTCTCAGCAACTTTCTTTCTGGTGAAGCAAAACTAAATCCGCTAATACAAGTTATTTTGGTGAATAAGTAAATATATAATAATTATCATAAAATATTGAGTTTTAAAATACTTTCTTAGATTTGATTGTTCTCTAAGGTATGTCGGAAACATGTGGAATCCGTTTAGGGATGTATGCAAGTTAGGCAGTTCCCGAAAATTAATTCTCGGTGTAAGTGCAAAAATCGTCGACACCACTACCAATAGACGATTGGGCGCAAACATCTCTGGAGAAATATGCTTAAAAAGTCCGATGAACATGAAAGAGTATTTGAATGATGCAGAGGCCACCAGAAAATCCCTCGACGAAGAAGGATTCTTGCGGACAGGCGATGTGGGATACGTCGATGAAGATGGTTATTTCTTCATTGTTGATGGATTGAAAGATCTCATAAAATACAAGGATATCAGGTATCATATCATTAATCTTACTTTATTATTATACCTTGATGCTGAACTAATTGTATTAGTAATATTATAGTAACCTAATATCGCTTACAGGTATGGTCTACCGAAATTGAAGATCTGTTGACATTATTGAGGCCTCTGTAATCGGTATACCCGATGACAAATATGGTGAACTTACCATGGCAATCATCGTGAAACGCGTTGGCTGCGATCTAACGGAAAATGAAGTTATCAAATTTGTTGCCAGTACTTCTTGAAGATGATTGTTCTTCTTGTTAACAAATACGTTTCTTACTTATCTGTTATAGAAAATTTATCAGATATTAAGGGATTGCACGGAGGTGTCCGCTTCATGAAGGAAATACCTAAAGTAACAACGGGAAAGATACAAAAGAAGAAGTTACGAGAAATGTTTCAGCCATAATATTATATTTATTAAATTAAATAATAAATTATAAATTACAAAATAATAACAATGTTTATTGCATCAGTAGTTCAAAAAAAACATATGAAGTAATAAAAAAGAACAAAATAAGTATATATAATTTCAAAAAAAAGTCAACTAATACAAAAGGCTATTGACCATAGGTCTTTCTGCCCGTTAGAAATTACATTAAACTTATTTAACAAATTATCACGACTTTATTTAAAACATTTTCAGCATTTATTTCTCGATGTTAGGCATATTTTTGTTATGTAACACGACCAACGTTTTCTTGAATTTTGTAGAATAAACGTGAACAAGATTTGTTACTTACATTATCATCAACGATTAACTGCTTCATGTTTTTAATGCATGTTTCTAGTTGTTTGTTATTTTCTTTGACAAATTAAAATATATTATTGAAAAATAATTTATAATTGCTGTTTAATCTGTCTGATTCTAATCGTTAATAACATAGTATGCATTTTACTTAAACTTCTATAAAAACGTGAAAGAACGCTTTCATTTTTGCAAACATATTTGTATTTGTCTTCGATTAAGATGGAGTCCATTTTTGAACAGAACTTGGGTGAAATTTTCTACGAAAACTTAAAGGCAATTCGAGATACTGAAATGATAGCAATGGTAAATATAGTTAAGTGGCACAGCAAAGTTGCATTACAATTAAAGATTTCTCTTTCAGATCGATAAAATTAACAACGAAAGAATTTCCTACAGAGAATTATTCGTCGCGAGTTTGAAAACTGCTCGTAAGTTAAAAGATTTGGGTATAAAGGAAGGAGACGTCATCGGAATCGTGAGTGACAACCGATTGGAGTATTTTGTACCAGTCTTGGCGTGCTTTTATCTGCGCGCCATCATTCATCCGACTAATTCTAGCTATCATATATGTAAAACATCGGAATTTAATCGTTTAACAATAATCAAGGTTTACTGGTTTCTTTATTTCAGCTGAATTGAAGCAGGCTTATAGCAATAGCAAACCTAAAATTATCTTCACTTCGAACGATAAAATGGAAAAAGTCGCGCAACTGCAAAACGAAACGGATTACATAAAGGAGATAATAAATTTTGATAATAACTATTTGGATATTGTAAAAGGGGGCGCAATTTTGGAATCCATTGAAAAGTCTTCGGATTGCGATAAGAAGACAGCAGCAATTGTGTCTTCTTCTGGTACAACGGGACATCCAAAATCCGTGGTCCTAACACAAGGAAATTTGAAATTCATAATGCGCAATTCCAAGTATCTGTTTGAAACTTTAGAATTCGTTATTATTAATGCATTTCGTTTTAGGTATCTAATTCTTTCGTATTCGTCTGAAAGTACTGGAATAGGAATATTGCCATTCTATCACATCTTTGGATTAATGCAAACAATGACAATTTTGAATTGTAGAGCTAAGACCGTAATTCTTTCCAAATTTGAACCTGTTTCATTTTGTGAGATTATAGAAAAATATAATGTGCACTTATTGTTAATTGTTCCAACAATTGCCGACTTTCTTGCCAAACACCCGATCGTCGATAAATATAATTTTAAGTCTGTGAACGACATAGTTTGCGCTGGTGCTGCGCTTGGTTACGAAATTCAAACTATTTTGGAGAAAAAGTACGTTACCGTATGCATTGCACTTAAATTACATAAATATTATTGTGTTTAGATTTAACTGCGCGGTGCGACAAGTGTATGGAATGACCGAGACCGGCGTTGCAACGGTCTGCGTTCTAGGGAAAAAATGCAAACTAGGAAGCTGCGGTACGCCTGTGCCAGGTGTAGAAATCGAAGTGATTGACGCTCAAACGAAAAATACTCTAGGTCCAAATGAGCCAGGCGAAATTTGTGTGAAAAGCGTTCAGGTTATGAAAGAGTATTTGGGAAATCCCGAAGCCACTCGAGCCACCATCGACGAACGGGGTTTCTTGCATACCGGCGATATCGGTTATTTCGATGAAGATGGTGATTTCTTTATCGTAGACAGATTGAAGGACTTGATCAAATACAAAAGCTTTCAGGTATGAGTTACCTAGTTCACGCAGAATTAAAGGCAATGTACTGATACAAAAGAAAACTGTTAAGGTTCCTCCGGCAGAATTGGAGGATGTTCTCAAGTCTCACAGCGAGATCACAGATGCCGGAGTTATTGGGGTACCAGATGAAAGGGCCGGTGAACTACCAATGGCTTTTGTCGTCAAAGTGAAAAACTCTAAGCTATCTGAGCAAAATGTTATAGATTATGTTGCAGGTGAAATATTACTATTTATAAGTCACCTACATAAGTTGAATTGTGTAATTTTATTATGTTTAGAACGAATCTCAGTACATAAGCAATTGCACGGTGGTGTGAGGTTCGTCGACGACCTACCAAAAAATTCTACTGGTAAATTGCTTAGGAAGAAACTTCGAGAAATGTTATAATAAATAAATGTTGCATTTCTAAGGTAAATATTTCTCCATTCTTATAAACTAAACTAATGTTAATATATGAATTATTTATTAGATTCTTTTTTTTTTTAATTACTAACAATTTTTGGTTTATTAAAGAAGATATTGATATGTAATGTATTCTGGTGCAGAGTGAAAATATTTAAGAAAATTTGTCAAACAATTAATTATAGGTCTATGGATACAGTGGGAAAAGGTTCAAAAGAAGAAGTTGCAAGAAATGTTTCAGCTATAATATAAAATAAAAATTATATTTACTTAGAATTTAATTAGAAATTATATAACTTATTAAAAAAAAATAAGAAATTATCTCGTCTTTATTTATTTTTATAACTTTTCCTAAAATATGCATACAGTAATTAGTAAGCAGGCATATTATTGTTATGTCACATGGCTAACGTATTCCTCAATTTATCTTTTGTATAATAAAAGTGAACAAGATTTGTTACTTACATTATTATCAACGATTAACTACTTCATGTTTTTTAATGAATGTTTGTGGTTATTTGATAATAATTTATAATTGCTGTTTAATTTTAATAGTTAATAACATAGTATGCTATTTACTTAAACTTCTATAAAAACTTGAACGAATATTTTCATTTTTCAAACATATTAGCACTTGTCTTCGATTAAGATGGAGTCCATTGTTGAACAGAATCTGGGAGAAATTTTCTACGAAAACTTAAAGGCAATTGGAGATACTGAAATGATAGCAATGGTAAATATATTTGACTATCAAACATGCTTTACAATTATAGATTTCACTTTCAGATCAACAAAGATAACAACGAAAAAATTTCCTACAGAGAATTATTTGTCGCGAGTTTGAAAACTGCTTGTAAATTGAAAGATTTGGGTATAAAAGAAGGAGACGTCGTCGGAATCGTGAGTGACAACCGCTTGGAATACATTGTACCAGTCTTGGCGTGCTTCTATCTGCGCGCCATCATCCATCCGACTAATTCTAGCTATCATTTAAGTAAAACAACAGAATTGAACCAATCGTCTGACAATAATCGCGTTTATTCTTTTCTTTATTTCAGCTGAATTGAAGCATGCTTATAGCAAAAGCAAACCTAAAATTATCTTCACTTCGAACGATGAAATTGGAAATGTCGTACAACTGCAGAACGAAACGGATTACATAAAGGAGATAATAAATTTTGATGATAACTATTTGGATATTGTAGAATGGGGCGCAATTTTGGAATCCATTGAAAAGTCTTCGGATTGCGATAAGAAGACAGCAGCAATTGTGTCTTCTTCTGGTACAACGGGACATCCAAAATCCGTGGTCCTAACACAAGGAAATTTGAAATTCACAATGAGCAATTTCAAGTATCTGTTTGTAACTTTAGAATTCGTTATTATTAATGCATTTCGTTTTAGGTATCTAATTCTTTCATATTCGTCTGAAAGTACTGGAATAGGAATATTGCCATTCTATCACATGTTTGGATTAATGCAAACAATAACAATATTGAATTGTCGAGCTAAGATCGTAATTCTTTCCAAATTTGAACCTGTTTCATTTTGTGAGATTATAGAAAAATATAATGTGCACTTATTGTTAATTGTTCCAACAATTGCCGACTTTCTTGCCAAACACCCGATCGTCGATAAATATAATTTTAAGTCTGTGAACGACATAGTTTGCGCTGGTGCTGCGCTTGGTTACGAAATTCAAACTATTTTGGAGAAAAAGTACGTTAGCGTATGCATTGCACTTAAATTACATAAATATTATTGTGTTTAGATTTAACTGCGCGGTGCGACAAGGGTATGGAATGACCGAGACCGGCGTTGCAACGGTCTGCGTTCTAGGGAAAAAATGTAAACTAGGAAGCTGCGGTACGCCTGTGCCAGGTGTAGAAATCGAAGTGATTGACGCTCAAACGAAAAATACTCTAGGTCCAAATGAGCCAGGCGAAATTTGTGTGAAAAGCGTTCAGGTTATGAAAGAGTATTTGGGAAATCCCGAAGCCACTCGAGCCACCATCGACGAACGGGGTTTCTTGCATACCGGCGACATCGGTTATTTCGATGAAGATGGTGATTTCTTTATCGTAGACAGATTAAAGGACTTGATCAAATACAAAAGCTTTCAGGTATGAGTTAGCTAATTCACGCAGGATTAAAGGCAACGTACTGATACTAAAAAAAACTGTTAAGGTTTCTCCGGCAGAATTGGAGGATGTTCTCAAGTCTCACAACGAGATCACAGATGCCGGAGTTATTGGGGTACCAGATGGAAGGGCCGGTGAACTACCAATGGCTTTTGTCGTCAAAGTGAAAAACTGTAAGCTATCTGAGCAAAATGTTATAGATTATGTTGCAGGTGAAATATTACTATTTATAAGTCACCTACATAATATAAGTTGAATTGTGTAATTTTATTATGTTTAGAACGAATCTCAGTACATAAGCAATTGCACGGTGGTGTGAGGTTCGTCGACGACCTACCAAAAAATTCTACTGGTAAATTGCTTAGGAAGAAACTTCGAGAAATGTTATAATAGATAAATGTTGCATTTCTAAGGTAAATATTCTCCATTCTTATAAACTAAACTAATGTTAATTTTAGGTTTTTTTTTTAGATTGCTTTTTTGTAATCATAATTTTGCACAGCGAAAATATTGAAGAAAATATGTGAAACAATTAAATATAGGCCTTGGTTTATTGATGTAGTTATTATTTGGTAACTGTTATAATAAATTATAATTGTTATTATACCAACAAATACATTATTAATTCATTTTTTTTTTGATGATATTCAACTTAATAATCATATTTCTCTGAATAAACAGTCGATTATTAGTAGAATTATTAATAATTAAAACAAAATATTATAACTAAATAAACAATACGAGCATATGGATTAAAAACCCCTAACACTCTCGATAGCCTTTTCTTCGTCCATTTCAGACATGATTCTATACTCAATGAACTCCATATTGAAAACGCCGGTTCCAGATGTTATCGTTCTCAAAGTCGTCGAATATTGCATCAGTTCGGATAATGGTGTTTCGCAGGTGACCATCTGAAATTAAAAAATTATTTCAAGTTTATACATAAAAAAAAAACGATAATGAATGAATGTACCTTATTGCTTCCACGAATGGAAACATTCTGTATAATAGCCCTTCTTTTGGTAAGGTCAGCCATTACACCAGATAAATATTCTTCAGGACAAACAACTTCTAAATGCATAATTGGCTCAAGAACAGTCGACCCAGACTCGTTTATTAACTACAAAATAAAAGATTGATATTTTTGTATAAAATATGCATATAACTAATAATTGTATTTATTAGAAATATATGGAATCTTGTTAAACCGTAGTAGATTCACGTTTGAAAATGTTTCTGAACTATTGAAGATTCGAAAATTTTAATTTACATTGACCCAAACTAACCTTTTGTATACACTGTGTGGCAGCTGCGGATACCATAGTTTCAGATGTACCACGACCCACCACCAAAGAATGCAGTACGACTTGCAGATTGGTAATTGGCGCTCCGACCTTAGGTCCGTGACTTAAACCAACTTCAATCCCTCTATGAACAGCAGCCATGTTTTTCGGGAAAACAGCAGCAAGAAGGCTGGCCGCATCCGGGCTCTTATCCAATCTTATGACACCCTTTCCATCATCTCTATCGACCGGAATCAAACTGATATTTATACCAACCGAATGCTTGCTGTTTCCAACCTGCGTCTGAACATTGACGTCACCCCCGATCTTCCTCATTGGAGCCTCACAATACGCGATTTGAAGAGGACCCAGATCCGCATCAATTTTATACTCCTTCAATATCCTATCTTTGATGATTTCCAAGTGTAACTCGCCCATTCCTAAACGTTTTTTAACGTCAGCATTGATGTAATTAGAATATATATTTAATTTTAGATACCAGCAAGTACCGTTTGTCCCGTTTCATGATCATGAGTAACTCTCAAACTGGGGTCTTCCCTCTGAAGTTCAGCCAATGCTAATTCCAAGCCTGTCTGATAAGCTAAACTCGGTGGCTCTATCGAACAGAAGAATACGGGTTCAGGAATGCTCGCACTCAAATCAAAAAGATTTTCCCCGTTGCTTGCTGCCAATTTCTTTTGCGCCCGTTGAGCAGATGTAGCAGAATTCGTCAAGATATCTCCAGTTATAGTATTCTATATAAAATTTGATTAACAAACAATGCCTCAGTAAATAAACGCCTTTTACCTTAAGTCCAGTTAAGACAGCGATATTTCCGTTGTTCAATGAACCAATCTCTTCGTAGTCATCGGCATAAGCAATCAACAATTTATTGGACTGTTCGTTGATCTTCTGATGAATGTTATAGAACTTCTGGCCACGCTCAACTTGCCCAGAATACACTCTGCAAAACACCAGAGGTCCCCGCTGTTTATCGTGCAGGATCTTGAACACCCTCGCGCACAATCCATCCTCGAAGCACCGGAACTGCTTATTTCTTTCATTCGGGGATGGCAGATACAAGACGACTCCATCCATCAGCGGTTGGATCCCTATATTCTTGTAAGCGCTGCCGCACAACACTGGCACAGCTTTCTTTTAACGTTTTAGACTGATAATAACTACAGGCTTATCTTACTCGCTCCAGAACGATCTTCCTAATCCCTTTCACAATGTCGACAGTATTAACGGAGCTCAAACTCTCCGATTCAATTATTTTATTCGCCAAATCGTCATCATACTCGGATACTTTATCGATTATCTTTAACCTTGCCTCGTTTGCAAGTGTCCACAAGGCTCCATCCGACTTCTCTGATAAAGACTCACAGGTTACCTTCGACGTAGCATCCCAAATGTTTTTCTCCAAAGTTAATAAATCCACCAAACCTAAAAGAAATAATAATCAAGTAAAAGAGTCATACATCCAATTGCCGCCTATTACCGATCAACTTATTATCTTGTCTAAGTGGTAATTGAAGTGCAATTACATCTGTGCCCAATTTTGATTCAATAGATTTGCAACACATTTCCAAATCTGCATCCTGCCTATCCATTTTATTCACAAACACAATCCTTGGGATGTTATATTTATCTGATTGCCTCCAAACTGTATGAGTTTGAGCCTCCACACCTGAAATACAAGTTGTTTTTTTTTTTAATATATATTAAACGTTTAATTTCAAATTAAGATAAAAACTTATTATACACAATGTTACCTGCAGATCCATCTAGTACTATAATAGCCCCATCAAGCACATTGAGAGTCTGCTCTACTTCCATTGTGAAATCTATGTGACCTGGTGTATCAATTAAATTAAATTGATTCTTTTTCCATGGAAATGTTACTGCTGCAGATCTAATTGTAATTCCCCTATCTCTCTCCTGCTCCATGAAATCGGTGACTGTGTTACCATGGTGAACTTCACCCATTCGACTGATGGTTCCAGAGTAGAACAACATTCTTTCTGTTGTTGTTGTTTTCCCTAAAACAAATATTCTTTAAGCAATAATTTAATATTTCAATATTTAAAATGCATTTTATTATTATGAATAGCTAAAATGATATTGAAAATTTCTAAAAATAATTGCATAATCCTAACCTGCATCGATGTGAGCCAAAATGCCGATATTCCTTAGCTTTTTAATATCATATTCCTTGATTAACTTCTTGGTGCAATAGCAGCCTTTCACGAAATCTATGTTGCAACATTTTTTTAAAGATTTTAATTGATTTCGATACATTTTCTGTTTACAATATTTACAGGTTAATTATTTGTTGTGACATACGACTATCACGATGATATCAATGAATACTATCCAATTTGTAACCAGTTTATCTGTTCTTTTATTGAATTTATTCCATTTGTTATACAATGATTGAAGTATTTTTTAATTATTTCATCTAAATATTGTCTAAAAAATGAATAACATGCACTTTTCTTTGATAAAGCAATAAAGTTTAATATTGCTTTTAATTTAACTTAAAGTATTAGAGTATGCAAATATGCTTACACGCAATAATAATTATTGCGTGTACATAATTTTTGTAATTAAATGTTTACGTTTCTAATAAAAAGATTGTTGGATTTATACAAGTATTAACATTGCGACGTATATATTTTCAATAACAATTAATTTAACATATAGTAAATAAATCCAATTGGATTAACATTTTTCTATTAATAATTTGTGGTAGGTCGAGTCCATCTTTGAATCAACCAATAAGATCATAGAATATAGAGAAAGTACGAAATGCAACCAATGGCACACGCACCCTCTTCGTGAAAGAGATTCCCGTTAGCTTTGCTCTGTTGTCACATACCTGCGTGTTTACCTGTTAGTGAATTCTTCATTTTTAAATGGTCTACGGTTACGAATCCGATTTCATGTGATGGAAAAGAAAATTTTACCCTATAATAACCATCAGTAAATTGTTATTATTTATTAGATGTCTTTCAAATAAAATAATATTTCTATTTCAGTGTCTGGTGGATAACATTTGGGACAATATGCATTCTAACTTTGTTCACAAGGTTCTACAAAGTATCTGAGCCTGATCACATTTGGTAAGAATACTTGTTTGATACTTATATATTTGATTGTTACTATTTGATCCTGCTTTTTCAGTTGGGATGAAACTCATTTTGGTAAAATGGGCAGTTGGTATATTAACCGAACATTCTTCTTTGATGTCCATCCACCTCTTGGTAAAATGTTAATAGGATTGTCTGGTTATTTGACTGGATATGATGGTACTTTTGCTTTTGATAAACCTGGTGATAAATATGGAAATGTCAGCTATGTGGGAATGAGAATGGTGAGATTATAATAATAATAATAAATTGAATGTTCTTAATTTATATTCGAAATCAGTTCTGTACAGCCCTAGGAGCCAGCATTGTACCTATGACTTATATAACTGTTCATGAAATGACTCAATCAATTGTTTCATCAGCATTTGCATCATTATTAATACTTTTTGGTAATATTGAAGCAAGTTTTCCTGATTGATTTATTAGTAATTATGTATTTTGTTATTTTTTCAGATGTTGGAATATTAACTTTGACACAATACATATTATTGGATCCCATTCTCCTGTGCTTCATGATGGGTGCTATAATGGGATCAGTCAAAATCTCTTTTGGTGAAATACCAGAGTTTACTTTTAAATGGTGGACTTGGCTACTATTTACCGGAACAATGTTGGCTTGCTGCATTTCAGTGAAGTTTGTTGGATTGTTTGTTGTGCTCCTGGTTGGATTCATGACCATTGCAGATCTGTGGACTGTTCTTGGAGATCTTGCTAAACCTGTGGTGAGTGTAAAAAATATTGAAAACAAATAATTTTTCTTTTTCCAAAATATGTTTTTATTAACAACAAAAGGAAGGTACTTATTTGCTTAAAATTACTGTTCTTTAGTTAAGGTTTCTTTCGTTTTTGCGTTCGGTTTGTTTTTCATTAAATTGCCTAGGATGATGCCACAAAACAGCAAGAATCCGACCTGAGCGTTAGAAATAAACTTTTTTGAGCAATCCGTCGGATTGTTTATATTTAGTGTGTAGATTTGCGTGGCAAGATGCGTCGATATTACTCCTAACGTGACAAAGTATGGCCAAGTTTGATCGTTCATAAGTCCGGAAAGGCATAGAGAGGTCATCATGGTAGCGGAGAATCCGGTCAGCCATAGTTTAGTATCCTCTCCGAAATGGATTGCAGTCGATTTAATTCCCAAACGGAGATCATCCGATCTATCCTGGTGCGCGTAGATTGTGTCGTAGACGATAGTCCAGCACACTCCAGCTAAATACATAGGCAGACACGTAGCAATGTCCACGTATCCTCGTATCGCACTATAGCCCAAAAGGGCACCCCAATTAAAAGTAAAACCAAGTACTAACTGCGGCCAATTGGTGACGCGCTTCATTAGCGGGTATATGCAGACTAGGCCCAATGAGCTAGCACCTAAAAATACACTATACCAATTCAGTTGCAGTAAAACTGCAAGACCAACACTCAGTTGACCACCTAAAAATATCCATGCTTGTTTCATGTTTATATCACCATTGACTAAAGGTCGCTCCAGTGTTCTTTTCACTTTACTATCAATATCACGATCCCACATATCATTTATTGTGCAACCAGCACCTCTCATTACCAGGGCCCCTGTCCCAAACAAAGCCAGCATAAATGGATCTGGTAAACATCCTGGTGCTGCAGCCGAAGCAATACCCCAACCACAAGGCCAATAGAGGAGCCATGTACCTATTGGTTTATCATACCTGGCAAGCTTCAGGTATGGTTTAACAACCTTAGGGGTGCACTCTACAATTGAGGCTGCTAACTGTAGTGGTTGTTTTTCTTTGGTATCCACTGAATTTGCAGTTGATTTGGTCACACATTGACTAGTAATTCTAACCTCTCTCAATAATATCCCATTACTACAATACTTCAGTTTATCTAACCTTCGCAAACTCCTCAAGAGAATCATATTTGATATCCACTTTATTTTCTTGTACGTTATGTCATGTTGTTTCTTTCATTTTAAGTCTTATCGTTAACACTTGGTTTTTATTAAAACAAGGTTATGTTCGAATTATCAGTTCAGACTTTGACAGTAGTCCAATTCGCGGAATCTTCCAACGGTTGTTACGTATAAACACAGTGGCGTATCATTATTTTTAAATATTTCTTAATATTTAAATATTTAAAATGTAATTTTAAATTTCAGATGATAACCATGAAACATTTAATTGCACGGGGATTATGCCTTATCGTGTGGCCTATATTTCTATATATTTTATTCTTTTACATACATTTGAAGGTCCTTAATCACAGGTTCGTTTTGATATTTCTAATACTTTATTTTTTCATATTTTCAAATTAATAAATAAATAAAAGTTTTTAAAAGTTTCAATTTGCGTTTATAGCGGAAACGGAGATGGATTCTATAGTTCAGCATTTCAATCGCAACTAATTGGAAACAGTTTGCATAATGCAAGTATGCCTAGGCAGGTAGCGTACGGAGCTATAGTAACATTGAAGAATCATCGCACTGGTGGAGGATATCTTCATTCCCATTATCATCTCTATCCAGATGGTGTCGGCGCTAGGCAACAGCAGGTTGATATTTGATTGATATTATTTAAGATATCGATAAACAATATATTCCAATAGGTTACAACTTACACCCACAAAGACGATAACAATAAATGGTTGATAAAGAAGTTCAATACTGAAGAGTTTAACGGCGTGGAGCTAGTGAAGAGCGGAGATCTGGTGCGATTTGAACATATGCAAACTAAAAGAAATCTACACGCTCACAAGGAGCATGCTCCCATCACCAAAAAACATTATCAAGTCACTGGATATGGCGAAGTATGTTATATTATTGTTATATTATTATAGTGTTTCAATATATTAATTACATTTGTTTTAAAGAATGGAACGGGAGATGCAAACGATGTTTGGAGATTGACTTTGATTGGCGCTAAAGATGGAACAGAGTTGACAGCGGTCAGCGGGAAACTGCGCATCGTGCACTACCTTCAATCATGCATTTTGACTACCAGTGGAAAGCAGCTACCTAAATGGGGATACGAACAGCAGGAAGTCTCATGCAATCCTAATTTGAGAGATGTTAATGCGGTTTGGAACGTGGAAGAAAACGTCTTCGATGAATGTATGAACGCTTTATCATTACGCTTTATTATATGTAGAAATTCTATACCAATATTGTTCTAGTGCCAAGCGTCAGCTTCGATGTTTACGCACCTAGTTTCATGGAGCGGTTTCTTGAGTCGCACGCCGTGATGTTGCAGGGAAACGCAGGTTTGAAGCCGAAGGAGGGAGAGATCACCTCGAGGCCGTGGCAATGGCCTATCAACTATCGAGGCCAGTTCTTTTCCGGTTCAGGTTACAGGATTTATCTACTGGGAAATCCGGTGATTTGGTGGAGCAACTTGGCATTTTTGGCTTTGTTCTTGATCATATTCACTTTCAACGCAATCAAAGAACAACGTGGTTACCTGAAATCACTAGCAGGTAATTATGACGACTAACACCTGTGGATAAAATCATATCAATCTTAACGAATTTAGTAGAGATAATTTATATAATACATATAACTGATGTTTTGTTCTAGAATTCCATCAAGGAAAATTGGTCGCTTGTGGTTGGCTGTTCGTAGGATGGCTGCTTCACTACGTTCCATTTTGGGCGATGGGAAGGATTTTGTATTTTCACCATTATTTCCCGGCCCTCCTTTTCAGTTCCATGATTACCGGAATCGTACTGGATTATCTTTTAGTGGAAATACCAACGTTATTTCCAAAGAATTACAGCAATACTGTTCACCATATTCTTCTAGCCTTAATCTTGTCTACGATTAGCTACAGTTTTGTAGTATTTTCGCCTCTTGCCTATGGTATGTCCGGGCCGAATGCCAATGAACCGAATTCAACAATGTTTGGATTGAAATGGCTCGACAGTTGGGAGTTTTAGATAGTAAAATTTAGACCATACTAATTTGCTATACTTTTACAGAACTGAATTAACATTAATCTAAATGTTTAAAAATTGTTATAATATTTATATATTTTAATTAAAAGAATTTAATTACCCAATATAATTGATTTTTTAAAAAAATATAATGAAATCTTTCTTAAAATTTTAATTTTAAAACTATTGAAATTGATCGAATTGTGTCAGAAATTGGACCGTGAGTAAATTAATAAAATCCAATGGATTGTGAAGATCGATCAAAGTAATATATATACGTACGCCTATGTAAATATTAAACATTATATAGGCAACTAACATGTTTCGTAATCTAAAATTGACCAATAAAAAAATTGTAGAATTATTGTTGATTTATCATCAAATTTATGTATTTTAAAAAATATTATTAACTAAGAAATGTGTTTTTACGATATATATGTATTAAATTTATTTCTCGGCAACCCAATGCACACACACACACATTGCTTTCTATTTAGCAATTTAGAACCATCCGTAATATAAATCAAAAAGTGCTCAAAAACATACTCTGGCCTTGTGAGTAACATCAATGATTTGGAGATAAGATAAATTAAATTAGTTAAGATAGATGAAGTTATTGATTATAATAACAATATGGTATGTAGAAAGATCATAATTGTATTAACTAATAGTAACGATTTTTTGAGGTTTTCATGGAAATTCTGTGCACAATGTAGGCGCTAATACCATTTTATGGCCATTGTGAAAAGCATAAATAGATGAAATATGCCTAATTCATGACTTGTACAGTCAACAGGATGTTCATCATTATTTAATTGAACCCATTTATACAAACTGTAATGGTAAGCTGTTAGACACAAAAAGCAGTAGTTTCCCAGTTAAAAAATCAATAAACATGATGGGTTTTGTTATTGTCATTCTATTAACATCAATAATCTATCTGTGTGAGAGCAGCTACAACATAACATTAATCTCTCAAACAAGGTCAGGGTATTTGGAAAAGTACACAAGCTATGCAAGCACAGTTTTAATGCACTTCAATGTACCTGAAGACACTTCTCTTGCATCCTTCAAATTCCGAGCCAGTGACATGAGCTACTCCATTTTTGGATGCACAGATCAGAATATCACCCTATACTTATCTAGAGGGTCCCCACCTGTGATCAATCCAGAAGGCTACACTTTTCCAGCTGACTACTTTCTGCGAGAAAAACCAGCACTGCACAAACTTGAGTTCAGATCTGATAAGTATTTCAAATATTTGAATTTAAGTTCTCCCATGCCTGGACTTTATTATGCAGTTGCTTTTCTTCCTTACTCAAATCCACAAAATGAAGGAATCACACAAGAAGGTATGTTTAAATAACTATGATCTCAGTTGTGCTTTAATGATTATTTTTAAGGCTTAACGCCAGAGTGCCACAGTTACATTGACGCTAGCATCTATGTCAAGAATGAACATGAAAGTGTGGAGTTGATTATGTTTAAGACACAAATCAAAGCTAGCTTGGACGGAACAGGGAACAGCATTTATAAATTTTTCATTGACGAAACGGTCGAGCTTATCCTCATCAACTTCGATATATCGAATATTTGTGATACTTGTAACGTAGTTGGTAGAATTCATCCTTATAACATCCCATCTGTCAACAGCACTCCTGTTCTCAGTATTAACAACACAATCCACAATCCTTCAGCGAGGATACCAGTAATAGATGGTATTTACTACTATCTCACGTTGCAATTAGACGATGTAGAGTCTAAAGCGGATTTCTCGTTCAGTATTTTACCGGTGTCGATGAAAAAAACACCGAAAAACTTTAATAACTCTTTGTTTTTGAATGCTGTGCCGAAGACACATTATGAAGTAATGAAGCTACCGCTTCCTTACAAGGAATACAGTTTGCACAAGAGCAGAAGTGCGGACAGCTTCTTATTCACTTACGAGATGCAACCTCTAAAGGATGGGTCTGTGCCTATTGCTGTTAACATTAGCAGCACAGACTTTTCTGTAATAAGGTTCCGGGTAGACGATGGACTCGACGTTGGAGGCAGTCTTCAGTTAGTATTGGCATTTAAGCCGAGAATAGTGCGGAATGGAAGAATGATACATAGAGAAAAAGAACCGAAGAGTCACAGAATTGTTGCTTGCATTTCAAATAGCGATAAGAGAATACCAACATTCCCTAACCATTGCAGATATAAGGACCTACTTACTTTATCGCCGATATCTTTGAACACAACCAATGATAATGATAGCGTTTTAATTCCTTATCCAGAATCTGGAGACTGGTATTTCTCATTCAGGCTTTTCTGCTCTGAATGTGAATCGTGTCAGGAATGTTCATGTCCTGTCAATTATAAAGAATGCAGAGGAAACTGCACTAGTTCCCAGTGTTTAAGTAAGTGCGATGAAGCTGATCGCGAATGTCAAAAAGATTGCAAGTGTAAGGATGGCTGCAAAGAAAAAGAGTGTAATTCTACAGTCCTCTTTGATGTCAGTTCCTATCCTTGTGTAAGTAATGGATGTGGTCCAAATGGGAAATGTGGATTCCTAGTTTCTGAGGGATTTGTGTACTCTTCTTGCATCTGCACCAATAAATATAAAGGTAACTGTTGCAAATATTTGGTTTAATTACGAGCGATTCGTTAAATCCTTATTAGAATTTTCAATGAGATATTTTTTTAGGATGGGACTGTACGGACGGCTCCGATGCGAATTCCATGGGTATGATCATACTAGAATTGGTACTGCTTGTGATCAGCAATCTGCCATTTCTCGTCACCGTTTATTTCGCGTACAAGAGGAAGTATTACGTGGAGATGGTTGTTTACTTCTGTATTTGCGTGTCATCTTCATTGTATCACGCATGTGACGCAGGCGAGAATATTATTAGTTTCTGCATTATGAGACTTAATGTCTTGCAGTTTTGCGATTTCTATTGCGCCCTACTGGCCATTTGGGTGACTCTAATCGCAATAGCTCATTTACCTCAACCTTTTACCTCGATTGCACACATTCTTGGTGCAATCCTTTTAGGTGCCGGTACTACGTGGGACAAGACGTCAATGTGGGTGTTCCTTCTACCACTGATCATCGGCATCGTGATAATTGCAGCGCGCTGGGGCCTGAAATACTATAGAACGCGTACTTTAATTCCCAGCAAAAGATACTTGAAGATTTACGTGCCATGCGGTTTGAGCGTAGCACTCGTCGCAGTTTTATCCTATAGTATTCTGCAAACCCAAAGCAACTACAAGTACGTCCACAGTCTGTGGCATACATTGATGGCTATTACAGTCGTTATTTTATTGCCAAAGAGAAATTTATTTAGTGTTGAACCACAATTTATTTAAAAATAATAATATTTAAATATATATACATCATGTCCATTTGACTGACATCATCTACAGATGTTTTCCAAATATACTTTAATCATGTTAACCGACCATAAATCATTTGTCTCTCCAATTGTTCTGCTTTCAGGGTCCCATCAATACTTTCACAATTTTTGTTAAAAACTGAATAGGCACTGACTTCATGTTTCCTCTTTTTGCTGGTTCTAGTATTAAAGTAGATAAATATAAATGCAGAGAATATGAAATAGACAGCACCAAATTGCAGCTTGATGAAAATGAGCCACACAACACACCACAGTAGAATGAACAGGCCATAATAAAGCATATCTACATATGTGCAACATGTAGTCTCATCAATATCATCATCACTCTTAATTTCATCAACATATTCATCTACATCGTCCTCATTCACATCATCAAGAAGCTTCTCCCTTACCTAGAAAACAATTTGGTTGTTTCAATAATAATATTATTACTGTAAATTCCTTACTTCAACATTGTCTCTGTCATCAATTATTTCTTTTGGCTTGAACACAAAGAAACTTTTAACTTTTTCTTTAGTTTGGTTTATTAGTTCTGTCCGTTGCTTTTTCGCCCTATATTCTGCCAATTTTTGCTCCATTTCAACAAAATATAAGTACTTTAAAGCACTATTCACACATTTAGTAGTAACAACACATCAGGTGCAAACTTAGATCACATTAAATACTAAGCTGCAAAGAGGGTTGCAGCAATCCTTATACGAAAATTATTAACATGAATATTTATTTATATCAGAGTTTGTTAGATATATGGTCAGGGTGTCGAGTCATAACAGAGTTTCTCAACCTCCGGTCGGCGAAAATTTCAAAACATAAGTTTGCTTGAACTAACTAGCTGTCTAGCTGTTTCTCAAGAGAAAACAAAGGGAGTTCTATTTTCCAGAAGTACACCGAGTTACATGCCGCCTATCAATTTAGAGCAGCGGTCGGGTAAACGGGGTAAATTACCCAAAATGGGGTAAAATTTTACCAAACTCAGAGAGCGGTTCTCTGACTACTTTTCAGATCTTGATGTACAGAGAATTGGGTTGTAGATCCTTTTAAATATGAAATTACTAATATACCAGAAGAACTGAGAAGAACCTCCAGGTTTGGCAGAGACAATTCTTGAACTTCCATCCAAAACTGTATTCAATTTGAGACCAAAGCAAATCTGTCGTCTCTTTGGTTGTCAAAGGCTGCAAAGGCGTTCAAAATTGCTCATGAGGAGGCGGTAAAAAAATTGCTGCCATTTGCAACAACCTACCTTTGTGAACAAGGCTTTTCCACTCTAATGAACATAAAAACGAAATACAGAAATCGATTAAACGCCGAAGACTGTATTCAAATTACTCTTAGATCAAAAAGTCCCAATTTTAAAGTAATTATATCAAACATGAAGCAACATCATTTTTCCAAAACCTGAAGGGGGAAAGTTTTCAATTAATTTTTGTTTGTTCTAATTTAAGAACTTTATTTTGTTTGTCTATTACTATTTGTTACTATTTTCATGTAATTTTTTTTTATAAATATGTAAATGCAAATTAATTCAATAAATAATGTTTATTTAAAATTTACATTGATTGTTTTCTATTCAGAATGGGGGGGGGGTAATATCGACTTACGCAATAATATTTTGGGGTAATGGTTAAAAAAAGTTCCCCGACCGCTGATTTAGAGGGACGACAGGTGGAATGGGTGAAAGAGATAAGATTTCTGAAAGTATGACTAGATAGCAAACTTTCATGGAATAGACAACTAACGGAAAAAGGAATCAGAAGGGAATCAAAAGGGATCAGACCCCGCAACTATTTTAATATTTCGCAGATTGGAGTACTCTGGTTTTATCTTCTCGTTTTGTGCAAAGTATAAAATTTTAGCCCTTGATAGGATACAAAACCAGGCAATTAGGATTGCTCTTGGTATGATACGTACAAGTCCCATCAAATCTCTACATGTGAAGGCCGGCGTGGTCCCACTGAGCATTAGACGTGAGAGTATTATCAAAAATATATTTGTAGGATTTTGGCACAAGATAACACACCTGTGATAAAGGCGATATGGCGAGCGGCATTTTTATTTGGTGCTAAGGGGTCTATATTGCAAGCCCGACAACAGAAAGACCGTTTATCGAAATACCGACTATATCAAAATCTTGACAACCATAATCCAGACTGTGTCAGAATCTCGACAACTATAATTCCTACAAACATAATCCCGACTATATCGAAAATGTTTACAATAACATTTTTAAATTGGGTCTATATCGCAAGCCCGACAACCGAAAGACCGTCTATTGAAATCCCGACTGTATCAAAATCCCGACGATATCAAAATCTCGACAAACATAATTCCAACTATATCAAAATCCCGACTATATCGAAAATTTTTACAATAAGATTTTTAAATTATTTCGGAGCGTAGTCACTTTGTGCTACACTTTTATTATTAATAACAATAAATTATTATTAATTTATTTAATTTTGTTGAATTATTCATAATAAACCTTAACATTATGAAATAACATAACAATATTATGGAATAACAATTTAAAAGTCACAAAGAATAATTTAAAAATGTTATTGTAGACATTTTCGATATAGTCGGGATTATGGTTATCGAGATTTTAATATAGTCGGGATTTTGATATTATAGTCGGGATTATGGTTGTCGAGATTTCGATACAGTCGGCATTTCAAACGTCGGGATTTCAATAGACGGTCTTTCGGTTGTCGGGCTTGCGATTGCCACCGCAACTAAATGTATCTTTTTTTAAAATGAATAAATAGAATAAGTGAGTATAGTGGAAGAATGGATTTTTCCAAAACTACCAAACTCCGAAGACCTTGAAGCATTGTTTGAAAAATAAATTTATGTATCATGCAAACGTTTTCTATTAACTAATGAGACTATTATACAGTCAGGAAAAGAACTATATTACTATTTTTGGATTCCAATAATCAACTTGACTTATATTAATTAAAAAAAACATTTTTATTGTGCAAGCTGTATAAGATATTGTTTAAATTTATTTCACTCGAATTATTGTATATACAATTCGTATTCAAAGCTGTTATAATCGAAATATATATCCATATGATAATTAATTGACTGGTTTCAATTTTGAAATTGTTGTAAATATTAACATAGAATACTAAAATATTCAAGACAATAATGGAAACAATAATAAATTCTGTTTAATCAGACAATATCTATTATTGGTTAGGGTCAACCGGATCAAATGGAGACAGTATATAATATAAAAGTGACAAAAACAACTAGGTACTCAATTATCAATATGGGTGATAGCAGTGCAAGAAGACTCGCTGCAGGCAGACGTCTAGCCAATGCAAAACCCGGCGAGGAGGTCGTGATTACAGGTATGTGTGCGTTAAAAACGTGCTGTAATGCAGTACTAATATTTTTTTTTAATATCTAATTAGGTATATCCGGACGTTTTCCCAACTCGAACAATGTGGATGACTTCAAAGAAAACTTAATGAACAAAATGAATCTCTGCGATGATGATGATCGACGTTGGAAACACACGCACACTGAAATTCCAAAATGTGCTGGAAAAATTAACTTCATTAATAAGTTTGATTTGGGCTTTTTTGGATTGCATCAGAATCAAGTAAACGCAATGGACCCACTGATCTGGTTGGTAATGGAAAGAGCGTACGAAGCAATTTTCGATGCTGGTATGAATCTTGAAGATATCAGAGGATCCAAAACTGGAGTTTTCATCGGATCCTGTTTCTCAGAAGCAGAGAAGGAATTCTTTGTAAGGATGATACCACAACAATATGTCCTTGCTAAGTAAGTAAAAAAAATAATAATTCTTATATAAATAATACAGGTGAAATTTGAAATCAATTGATACTTTATCCCTAGAACATATTATACTTAAAATATATGAAAAATAATTATATGTGTATATTAAATAAGAAATATTTTCGATAGTTGTTTTAAATCAATGCTTGCGTCAAGAATAAGTTATGCTTTGCAACTGACTGGACCATCGATGGTCTGCGATACGGCATGTAGCAGCAGTATGTTTGCATTATACGAAGCTTATAAGGCGATTCGCGATGGGAAATGCGATAAAGCTCTGGTTGGAGGTACAAATTTATGCATGAATCCATTCCTAACTTTACAATTTGCTCGGTACGTATAATGACATTGTTTGCGCCAAACATGAAACATCATGTTCTTATACGTTTAGTTTGGGTGTTCTGAATATGGGTTCAGGTTGTAGACCATTCGATGAGAATGCCGATGGTTATACAAGATCTGAAGCAATCGTCGTTGTTCTATTGCAGAAGAAAATGCACTCAAAAAGAATTTACGCAGAGGTAAAAACGTCGTACATACATTAAGGTAGTATAATTCAAACAATTATTGTATTATCAGGTTGTGCATTGTAAAGTAAATGCGGATGGATACACGGAGCAAGGAATCACCTTTCCTTCGAGTGCTGATCAAATGATGCTTTTAAAAGAACTTTACGAAGAGTGCGACGTCGATCCAAGCAGTTTAGCTTTTATTGAAGCTCATGGAACAGGTACATATCATAAAGTCAACCAATATATTAATACATTTCGAAACTAATTGAAGGCACGAAAGTTGGAGATCCTGAAGAGTTGAACGCCATCGACAAAATCTGTTGCGCCGGAAGGAAAAGTCCACTGCTCGTTGGATCGATTAAGGGCAACATTGGGCATACAGAACCCGTCTCTGGGCTTTGTTCTTTGATTAAAGTAAATAAATATTTACATAAATTTACAATTCTACAATCTATTAAACTATGAACTAGGTCATTTACGCAATGGAAAGTGGAATTATACCACCTAACATACATTGTGACAATCCGAAAAAGAGTATCAAGAGTCTGGAATCTGGCAGAATAAAAATAATAACGGAGAAGACGCCGTGGCCGCAGAATAGCAATTTATGTGCTTTGAACTGTTTCGGTTTTGGCGGTGCAAATGCCCATCTCCTACTCAAGAGACCAGAGGCCTCCAAATGTCCTCTAATATCCGATGATCAACAACCTAGATTGATTTGTTACAGTGGAAGAATAGCCGAATCCATGCAATCTTATATGGATTTCTTCAAAACTTCCAAACTTGACTACGGCGTAGTTGCAATGTTTCACAATCTTTTCAAGTAAATTTCAAAAGAGGCGAAATTGATTGTTATTTAACTGATTCGATTTTTATAGATACCGAATTTTGAATAATGGATATAGGGGATTTTCACTGATTGACTCAAGCGGAGAACTGTACAGTTCTTTTAAATATTCACCTAACGACCCGATGGATCTGCATTTGTATTTGGGCGGTACCAAGGATTACCACGTGAACGTATTAAAAGAAATGGAGAAATTAACTTTTTTTGCTAACTTAATAGACCAGTAATTTACACGTTCTACATATTCATTGATGAGAGGAAAGTAATTAAATGTTTTAGGTTCAAGGTCGTGTTGAAGAAGAACGAAATTACAGATGATATTTATAAGCTGGGAAGGAACGCAGTCTTTGCCACCGTATGTCTACATTATTGCTTGATAGAGACATTGAAATCATTGAATATTGTGATCACCTCGATATATTGCACATCTTTAGGTGAATTCACCGCCGCTTATGCCGCAGGTGTATTAAGCTTGAAAGAGACTATATTGTCGGTAGCTACGGTTACCAACATTTTTGTTGAAAAAAATACATCAGAGACTGATCTTCCTAGAATTATGGTGCAACAGTTAAGTGATGTGTTGCCAGTGAAAATAGCGAAGAAAACGATAGTGCAGACACCTAAGAGTAATATCTTTGATTATGGTTCTGCTGAATACTTTGTATACAACATATTGAATCCATCGGTACTTAAAGAATATCGGTGCGATGGTCTAATATTGGGTGTGGATTTTGATGTGAATATGATTGAGAATGTTCAAATATTGAAAATGATTCAACAAGGTTTGAAGATAAACGATATACTTATTAACTTCGGTCGGCTATATGAGATGGGAATTGATGGAGATTGGAGCAAGTTGTATTCGAAGGTTCAGTGGCCGATCAGACGAGGATCTCCAATGCTTTCTCCATTGATTAGGTGGAAACATGACAAGGATATGAAAATTGTTTTGTATTCGAAAGAAAATAAGCATGACCCAGAAAAATATATAAATATATCCATTATTAATATTGATTTGATGTTTTACAAAGGACACGTCATCGATGGTAATATATTTAATATATATAAATTTATAAATATTAATACATTGTTAAAGGGCGAACACTGTTCCCCGCGACCGGCTATTTATTTCAGATTTGGGAATTCTACGCTTCAATCAACCGACTTCTTCTCGAAAATATTAATGTGTGCTTTGAAGAAGTCAAGTTCCACAGGGCGACAACATTTGGAAAAGATGGAAATATTTCACTCTACTTAGTTCTTCATAAAAGTGGATATTTCGAGGTATCTGAAAGTAATGCCACAGTAGTCACCGGGAGAATATCAGAAGTGAAAAATACCGACATCGTTTTTGAAGGAAAAGCGAATGATGCAAATCTTCCGCTACTTAAACATAAGGATATCTACAAAGAGCTAAGATTGAGAGGATACAATTATAGGTAAGTTATAATTTCAGTGAATTTTAGTTGTAGTGTTTAACAAACTGCGTTTGTATTTAATTAGGGGCCCATTTACAGCCATCCAAGAAATTTGCGGAAATAATGCATTAATCGAATGGACTGGCAATTGGATAACATTTTTGGATAACATGCTACAGCTGTTTATCGTCCAAAAGGACACACGAAGTTTGTACGTTCCAACAGGATTGGATCGTCTTGTGATAAACGGACGTGCTCATATGGACCAAGTCGAAGATTTGGGAGCGGAAAAACAATATATACCAGTCGAATTAGCTTCGCATGGAATGATCGTAAGGTAAGATCTATTTTGTTTAAGTAATTCTTATACCATATAGCCAATTAAATATTCGTTCCAGATCAAAAAATATTGAAATCAGGACAATGAATGCAAATGCAATTCAACGTAAGAAACTGCCCTACAGTCCAGTTCTTGAATCATATAAATTTGTTGCAAATGATATCGACGTAAATATGGAAACATCCTTAAGGCTTAACACTCATATAATATTAGAAAATAAGTCGGTGAATGTGTTAAAAATCGTCGAAAGATTAAACGAAAACTCTTCATCTCTACAACCTGTGAGCAAATACATTCAAGATATTTTAGGGGATTTGCCTTTAATACAATCGGATATAATTATTAAAACCAATATGAATATCGACAATGTTAAAGGTATTGAAATATTACAGGAAAAGGTAGAAGAAAAGAACGCATTGATATACGTAGGTTCTAATATATTGGGCGACACTAAAAATACAAGAGATGCTCTTACGACCATTACTGATGATGGTTACATAATATCCATAGAGAAAACTGAATTATTACATCCGGATAATTTAACAATTTTGACTAAACATAAATTACCTTCTGGAGAATTCATGTATCTTTTAAAGAAAACCGAAGTGTATCAAGAACCTATTTGCTTAAAAGTAAATAACGACTTTAACAGCTGGTTACCAAATTTGCAAAACCATTTGAAAACTGGGAAAAAAGTATTGCTGTACAGTGAGAATGACACAGCGAACGGCATTTTAGGTTTAGTTAACTGTTTGAGGCGAGAAGTTTCCCAACACAATTTATCTTGCGTTTTCATCCAGGAAGGAAACAATAACTTTGCCCATACTAAGACGTTTTTTAAGAAGCAACTGGAGAAAGGTATGGCAATAAATGTGTTGAGAGGAAACACTTGGGGCACCTACAGACATGTACTGTTAAGCAAAGTAGGTAAAAAGGATTACAGTAAGTGCAATCATTACTACGCGAAAGTGTTGAGCATTGGCGATTTGTCCTCATGGTCCTGGGTCGAAGGATATTATCAGAAAGATGACATTTTAAACAACAGCAATTTAATTGAAGTAATTACTAATAAAAAAAAGAATATTAGATTACGATTTTGAAAATTCGTATTATTTTAGATTTACTATTCGGCAATCAATTTTAGAGATGTGATGATAGCTTCCGGTAAAGTATCCGCTGATGGTATAACAAAAAATAGGCTTTCGCATGAATGTTGTTTGGGCTTTGAGTATTCAGGGAAGAAACAGAAGTAAGATTATTTTTTAATATTTTTACCGGTTTGTAACTTAACGTTATATTTCAGCGGTGAAAGAGTTATGAGCTTTGTAAGCGGTGGTGCTATATCAAACATAATTGAATGTGATCCTCTCCTGACATGGAGGATTCCAGATCAATGGAGTCTGGAAGAGGCAGCCACCGTACCAGTCGTTTACCTTACAGTCATCGTCGCAATGAAATTGGCAAGAATGTTTATAAATAATAATTGATAAAAAAACTATTTAATTGTGTTAATTTAGAGAGGAAAATTAAAGAGAGGCGAATCCGTGTTGATTCATTCTGGAACGGGTGGGGTTGGCCAGGCGGCTATAAACTACGCTCATCATTGTAGTTGCAACATTTTCGTGACTGTCGGCTCAATGGAAAAGAAGCAATATTTGCTCCAACATTATCCGTTCTTAAAGGAATCGCAAATAGGAAACTCCAGGGACACGACTTTCGAGCAGATGGTGTTCAGGGAAACGGACGGACGAGGTGTAGATCTAGTGTTGAATTCGTTAGCTGAAGAGAAACAGGTGGCGTCTGTAAGGTGTCTGACAGTAGGAGGCCGCTTCTTGGAAATAGGAAAGTTCGATTTGGCGAGTAACAATCGCTTAACTTTGGATTTGGCAGCGAAAAGTTGTACATTCCATGGCATTATGTTGGACTTGATGTTGATGGCTCCCGACTCATTGAAAACTCAATTATACGAGGAATTTGCAGCGGGAATCAATGCTGGTTTCGTCAAACCTCTATCTACGACGGTATTTGAGAAAGAAAATCTCGAGGAATCCTTCAGGTACATGTCAACCGGCAAACACATGGGTAAAGTTCTTATAAAAATCAGAGATGAGACTGTTTCCCGTATTAAGAACGAGGAAGAGAACATGGTTTTACCCAGGTAAATACAGTTGTTATCGATTGATCACCAGTTTACTAAATAAATTGATTTTTTTTTTCAGATTCTATTGCGATCCAAAGGGAACCTACATCATCCTAGGAGGTTTAGGAGGTTTCGGTTTGGAATTGGCAGATTGGTTGGTATTGAGGGGCGCAAAAATATTGGTTTTATCTTCAAGAACTGGAGTTCAAACAGGCTACCAACAACATAGAATCAGGTTAATATAAATAAAGCAGCGTCTTTGAAATCATTCAAAGCATGTTATTACATTACAGAATCTGGAGATCGTACGGTGTTAAAGTGGTCATCGCTCTTGAGGATATATCTACGTACGAGGGCTGCGAAACGCTTATGAGAAACGCTGAAGCAGAGGCACCTATGCGCGCCATATTTAATCTGGCCGTTGTTCTTAAAGATGCGATGTTCGAAAAGCAAACTGTTCAGAACTTCGACATTTCCATGTCACCAAAAGCTACAGCTACAGGACACTTTGATAAGATCACACGTCGATCGAAGACCTTGAAACATTTCGTGGTCTTCTCGTCAGTTTCGTGCGGCAGGGGAAACCCCAGCCAGACCAATTATGGAATGTCAAACTCTGTAATGGAACGAATTTGCGAGTCACGTTTGAAGGACGGTTTTCCGGCGCTCGCAATTCAATGGGGAGCAGTCGGCGATGTCGGATTAGTTGCAGACATGCAGAAAGAGCAAAGTGAGATCGCTATTGGTGGCACACTTCAGCAGCGAATCTCCAATTGCTTGGAAGTTATGGATCAATTGTTATATCAGAACGAAGCAGTTGTATCGAGTATGGTTGTAGCGGAGAAGAGTGGCCTCGGTAACGCCGATAATGTTGTGGATGCGGTTCTCAACATTATTGGCTTACGAGACTTGAAAACGATAAGTTTGAACAGTACATTGGCGGAACTCGGCATGGATTCTATGATGTCAGTGGAGATTAAACAGACTTTGGAGAGGGACTACGACATATTTATGCAGGTTCAGGATATGAGGAATTTAACATTCAACAAGTAATTATTCGTATGTTAAAATGTTCGTGTTCAAAATATAATTGTAATTTCAGATTACTGGAGTTGAATGAATCCAAGGGACATATTAACACATCCAATATTAATGATTCCTTTAAATTATTGATAGATAAATTCCTGGATTCTACAGATCTAGAGTCATCTTTGATTCCGTACAAAAATGCAATGACAAGCGACGATTTTGTTTTAGTTTTCCCCGGAATCGAGAGCACTTGTTTAGGAATGCTCCAAGTAAACGAAAATATCAAGAAGCCATCAATTTGTTTGCAATACTCTTTTACAACAGATGTTATCAAAGTGGAAGATTTAGTAGATAAACTATTGAATGTAACACTTTCTTCTAATAATTTTAATTCCAAGCAATAAATTATAATTTCGTTTTAGGATTTAGGTGAGAAAATAACCAAAGCGAAAACTTTTAAATTCGTCGCTCATTCATATGGAACCATCGTCGCTTTGCAAATGGCTCATCGGTTAGAAAAGATGGGTAAAACTGGTAAAATCGTATTAATAGATGGATCACCAGAATTGATGAACAACTTCTTTGAACTTTTATTCAAATCAAGCAATTTGGAAACTACCTTAATGTTGCTTTTAATGTCCCAATTTACTTCACCGGAAACAATAATAGAATTATCAGTAGGAGCTGTTTACTTTCGAATATTGAAAGGTAATATATTTTGTTTATTTTCTGTTTCAGGAATCAATAGCCGCAGCTAAAGACTTCAAAGAGCGCCAACAGATTGCGATTAGTGCTCTTCCTGAAGATTCTGCGAGGATTAAGAATGTAGTAATTCGAATGAGTCAAGTCATTTTGAATTTAGTAAAATCTATGGAAACTTACAAAGTATTCCAAGGGAAGCTTAAATCAGAAATCGTATTGTGCAAACCGACGATTCTCACTGTTGCAAATATTTCCGCAGACTACAAATTGGGCGAGCTGAGTGAACAACCTGTAAGAATCGTTGTCCTCGATGGTGATCACAGAACCATTTTAGAAAATGGCAAATTACATGAAGAACTGAATACAATTTTCTAAGTTAAATTACGAAAAAGTAAAATATAATGGAATTGCTAGGAGTGTAGGGAAAGTATTATTAGTGGAAAATAATAAATTGTATATGTATATAAGTTGTTTGTTTTTTATCAAATAATAATTAAAATTCAAATAAATAATTTCTATGAATCTGAATTATTTTGTTGTCTAAAATAGTCATATAGTCAAAGTCATTTATTTTTTTTATATTATATTATAATTATTTACGTAACTAAGTTAAATGGTTGAAATGTTATATATTCTTTGGGTATTAATATTTAATGAAAAAAATGGTCAAATGCAAGATTAGGTAAATGATAAAGGCGATGCGATCAATAAGGTTGGCCAATTTCATCCAAGTTTCTTGCACTTTGGTCTCTCGCTCCAGTTTCTTCTCAACCTTGTTGTAGGTGATATCAACCTAAACGAAACAAAAATGTAATCATGCGCAATGAAAGTGATCATCGCTATTTCGAACCTCCAGTTTGGGCAAGAGGCACAGACATTCCAAGAGATAGGAATTCAGCACGGTCGTTACGCAATGCGAGGGATTCCTTGACTTCTCGTTCCTAGCCAAATTGATGACCACCACCGACAGAAACACGCAGATTACGCTATCCGCAAGACCCTTGCTATACAGGAACACTGCAATTATGCCGTACAAATTACAATTTCACAAGTTTAAAGTATGCTTTTTCTCCGCCTTACCCAAAAAAGGCAATTTGCCGGGGTGTCCTGGGATTAATAAGGCCGTGGCAATTAAAGTTACGACAGTTAGAATTAACTGAACGCAGCAGAAAGTCATTTTGGTGCTTCCAATTGGTGATGCGCAGAATGTTAATAGTCCCATCGTGGCAATCACTGAAACGGAAATATTAATAGTGAATATTTGTTTGTATTGAAATAACTTCTTAGCGACCCCAGTAAGGCGTGAATAGTGCTTCTTTGTATAGATTCGAAGATCTCTGCAACTTGATGCTTATATAAAGCTTGTCCTGTTCCGTTGTCGCGGTGCCATCCAAAATCATCCAACCATTCGCAAACCCTTTCCCTAACTAGAAACATCAACATTCAAAAGTTTTGTTGACTTAATAGCACTACAGTATTGTTTACTATGTCGCTCCTGCTGGAATATTGAATTTGTAAGCTTTCAGTTGGCTTTCTGAACGATATCACCAAATCACAACTGTGGATGTCTTTGGGCCATTGACTTAAATCGCTTATGTCGCATAAGGTGTAAGCATCAACTGACGGTGACCATCTCACTATTCCTTGATTAGTCACCGACACAAGTGAACTGTGGAATGCAGACATCTTCTCCGGTGATTCCGAACTGAAAATTCATAAATTCACAATAATGATACTAATCAATAATCACATTAAAAACGTGGGACAAATAATTTCAAATATTAAATTGAGTAGAAACGTTTATTTTAATTAAACTTACTTCCATATAATAATCTCTGGCTTCCACACTTCTCCGTGGTGAACGTGTAGATTGGTGATATTTCCATATTCCTCAGGATCCCATCTAATTTTTTCATCCATCCATGTCTATTACAAATCATCAAAAAACATTAAAATTATTTACAATTTCTATCTGTTTCTAATGTTCTCATACAAAAAGTTTTATCGTATTATAATGTATAATATTAATTATATAAGTACGCACCATTTCTACAATTCCTTTAACGTTCATCACAGAATTAATTTCATCCTTAAACAAACACGTCGATACATTAATAAATGATATGTTTGTGTTAAATAATATAATTTTACCAAAGATATAAAACTTGATGAGAATTTAAAGGAAACCGCAGTCTTTTTTTGAATATCGTAGACGGGCCTGACAAAAGGATTGTAATCAGTTAACAATTGCTTCCGCAATTGCTCTACGTCCGTGAGCACGTGTTTCACTTCCTAAACAAAAATAAAAACGAAACATCAAAATGTAAACTAATGCAAACAGATGAAAATACTTCAATGGTTGTGTTCTCTCTTGGACAATTGAAGTACCATTTGGCTTCGGTGTCTCCGAAAGTGGCGAAGCTGAAGACCTGTATGGGAAGCGGATCCGGATCTAACCAAGCTATAAATGGCAGTTCTTCTCCCTCGATGCCCACGTTGATCGTACCATCTGACACAATTATGCTATAATCAATGTACTACTTGCAAAACTTTAGTTTACCTTTATATACGTGGATCCAGAAGGATCTTTCGTCGATGCCAGAAAGCAAACCATTTCTGCGGATAGACGCTCTGACTTGGCTCTTCTGTTGTCTTCTTATGTCCGAAAATGAATTTCCCCCAGCACCTATGACAATCTCGTAGACGGGATCTTTGGTTGATATAACTGATGACGGGGACAGCAATATATGAGCATCTCGGATGGCCAAAACCGAGAAATGGAAATCAAAGAGCGTCTCGTTGTCCACGGAACTTTGATTCTGATCGTTGATGTGAAAGAAGTCCTTATACAGACTACCAAACCGTGAATAATATACATGGCATTTTTTAAAATCTATAAAGAAAATTACGTGATTTTTTTGTAATTGAATTGAATTTTTGACACTGAATATAAAGTTTGGATTTATTGTAATTGTAACTATATTATAAATCATATTTTCTTCAGTGTAGAACATTTTTTCGTACAATTATAAATACGCACAATTATGACACATATACAACTATTTCAATATTGACACTCAAGTAGACGAGTTTTTTCTTGTGATATAATTTAACAAAACTAAGTCATAGGTATAAGAATCAATGAAGTAGCGATAAAATATTACATACCTGTAATGTTTGTTTTGTAAAATTTTCCGTCGCAATTTGCGACCAATACTATGAACACGAGAATTAAGAGCATTTTCGCAATTAAACTGGTTCGTTATGCACAATATGATTTACCAGCCGGAATCTGCGTTTCCTGTCGAAGAATGTGATAAGTGGTGGAGAGAATGTTTTAAATGACGAGAATGATTAAAAACAATGTTTCCAGTGGTTTATTTCATTTTCCTTTTCGATAATAATAGTAATCATAATAAACACAATAATAATAAAAATAATACAATAAAGGCAGTGTACTAACAAAACAAATGATAACAAAACGTATAGGGGAAAAGCGCGCGTTAGATAATGTATGTGTGTGTGTGTCTATGTTTTTGTGTTTTGTGTTCATCCTATTATACAATCAAAAATCATCTATCGTTTTTTTTATACACAAATTAGTAAACTATGCGGGTGAGTGATTTTGGGAATTAATCAAATTAGTTCATTTGCTCGATTTCAGCACCGTGTTAAGTATGTTTTCCGTTAATGATATTATGTACAAATAATTAGATTTGGTTAATAATTTACAAATAATAATTAGAGAATAATTAAGTTCTTTATGGCACGTATTTTCGTTCGTGAAACAGGGAAGTGGGAAGATCGATGGCTCAGAGTTTGGTCGTGGCCTGAAGTTTCACGTATCTGTTGTGTTGCTGTTCATCTTCGAATTCGGGTGGCATGAAGCACTGATGCGTAGTCAATTTAGGTCTGAGCAGAACCTTCCGCACGCCCCAGATGAGGGCTACGACCATGATACATAGTATCAGGAAGACTGTGACGAAAGCTACATCCAGACCGGTAATACCGCCACCCCCGTGCGGTTCTCCTTTGTACACGGTCACGCACCTGGGTTTGTTGCCCGATTCGGGGACGACATTAGCGCACACCCTGTACGGACCCCTCTGCAACCCGACGTACGTGTATTTGGGATCAGAGCAGTTCACTCTCTTCTGCGATAGTAGAGATCCCTGCTCCAAGACGGCCAGGTTCACCTCGCAGGTTGCCATGGGAACGACGTTGACACTAATCGCTAAGTTTCCGTAGCTACTCAAGTTCGCTTGTATGGAGATGACGCGTGGTGACTTCAATGAGAAGTCCGTCCGCGGCAGCACGCGGACATTTTGTACTAGAGGCAAGACGTCCGAGCACCCTAACACTACGGACAGGTCATCCGAGTAGGACTCCGATTCCAGAAGTACAATGCAGTACCTGTACCGGTGACCGGGCTGAAGATTAGTCGAGTTTGGAACAGTCACTGTCAGGCTTCTCGGATCTGGGGATTGCGTGGAATTGCACTTCAAAGGGATCGACTCTAAGAGGACTTCACTGGGACCTTCTTCCTCGTACACGAAGATCGCGTCACAGCCATACGGCGCTGCCGACTTGTCCACGCTCCACTGCAGGATCACGTTACTCCCATCGTAATTGAAGCTCTGCAAGTTGATCCCGTCCTTAATTGGAGCCGACACAGGTGCCGCTTCGATTTCGTCCTCTCCGCATAACAAATCCTTCAATGACACGTTCATCAGCAGTCCATTTTCTAGAGGAGGTGGAGTCGCGCAAACAGCGCTCCCTTTATCATCCACTCCTAGACTGGAGTTGCCCAACCACATGGCGAACTCCGCCAAACTGCAATCGCAGTTCAACGGATTTTCGGCTAGCGTTAATCTGGTCAAAATCTCAGACTCTTTCAGCGCATCGCTTGCCACTATAGAGATATCATTCTCATCCAAATGTAATCGCTTCAAACTCCTCAGAGGCACTACCAGATCCGCGGTCAAAGCCCTCAAAAAGTTGTGCCGCAAGTTGAGTTCCACCAGCTTCACCAGGTGAGCCAACGACGCTCCACTAACAGCGACGATCCTGTTATGCGACAAATCCAATACCATCAGATTCCCTAAGTTGATGAACGCATTGTCCTCTAGAACGTCGATTTGATTGTGGGGCAGCAGTAGCGATGTGAGATTACCCAAACCCTTCATTGAACCCATCCTCAAACTACTCAGACCGTTGTATCCCATCTGCAGGTTGTTCAGGCTGCCCATCATTGGGAACGTTTTTGGCCCCAGAGGACCAATTAGCGAATTCAACGATAAATCAAGTTCCTCCACAGTGTTCAGACCCACGAGACCTGTGATTGTGGGCAAGGTCAAACGATTCCCTCGAAGACGAAGGACGCGAAGCTGTCTCGCTGAACCGAAAGCATTAGGAGATATCCTAGTTAAGGCGTTATCGCTCAACTCGATAAAGGACAAGTTGTGAAGGCCCTGAAATGAAATAAAAATATAAATTTGGTTACCTTATTAGTAAATATAGAAATGTAATTAAGTGACTCATCCGAACTAATTAATTTCGCATGTTGAAAAGTTGCAACGGGTATAGATTCGCATGCAATCATATTAACTGCTTTATGTAAAAATGAATTTAATTGATTATGACTATGTAACCGTTGAATTAGTTCCTGTGTAAATATTAATAATTTCAGTTTCAATTACTTTAAAAGCATCCGCATCGACTGCTTTCATCCGGTTTCCGGACAAATCCAATCTGTCCAGTTCCGGTAGATTCTCGAGTGCTGCCGTGGGAACAGCGGTTAGACGGTTGTTGGGTAGACCGAGCGCCTGAAGAGGAGCAGCCAAACCTCGGAAGGCGCCGGGCGCGATCTCCCGCAGCTCGCCCGAAGACACGACTAGACCGTGGAGGGCCACACCTTCGAGCAACGAGCCCTGCAAGCTGCTCACATTCTGCACGGTGCAATCCAGCAGCGATACGTACGCCGTCTTCAGAGACTTTAGTTTCTTCCCTACAAAAATAAAAAAAAATATATGGATAAATATTCGATATCGAAGGTGACAAAACATACACAACTTAAGTACTATGTACAAACTATAATAATATGGAAGTTTACTTGTATTCTGTATAAAATTATATTTTATAATTATATATTTGTAATCATCAAATGAGAATAATATCTAATAAAGTGGATTTTCTTTAAAGATATATTTATCTTTAATAACATATAAGTGAAAAATTCGTTGGCTACTTGATAGAACATATGAATCTATATGATGATTGACATATTATAGCAGATGATTTTTCATAAACTGTAGATAACATTTTCTGTTACAATACTTGAAAAGTATAAAAAATATAGAAGTGAACATTGTGTACATACATAACATTTGCTTTGCATAATCAAGGATTACCTTATAACGGGCCACACGCTCCGCAGCGAAAGGCCGTCTGCCCTATTTTAATATTACTACATTTATAATCCTTTTTGTCTATAGCGAGGGTTGGAGCATCCAGGGAAGATGGCTAAATTAAATTCCCAGCGAGGAAGCCGACGGGGGATTAAGTATTTTATTAGGTGTTTCCAGCAGTTCGTACACACAGAGTTAATTAATTTATTTTCAAACGCTACAGTAACGAAAAATTATTTTATTAAATAATTAGTAGGGATAAATGAATACACCATCATCATTTAATTATATGCAACGAGAAGCAAAGTTTAGATTCAAATTGTTAATATATGTGTATAATATCTGTTAATTTGTATCTTATGTAAAAGGAAGTTCATATAATTATTTTTAATTTTATTTAAAGACGGTAACATCCTTTACGATTATTATCATGTATAATTATGGTTGTTGTAAATTGAAAGAAAAAAAAAAGTTTGAATCATCGAATTAAAAAAAATAATTGCATCAGTTATAATTCAATTTTATTGTAACTTCAGTTTGGAAACTTGCAATTATAGCATAGTGTGTACGCATCTTAATAAAATACTTTGAAATGGTCTGTACATAATGTTTTAACTAATCGTTAGAACATTGTTAATACTTGGCTATAACATTTCACATATACCTCTAGCTTTTTTTTTGTAATACTATTATAAGTAATTAAGTAAATAAGATTAATTAAGTAATTACCTATAAACTGAAGGGCGTCCTCGTTACCAGTACATCGTAACGTATGTGGCATATCACAGCTGCATTCGACGAAGGGCTGATCGTCGATCTCCGGACACGTCCAGACGGACGTTTCCGGTCCCGGGGCCGGAACTGCTGCCGTTCCGCACCACCATATCAGTGATAGCAGAAGCCACCACATTCTGAAATTAGGAGAAACGAACAACTTTATTAAACAAGCAAGCCTAGTCTAATCGAAAACAATTGATATTTTAAGTGCATCTACAGTCGCATCTATTTATATAGAGAGAAGCAAATTATTTAGCGTTACGACACGCGGTTTCTAATTACATATTCAAGTTGGAAAAACGAAAATCAAACTTTCGAAAGATTCTTCTACCATGTCTTTCAGAAGCACGCCCACTTTCTTGACACTTATCAATGTACATAATGAATAGAACGACCGAAGCTAATGTCATTTTTTCAGGTTTGTTTGTTTTTTCTTATCGCCCACTGGATTTTTCTTTTGTAAATTCGCAATTCGCCGTCAATATACATTTTCGTAACGTTAGACGCAATAAAACCTCGCCCACGAAGAAAATCACCGTGTGGACTTCGATGTTTGTTATAATGCAATTCGATTATTTTCCGAGCATAAATTTCGACTGGTTTGGCGTTACATGCAAAACCACGTTGACGTTTATTAATATCTCGATGGCTTCGAAACAATACGCTCTTCTGGCGCCAATAACAATTAATAATGAATTACTATCGAGGGGAGAACGAGAGGGACGAATTTGGCAATTAAATCTCTCCCAAGATCCTTACTATGCTGTAACCAATCACACTTAACTCCTCGATACAAACGAAGATAAACTATTCAAATATTATGCACTTAATTTACGTACAGTATAAACATAATCAATAAAAACGATGAAGACAACGAAATCTATTGAAACATCATAATTAAATTCACAAAAATACTCCCTCCCACCGAAAATTTTCACCTTATTTCTGTTTTTTATGTCATAAAATTTTATCAAGTAATAAACTAACTTAATTGTGTGATTATGCAGACTTATAAGAACCAACTTGAAAGATAGTTAATATAATTATGCACAGAAAGTATTTTATTATTATTATGTTATGACAATGCTAAATTATTGATCTCATAAAACTAACGAAAGTAAGTTTTTCTTTTAGGGATCGATCCGTGAGACTGTTTGAATTAAGCCGGAGAAGATTCGTAAACGATGGATGGCCTCAATTACAGAATCGAATCACACGCGCGATCTGAATGTGAAACCCGTGAAAAATGCGGCATGATTGTTTTCCATCGGATCTTCGCGTTTTTTCTTTCTTCTTCTGTCGTTCTATCTTTGATATCGAAGTATCTGGCAGGCAGGCAGCATCCGCGGTGGCATTTGGTTTCTTTACTGGTAAATGGCGAGGACAACATTTTTAAATAAGGCTCGAGTGGGACAAGGAACAAGAACAGGCGCGTTCCCTGCAGTGGAAGGAGGACGAGAACAGGACGCGACATTTGATGGACATTATAAATTGCGATCATGTGCTAAGTTGTCAGGACTGGTTGCAAATAAAACGAATAAGAAGAAAAAGAAGAAAAGCGAGCCATGCAAGACGGCAGCTCCGCACAGATGTGGAGACCTGTGGAGACTTTATTTCTGTGAAACGAAACTCTCTCACTCTCCTCTCCTTCGTCTGATCATTTATTTATTTTTTTTTATATTCCATCCTTTTTGAATTGCACATGCTGCCAACCGAAAATAGCCGTAGCGAAAAAAGAACTAATTAAACGAAAGTTCAGTTGGCAGGAACGTAAAACTGGATGCGCGCGCGCGATTTGTTAATTGGCATCATTTAAATGTAATCGTGAACTTCAGCCGTGGCGTAATCATTTCCGTTTAAAAAACAATTACCATTAATGATATACATAATTTCGACTCGAGCAAGTTGCATCTTCAATTTCTTTCAGTAAATATCAATTTATTGTATTAAATTGATTAAATTTGATTATTTTCCAATCAAAATCAATGTACAATAATAATTACAATTTCAAAATATTTCAAGTAATTAAAAAATAGCAAAGTCATGGTTGTTATTGTTTTTGTAACTACGCATTATACGTTTCTTAGAAACGAACATTACTTAGTAACAAAATAATTTGATGTTTTCTTCTATTTATTAACAAAATTTATAATTTAATTATTTTTATTTAAATTTAATACGTAACATAAGCAGTGAAACATCAAACATCTAAACTACAATTAAATAATTAAAACATTCTCTTTGTATTTGTTTCTTTCAAAAGCATTCTATCATTGTCTGATCGATATTAATCATTGCGACAGATCGCATAAATCATCAGATTCAATTAGGAATGGGAGAATCCCAAAAATGGTCGATTAAAAAATAATCGGCAATTAATCAAATCTCGTTCGAGTTACAGAGACAGCAGCACCAGCTCCAGACGCACCATTATTTCCATCATATTCGGTGCGTGCGTACAGATGGAATCGTCCACGAATTAATTTTCTCACGGTTTCCCCCCCGAAAAATTACAAAACGCACGGTGCTTTTCCTCTCGTTTGCTGTAACCGGCTTTTCCGAATACGGCGCGAGTTACGAAATTGACGGCAGATATAAAAATACCCGCAAATGTGCGCAATCTGACACGGAAAGCAAAATGCAATTTTATTAACAAATTCCTTACAATTTTTTTTTATTATAACTTTTATTCATCTCTGAAGCGATCGTAGCGCCGTTTACAGATAGTTTAATCGTTTCCTGAAAATTCCACTTACATTTGCGATAATAGACAGTTATCCATTAACTCTCTAGATCAGTGATTCCCAAAGTGGTCTATATCGACCCCCAGGAGTCTATGACAACCTGCAAGGGGTCTATGTCAGCGAAAAAAAAATTGGGGGTCCATGAAATGAAAATGGGGGTCCACAATAGTGAATCTCAACATACACTGATAGTACCTATTTATAGTATACTATCTTATAATATAAAGACATATACATTATTTATAAAAGTACCTAATTGAAGTAAAAAATTATTATATATGTTTATAAAATTGTGTAAGTTGTAGGATGTAGGCATTCGCTTTGTGGTCGCAATACATTTTGAACTTGTAAAAACCTGCACATAATGATATACCAGTATCATCTTGTTACAAGCATACCAGCAGTCTCAGAGCAAAGATCTTAATAATTATAAAGATGTCCCAATATAAATAATAAATTTACAAAAAATCAATATCAAGTAAGTAAGGGGGTCTACCCAAAACCGAAAAACATGTCAAGGGGTCTACAACACAAAAAAGTTTGGGAACCTCTGCTCTAGATTAATCTACAAAATAGTACATAGCAGTGTTTTTCAACCTTCTTTCTTTTCTTAGGACAATGTATGGATGGTTAAACTTTCGCGGTACATTTAATCTCTTAATGTGCTTTAGACTTCATATTTAGAACCTAATTTTACACTAAAACGCTTCTTAATTATACTAAAATGTACTTAATATAATCATTCATATAAACTATTTCCATAAAGTCCGAATAATCGGTTCCGCCAGACTGTTTGAAACCAGCACAAAAAAAGATTTAGTTGAATCTCTTTTGCTTTTGTTTTAATTTTGCTTAATTGAAATTTAATTATGTTTCGAAATTAACAACGGAGGTGCAGAAAATTGTAAATAGAGATTTTTTTTAAAACCTCATCCAATGCTCTGTTTACCTATAGATTTAGTTTTCCTTTGTAGATCAAATTTAATGTTGTTTCGAACTTTATCCAATATATTTTGATCATAAACTGGAACATAACTCGCATAGTATGGACCCAACATTAGAACGATTAGAAAAAACAAATTAAAGTCTAAAATTTGACAAATTATAAAACGAAAATTGAGACAAAATATAAAAGTGTAATTTTCTAATAATTATTATTGATAATGAATGATTGATGGCAATAATGTCAATAAATATTGATTTATATAAAATGATACGATATGAAATATGCGTTGGTTTGTTTCTTGTTGTCTTCTGAACTGAGATCCGGCGCGTAAATCGTGTGTGCCAGGTGTACGTACATACAAGTAAGTAGTTACTCTCGGGTAGTTGTTGTAGACTTTAAGTCTTGTCTTCTTTTCATGTACACACATACCTATCACTATCTTTCCCACACGTATTCGTATTGTCTCTCTGCCTCTATATCTCTGTTCGTTTGCCGTTGCCGTTGTTTTATTTCTTTACTTCTTCTTCTTCTGAGCTGAAGCGGCTCGTTGTTTTCGGTCATTGCGGTGTCATTGCATCGTCGTTCGTTTGTTGTCTCTCTGTATGTAGCCGTCCGTTCGCATTTGATATGGATTCGAGAGAGACCCGTTCTCCAAATATGGGGTAGCCCCGGCTTAGCCTCTTTGCTCATTTATAGACGTTCGCGATTTATTAATGCCGTATAAATAAAAACAATTACGGTTTACGCTGCTTCTGCACACTTGATTTTCTCCACCTATCCTTCTTGCAAATGCAAACGGACAATGACCAAAAAGAAACTGACTGAAAAGTTGCAATGGGAATGCATAGTTACCAAAGAGGAGCAACAGTTTGAACATCTGTCCTACATTATTCCTATCGTTCTACCAAAACGGGGAGCGCTACTAAAGCACACTCCATTAAAACATTTTTCGTAATTTGAGAGCATCATTATACAAATTTAAATTTCGCAAAACGACAAGGACAAGTCTCAATGAAGTACAATTATCTGAAGATTAAGGAAACTTTTAATTTTTCACGTATTATGCTGTCATTTTCTTGAATCATCGAATTAATTCGTTCAAGAAAAGTATTATGTAAACATTATAAACTATATCAATATTTGAAACTGATTGATTTCGTATCCCAAAAATATAATATTAATCGTTTTCTAAATCAAAATTTCATTTATTATCACCTGTTATATCTTTTCCAAGAGACAAGCAAAACATATTATTTTGACTATACAAAAGACAAATACAGTCAACCCTCCTATAACGCGGTACTCTCAGAACGCGGTTTCCATATAACGCGGAGCTGAAATTGCGACAGCCCTCCTATAACGTGGTACTCTTACAGCGCGGTTTCCGTTCAACAACATCCCATAAGTTCCTTCCGCGCAGCATATGAATGGTTCAAATGGTTCAAGCAATACAAGATGATTCTACAATTTCACTCCCAGT